GGTCACGTGATGATGACGATGCGGATGCCGATGACGTCATCAGTGATGTCACTGATGACGTCATCAGTGACGATGGCGATGCAGATGCCAATGACTTCATCGGCAACCGCATCGTCATCGTCATCATCACTGATGACGTCATCGTCACGTGACACCCCCCCCCCTAGGTCCTCCCAAAAGAACCCGAGGTCCTCCCTATGTCCTCCCGAAGGAACCCGAGGTCCTTCCGAAGTCCTCCCGAAGGAACCCGAGGTCCTTCCGAGGTCCTCCCGAAGAAACCCGAGGTCCTGGGGAGGGGTCACGTGACGATGACGTCATCAGTGATGATGACGATGCGGATGCCGATGAAGTCATTGGCATCCACATCGCCATCGTCATCGTCACTGATGACGTCATCAGCGACGTCACTGATGACGTCATCGGCATCCGAATTGTCATCGTCATCATCACTGATGACGTCATCGTCACGTGACCCCCCCTAGGTCCTCCTGAAGGAACCCGAGGTCCTCCCGAAGGAGCCCGAGGTCCTCCCGAAGGAGCCCGAGGTCCTCCCGAGGCCCTCCCGAAGGAACCCGAGGTCCTTCAGAGTTCCTCCCGAAGACGATGACGTCATCAGTGACGTCACTGATGACGTCATCAGTCATAATGACGATGGCGATGTGGATATCAATGACGTAATCGGCATTGTCATAATCACTGATGACGTCATCGTCACGTGACCCCTTTCCCGAGGTCACGTGATCTCCCAGGTCACGTGACCCCCCCCCCCTTCCGAGGCCAACTGATCCCCCCAGTACCCTTCCCTCCTCCTCCTCAAGAGCTGCGCTCAAATTCGGCGTTACAGGGAGTTGTAAATGGCTTTTTTTTTTTTGGTTAAGTTTTTTGCTGTCTAAACTTTCATGCAACAAAACTAGGCTATTAATAAAGTGCATTCTCTCTTGAACATACACCATGCCCCTCATCAAAATACACAAAAGGATTACCCATCTCTTTTCCCACTGCCAGCTTCTTTTCTGTCCCTTTAATTAATCACATTGAAATGCATAAACAAACACAGTGAGCACTTAATGATACACTAGCATTTGCCTCAATTTGAATGAGCAGTGTTTACCACAACTTTCAGCTCAAAGCGCTAAAGTTGGCAAAGTCATAAACCATGTGACCCCTAACGAGCAGCATAGCCAGAGGGACTTCAGCTACATCAGCCACCCACCCCGAAAAATATTCCTGGCAATGCCACTGGTCATGACCCGTTAAAAAAAAGTTGGGGTATATATGTTTATGCAGGCTAGAACTCAGTCTGCCTCAACGGGCAACTTGTCTCCCAGCTGTAGATGAGAAATTTAGCCAGTGCAGTACAGCCGTTAGCCTGGGGTCATTAAAAGACTTGCACCACGCAGTAGTGATACACGACCGCACGCCGGGATGATGCTCATCCAGATCGAAACGGGCACGGGTGGGGATTGAACCCAAGATCCCTGGGCTCTGCAGCCAAGCTTTCGCTCCACGTGCTCCGAGCTGGTGTGTGCTAGCCCACTCGGCCACAGATCCCTCATAACCCCTTCAAACACACAAGCCAGTGTTTTACCTATATCACATGCTACACTTACTGCTACACATTTCTAGGGTCTTCAAAGACATTTATTCGGAATGAAAAGTAGTCCACTCTTGTACTTCCTACTTTATTTCGAAAACTAATATACAGCAACTTTAACAATATTAGGTGGTATAAATTTGGCGCATCTTGTGCTCATGTAAGATCAGCCTCTAAACAAGTTGCACTAATTCCAACAACATGGCAGCTTATAGGTGCAGGAAATATCAACCATATTTCCATTTTGTAACCATCTGTGTAGTGTATGTGAAGACTGCACTCATTCTATGTGTGTATGATACAAAACTTCCCAATGATAATAAATGAATAACACTTGGATACAATAGTTTTGGGAAAAAAAAAATATCTGAAGAAAAAAAAAACAATAACCAATAAATTAAATTTAGCGCCGAATAACCCCCAATGTAAAATTTCAAAACCTTATATTTCAATGCTTCAAGTCGAACTAATTACTTAGATGCTCCCGTTAATTATTTTTTTATTTTACTATCAATCCCTACAATAAGTTAAAATTGTAACCGGTCAAATTCAGTCCAATGTCGAATTGTGAACGGCTACCCGAAAATACTTTGTATTGGAATACAAACAGGCAATGTACGCTGTGAACAATGATATATTTGCGGTGCTTAATATTTTGCAAATTTCCGAATATTTCACACATTCGCCAAAGACCCTTTTACGAATACTTTGTAAAACGATTTTGCAAAAAGTCGAGTCACTGCAAATTATAAGTCATTTACATATTCATAAATAAAGCTGGAATGTTGCATTCAGGCAGAAAAAGCACTGGTCAAAGCTTCTTTTAAAGTTGGAATCTGAAAAACCAAAAATGGCAAGGTAAAATATATTTCTTAAAAGGGAAAAACATACCAAAATATAAATTTGCTTCTCTCATCTCACAGACAGCACTAGAAGTATATCAGTTTCTATACAATTATGCGGTATATATATATTATATATATATACGGAGCCATAAATCACAGATAAAACAATTGCAGTGTTAACCACAACTGCCACGTTGCGTGCACAGTAGTTTCACAGGTTCATCAGGTGCAGTGTTTAGCATTCCAGGCAAGCAGAAAGAGTCTGTACTGTGACACTGCCTTTCTAAATAGGTGTGAAGCCATGCATGATCTCAACATTATGACTCATCTTCAAGTTGATTTCGTCAAAGAAAAAAAGTGAGCAATGTTAAGGAAAGAAAATAAAATTGTGACAGTTAAGTAAAGATAGAAGCTGCTTACTGTCTATCCAAGGGGCCACATACAAAAGTCATTCAAAATAAATTACACTCAAAAATAAGTTATAAAAAAAGAAGATAATGGGTAGACAGTTTCCCTTTTTTTTTTCTTTTCCCCACTTAGATCTTCCTTAGCACGGAGAGGTTGAGAACATCTGGAATGGTGACATCTTCGAGTTGGATTCTGGAAGGGTTGAAGGGGAAGCGGATGGGGAAGGCAAATTTGGTGTCCATCAGGAGGGTGTTGTCGGACACCGGCAGTGTCTCCTGGTTGCGCTCTTGCAGCTTGGCCTGGATCTTCCGAATGAAGGACACCGGGACTCGCTCTTCGTAGTCGTCCGCCGGGGTGTACAGGTTCAGGATCTTTGTGATCTGTGCCGTGAACAGAGCAAAAATATTTTACCAACAAGTAAACACTTTCTAAAAGTACATCTCGGGGAAGGGGAAAACAGTCTTCTTTCCATCACTAACATAGAAGAAAGCTTTCAAGGCATGTAAGTGTGAAACAACACTAGTCCAAAGCGTTAAAATTTTCCTCGCAGTTATTGGTAGAGTGGAAGGCTTTTCGAAGTGGTGTCCGAACCCTCTCAACAAAATTGTTACCATATTTATACTTGAGCAATAGCCATATTGTTGATGTACAAAGCCTGCACTCCCACTTTCCCGCAGAGTGCACAGACAGCCAATCATTGCGATCGATGGAAGGGATCTTGCGAATAAGGCAAGAGTTATCGACCTTGTGCAGAAATGCTCTCTGTATGGGCTCTACTGCAAAGTACAACTATGAAGCGTCCCAAAGGGGTTTGCACAGCTCCGGCAGCATGCTCTCTGCATGACCATTGGTGATCATGACGATGAGCCCGTGCATACCCTACATCTTGGTTATACTATCATCACACTCTTCTCTTGATTCCAACCAAGTTCTGCCTCAAGGCTTTGTAAACATATCTCCCTTTTCTTCAATAAAAACACCGCAACAAGTGCACAAAACCAATGTGAGAAGCCAAGTGAGGCACGTGGAAGCCAGTGGCAGCACCTGTGCGGTGGTGAGCTTGTCACACATGTCGCAGATGCTGGCAACATCTTCGTCGGTTTTGCGGGCCTGCAGCAGCTGGGAGGCCTGCACAATGGGCTGTAGGGTATCCAGCACTTCTGCCTGGCACACCTTCTGGTCACGGCACCACTGTTCCAGGTGGCTCAGGTTGTACCTGCTCGCCAGAGGAAGGCAGGCATGTCAATTAGAAAACTTAAAGTCAGAATATTGAAGCCAGGCTTTACACTGTACACATTATTTTGTAGCATTTGATCCAGTCAAGTTCAATTCATACAACTAGAAGTATTTTGTAGTTTGCCACTTCGAACTTTAGACTGATGCCCAATAAGTGACCGCTGCAGGCATCTACGTACATAGAAGTTTTGTATTTTTCCCCACAAGTTACTTTGGCAGATAATAAAACGAACAATCTTATTTGAATAGAACAGTGCCTATACTAAAGTAGGACATTTGTTATGAGGACAGAAATGTACCACACGTGCAGTTCTGGACAAAGTAGAAAATATTCGTACCTCATTTGCATGCCTTTCGACCAGTGGCACATGTCTTTGCGTAACAGCAAGTTGTTCAAGGCTCCCGCACAGACAAAATAGAAGAGCTGGACCAGAAAGAAAAGAAACATTGGTTCTTGAACGGGCACGTCCTCTGACGAGAGGTTGGTACTAATATGGTACATAATTTTTTTAAAAAAATCTCCAACATTGTAAACAGTCTACGAAAATGTGTGAGAGCATTTTACCCCCAACAACATTTACACTGCATGAGGAACATTCTCCGTTCACTTCAATTTCACCAAAGAAAAAAGCGACCATGTTGTTAATTTCACAGGCTCGGAGTGATGCATAGAGTGAGTAAACTTGACCTGCCTTATTACATCAGCCAAGTATCAAGAGCAGAACTAGAGTAATGTTTAGTTGCCGCACATCTTACTGAATCGGATGTGGCAGCACAGGCTATCTTGCACATAAACAGGGTGTTTTCAGCCCTCGGGCACGCTCCAAAATCGGGCGGAAAAATCGGTGCCTGCAGTGCTCTATAGTCGGTGACAGGTTAAAAGTTCAGGGCGAGGGAAAGGAAGGCTGGGGAGGAGGAAGCGGATGGATTGCTGGAGAGGAGGTGAAAACATTAACCCTCGCTCCAGCATTCGGCCTGCCTACTTTCTTTCGCACTGAACCCTTAAACTGTCACCGACTATAGTGGTGCTTTTTACATTGAGAAATTTCGAAGCATACCTCCCCTCATGTAAAAAAAAACTCAGTTGATTGATCTGCCGTACAAATTAGCTGCGGCAAGAGCCGAGGGTCTATACACCCTGCAGCAGACTTCTGCACACAGGCATTTCTCCAATAAACGTCACGGTATCACGTGATATGATGTGACACCATGATATCATGCGATGCTGACATCATATGACACGTCACACATTGCAATGACATCACATGACGTGGTCACAGGACATCACATCACGCGACAGCTTGATGTCATGTGACTGTGACATCTTGTGCCATGACAACCCAACACAAAACACAACCAAGGATCCCAGACATCAACAATAACGGGTGTCACCGTAAAATGAGGCCAACACCCTTGCCACGGTAGAGATGGACAACAACACATACATCCAAGTTAGCGAGGGTTGCATAAGTGGTGCCGCCTCCCAACAGGCACAGCAAGCAGACGATGCACCCAGACAAACACAAACGACGGCGAGTTTTCAAAGTACATTTTCAGTGCAAGAAAACCTTTTACGAAACACCAGCATCAAGAAAACAATGTTATCGCAAGATGCCTTCTTTCAAAGCATACTATCAGTCTAAGAAAAAACCTTGCAGCATAAAAGAATAAGCGAAAATTTAGGAAAACTGTCACACCTGCTTGAAAACTTGCGTGATGAGCTCTGGATCAACTCCATGCAGCTGGAGAACCTTGTAGAAGTTGTTCAGCTGTAACAAGAATGGTTTTTGGTGAGAGGAGATATCCATGCAGGGCCATTAAAAATAAATGATTGGATTGTCTGCCTTTATGGTGCTCCTTTGAACGGTCTAATCTTATTAAAGGGATACTGACACCCCCCCAAAATTTGTTTTCTTATTTTTTGTGCCAGGCGATTTAATATCGTGTCCGAAGTCTACCCAATCAATATTTTGATACGGCGTCGCATATATTTTTAATAAAGTCAAAATGTGCAACTGCTCGAAACCGAAACCGGACTGGGGAGAAAGAAGAAATATAGAGAAGGGGAAAGTTTCTAAAAGTCACGTAGTTGTGCAACTTTTTTTTTTTTTTTCAATTAACATTTTTATTTTTTATAAGCTACAAAGAATGGGTAAAATATTTTTTTGTCTAGTTTTAGTATTGAGCGTGCGCCTTCGATGACCCATGGCTTTGATTATCTTTGGTGGTTGTGTCTAAACCATAGAAAACGGCACACGACCACGAAGGAAAGAGTGAGCGTGAGCGCGGTTTTCGGGTGGAAACAAAACAAACTTCAAGCCGCAAATCGTGTTCTGGGTGGTTGGGCTCCCATATGTCATGTACAAGTAAAAACCATGGCCACCATAAATAATCTGTCAGTGTCCCTTTAATATTAAAAAGTATCTTCCAACAAGGCTTCATTACGGATTGGTACTAGCATTTCTGAAATTCGTACAATAAAAACAAATTTCCCTTCCAACTACTCATGGATAGGGGTATTCAGAAAGACCTTACAGAATTAAACTAGTACAGAAATCGGTCTCAAAGGGTAAGCCCAGCTTAGAAGACAAGTACTGTATTTACACGAATGTAGGTCAACCCATTTAAAAATTTTTAAAAATCTGAAGTGGAGGGGGTTGACTTATAATTGAACCAAAGCATCCCACCGCCAACAAAAACAAAACAATTGTGATATCAAGAACACCTCGACTTGATACGAGTTCAGCCGGCTGTGCCTGTAGCACTAAGCTATTCTGCGCGCTCATTTTACAAGTTTTAGGGGTGAAGCTCCTTAGGGTCTAGCCTTGTCCGTCCGGCGTCCGTGCTCGCATCCATTGCACTGCCTCCGGGATCGGCCCACTTTTTAAAAAAAAACGTACGACCGCACGGGGGTTCGAACTTAGGACCGCTTGCTTACGAGGCAGACGTCTTAACCACTACGCTACACTCCAACGTTGCATGTAGCCACTCAACATCTATACAGGAGAGGGCGTTGCGGTTAAATGTATCTATAATCGCGTTAAATTTTGCATGTATTGGCTCAACCTTTATAGACGAGAGGGCGCTGCGGTCAAATGCTCAAGTGCATATATAACTACGATCCCTACTACACATTCTCTTTCTGACATGGACTGTTGACTTAAGCGATGGAGATGCATTCCCACGGCTTCTAGCAGATCCAAGCTGATCCGCTTGAAGAACCACTGGCTCTGCATTTCACCGACCATAAAGCAGTAATAATGAAGTCTAAACGCAACCCGGAACTCAGCACTACCTATGAGCAATAAAACAAATCAGCACCATCAGCACTACCTATGAACAATAAAATCAGTATCATCAGTACCACCAGAGCTTCGCCCCAATCAACATCATTCACCACGTGGAGATGCGGCCCCTTTTCTTCTTTTTTTTAAATTTGCACGAACGAGTGTTATTGATAGCGATTTGGTGAACAGCGCATAATGTGCCCGACTCCCGGGGGTGACGGCACTTCTTATAAGAGCCACTTCGGAATGGCCGCTGAAAAACCTCCTGCCTCCAGCATAAGCTTCCTAGTATCGGTAACGCCTGGGTACCTGATACATCTCATACGTGCATGCGCAGCCAAAGCACGCCAGAAGGCATCAAGCGCGTGCTAGAGGCTGGGCTTTTGAAAGAAATACCCTGTTGTTCTCCCATGTTTGCTGTAAAATGCAACTGCAATTTTTTTTCTTTCAATTCTGTAAATATGGTACTTATTGCGACACGCAGACCAAATTCTCAAGCTTATTCGCATCACCAATATTAAAAATGGAAGTTGGCAAGAATTTCATCTTAAAATCATCACTAGAGGCTGTAAATTTTACTAATCAGACTCATTCCAACACCACCTAGATACTGCAAGATCAATGACTGATGGTCACACGCTTTGCATCACTTCTTGTCACTACAGAGAGGTGAGCACACTACAAGCATGCAGGTGAGAAAAAAATAATAGATGGTGCTGAACATGTATTATGAACTAGCAGAAACAAGTGATATCTCCAATGAACGTTTCAAGAAACAACTGCTGCGCTTCTTTTGCGAGATGGTGAGCCAAAATATGGTGAAACGGCCCTATTGCGGCATCTTAAATATGATTACCAGTTCTCAAAAAATACAAGAATTTAACTTGACTTGATCATTCTGATAAACCCGGCGAACACAGAATGTGTCATGCATGTATTATATAGGTGTTATGATTTTCTATACTTGGTGGTTTCGGATGGGTTGCACACACAACACACACCTGTGATCTCTGGGTTCAAGACAAGTTTAAACTTCTTCAGAAGCGAAGTGTCTAACGAGCATGTTTTAATGAGAAGTTTCCCTTGGCTTCCGATCTTTGGTGGGTGCCTGTAGGTATTCTTAGTACTCTTGGATTTTTAGGAGCCCTTGCGGCAACAAGTTAATCATGAGAGGAGGACGTTTCTCGCACCCTTTACTCTATAGATTGATTTTTGTCTGAAGTTCTGTTGTCATATGCTTGCTGCGCTATCCCTTGGTACATAACGATTCACCCCTTGGTGTCATGAATCCACGCAGGGAGCTAAGCTTCGTTGAAAACCAGGTGCACATGCCGACGGTCAACTGTGGACTAAGTATGAATTGCCACCAACTGTCTGCGGGTTAAGTTTGCTGGACCGAGTTTAAGCTGCCTCCAAAGATCGCCTGCAGACTAAGTAAGGTGGACTAAGTATCAATCGCTACCACTGGACGCCTGCGAACTAAGAACGCTTGTCTAAATATGAACCGCCACCGACGGTCCCCTGCAAAATAAGCATGCATGGAACTGTAAACCAGATTTTTTATTATATTTTTTTTTTTCCGGGAGAGGGGGGGGGGGGGGGGGTGTTGTGATTTCAGGTGTGGGGTGGGAGTCCAAATGCATGTGTATATTATAAAGCCTGTTGGATTTTAGGAGGGGGGGGGGGGGGGGGGGCGCTGAAATAAGCCTTCCTCAATGGCCATGTCACTGCTGTGAGCTAAGCATAACTCACTTCCAATTTTAAACTGTGGACTAAGTATGCTGATCTAAGTATGCTCTACTACGTATCACTTGCCGTGGGCAGTCGTGTGCTACCGTAAGCGACTCCCGGCAGCCAGTCTTACTTAGTCCAGTTGCTTGCGCTCTAATTCATCCACAGGGTGTCCCCAAAGAAAAATTCACGGTTTTTTACACCACAAAAATAAACTACCGTGAAACCAACGTAACGGCGCCCTCCCCCGAGAGATCGCCCATCCCGTTTTCCTGGCTAACTGTAACATAAAAATTCCGAAACGTAACCCACCCCCAGATTTCTGTTGCACGTCAAGCAATGTCCGACGGGAATCGCGTATCAACGGCGCAATCTGCGGTAACGATGCGTCCGAGAAGCGAGTTCATAGCGGGTTCCCGCGTTTTTGCCTGCGATCTGCGCGCACGATATCAACTCCCGTAATGTGCGAGTCGTTCCCGCGTGTATATTGCATCGTGAAATGCGAATCTGCTGCGTTCGCGATTTGCGGTATCCGTTCCCGAGTTCGTAGCGAATTCCCGTGTTTTTGTCCGCGATCTGCGCGCGCGATATCAAACTTGCGTCCGCGATATGAAGTATTTGTTTACGCGACATGCGAGTATGTAGCGTATTACCCTGTTTTTGTCTGCAATCTGCTTGCGCAATCGCGGACAAAAACGTCACGGGTTTCCATGACAAGCAAGATTGTAGCGGGTTCTTGAGTCTTTACTGCACCACGAAACTTGAATCTGCTGCGTCTGCGATATCCGTTTTCGTGAGATGAGAGTTCTCGGCAGGTTTCCACGAGTCTTTCGCACCATCAAATGTGAATCTGCTGCATCAGCCACTCGCGGTATCCTTTCCCGTGACACAGGAGTTCGTAGGAAATTCGCGAGAGTTTATCGCATTGTGAAACGCAAATTTGCCGTGTCTGCAATCTGCGGTTCCCTCGTTACGTGGTTTGTAGCGGGTGCCCGGCGCTTATAATTTTTAATAAAGTTTTGCTACAGCATCCCCAAAGATAGCCCACCCCATGTTTTTCACCATTTATCTCTACATTTTGGGTGGGCGTTCTTACGGTATTTTACGGTATGCATCAACAAACGCTCATTCTCAACCCAAATGTAGCACCTGAGGTCTGAACCGGATGCCAAACTTTCAGCACTAACCGTTACCTTATTCAATAGTATAAGCATTTTTCTGAAAGTTTCAATGGGAAAATGGCAGTTGACAAAGCTCTTGGATATATGACCTTCTACAGCGCCAGAAACCAAAAACAGGTGAAAAAGGGCCACATTTTCTCATTTAAAGTTTCACAAAATCATAACTTTTGAATAAGATAATGCTTCGTACTAAAACCTTGGCATCTGGTCCGGACCTCTAGTGCTACCTTTGGGCGGAGAATAAGTGTTTGGTAACACATAATTTATTTTCGCAATTAACAAAAGATTGCAAATTCCTTTTGTGGGAAGGTGGGAAGGGTGGGGGGAGGGGACTTGCTGTAGTTGTGGCTTTGAGCAGGGATGTCAGACTGCAGATTGCACGGTCTGGGGTTCGATTCCAGTTGAGCTCCTTGGTGAATCTCTCAGGTTTGGATTGTTTGTTCCTAGTTATGCTTACGTATGAATTATTATGACTAATTATGACTTCTATATGCTTTAAGCGCTTATGTTGCCTTGGCCCGCGTTTAACCCTTTTCGTCACATTCGAGCAGTACACTTTTCCATAAAATCCAGCCAGAAATGAACATTTTAACATACTCTGTGTTAAAATGTTCATTTTAGGCTGGAGTGGGCAGCATTATTCATAGAACTTGAACACACATGTAAAAGCAGCAAAGCTTTGCCTAAAGAAAACTTTCTGCAAATGCAAAGGAAGGTAACGCTGTAGCGTAAGCAAAGTGGGAAAGCGGACATGACTACAGCACTCTACAAATGGTAAAGGAAGGTCAGTGCCTGCTGTGGCACAAGCAAAATGACAAAGCCACAGACCTCCTTCAGCAGTACGTCCAGGGCATGTTGAGGATCAACAGGAGACTCCAGGTCACGTGCCAGGCTGGAAGCGCGGCTCCTCATGCCACACGGTTTGTTCCCAGAGATACCAGCAATGGCTTCGTGTTCCAACACAGCAGGCACTGCATTTCGTTAAGAAATTGGGCATTGATATATGCTCCCAGCTGACCAAGCAATGTGCATCAGGCAGTTCATATTGTTAGCGAAGGGGAACATTCCTTTGCAAAGACACATGAAGAGAAGCGTATGGGAGCTAATGTCCATGTGTCCAAGCCATATTCAAGCACTGGGCAGCGCTTCTAGTGACACTGTCACATGAGGTGCTGGCCCATTTTGATGCAACAAGCTAGTCCCTGGTTTAAATCAAGGTATCACAAACAGGAGGTAAGGCTTGGGGTGATTTTATGAAGATTTAGATCACACAAGAGACAGCTGAAAAGACACAAAATTCACCGCATTATATAAAAAGTAATTTGCATGCCTGTAAGTAGTATTTATATAAAAGAAAATATGCCAGTTTTTGGCCATGCATTCAAGCACTAAATATTTCCCTTCCACCACGAGTTTACTTAGAGAAATAGTGGTTTGGCCTCAAATAAATTCAGATCAAGCATCTTTGAAACTGACCAAACATTCTCCATAAACAAATAAGCCACCTGCAAATTACATAAACCAACAAACCACCGGCCCAGCAAATATGACAGCTCCACCTGCAAATTATTGCCTGGTTTGCAACTCTTACCCCTACTCTTTCCACCCTTGGTTGGGCTCTAGTGAATCAAGCAAAGCCTACCGATGAGGGGCTGTACTTTCTCCTCCATGCTTTTGATGACAGCTTGGTGGATCCAGACGGCAATGTCACTCATCACCTGCCTATACTGGGACAGGTCGAAGTTGCGCAGACACTGTTCGTTCTGCTTTGGCGTGTTCTCCACCTGAAATTGCTGCATGTGCAACGGAGGAAAAGAATAGCGAGCATTAGTGCAAAAAGTTTATTGACACAGGAGCTTTAAAATAACAGTGTAACAAAGACTGTTGTCTGAACATTGACAAAAGTTTACTGCTCACGATAATTGCCTCGAGAAGCCTTTCCTTTCAATCACTCAGTTTGAAACTAATATGTGCCACAGAACGCATGAGCAAAAACACCCGGATGCCAGTTCCTGCCCCAGCTGTTTTCATCGTTTCAAGGGGTCATGATGAAACAATTCAAAAGAACTTTAAGTGACACCAAATGGAACCTTCCATAATCCATTCTTTTAAACACACTGGAAAAAAAAGAAAAGTGTGTGGTATTTTAGACATGTTTTCCTGTACTAATTTTGATACTCACAACTTCTGCACCTAGTTCTGAAAAAAATTGCAAACAACCACACAAAGTGTGCTCTGACTGACAGTGGTAGCTGCTGCGTTGAGCAAAGGCATGTTGAAGGTGATTAGCCTCCAATGTTTGCAATGGGTTCTTTGCTTTCAATGAAATTGACATAGGAGACGTGCATGAGGATATGTGTGCTTCGGTAGAGTGACTGTGCGAGATGTTGCATGTGTTAAAAAAAGGACAGACACATTTTTTTTCCTGATACACTTTTAGAACACGGCGGCACCCGTGACTGCCCCCTGCGGTGGAAGAAGCGGTCAAAGTTAAAGTCAAATTTGGGGGTTTTACGTGCCAAACCTACGACGGGCATCTGGCACGCCCCAGCGGAGGACTGAGGATTAATTTGGACCACCTGGGGATCTTTTGACGTGCAACCGAAAGCTCGGTTGCCTTCTCCGCAATAAGCCTCCGTCATATTGCGGGCACCTCGGTCGGGATTCAAACCCGCCACCTGGGGATCCGTAGGCCGTCGCTCTCGCCTCGGAGCCACCGAGGCGGCTGTGGAAGAAGCGGAAGTATGTACACAAGCTCTTCTGTAGAGGTGCGGAGAGCATACAAGAACGTAATATCGGGACCAGTAGGGAGGGAGGGGAGAGTGTCCGCACAGCGCAACCATATGGGTATTTCGCATTGGCGGCTGCCGGACGGGGGTTGGGGAAAGGAAGGGAGAGCGTCGCCGGAGGGTACATGGATGTAGCAGGAACGATGGGGAGGTGGAGAGCACTCTCCCAATGATCACATGGGTTTTTCAGCCCCCCCAGTAGGCCGCCACTGTTCCGAAAAACCCACAAGATCACTGGGGGGGGGGGGGGGAGCGAGAGAGCCTTGCCACATTTGGCATGTATGCGTGAGGAACGACGAGGAGAGTGGGGTTTTGCGTTCGTACATGAGCATTTTTTGCCGGGAAGGGGCACTAACAGCTTTGGTCATACAATACATGCACAAATGCACAAATACATGCCCAAATTTCCAGAAGCACTGTGTAAAAATTAAGAACAAACCTTTTCACCACTGTACTGCTTCAGATTATGCATAAACCTGCAGGTGTTTGCGAGCCACATCACCGTGTAGTCCACATCCTCGTGTCGTTTCTGGAAAAGTATGCAAGCATTGACCCAACAACAATGGTTTGACTGCTTAGGACTGTTTAAACAGCTTGTTCTTTGAAATGCCCCAACCAGCACTGTCATTTTATCTGCCTAACACATAGTTGTTTTCTTTTTTGTTTTTTACAGCGGAGCTGTTCAGGGCTAGGTTCCCCAGGATCGTGTCCGGTATGTCGACACAAACCTACCTGGACAGCTACCGCCATCTATAAGCAACGGCGGCAAGCACACAACCAGTATGGTTTCCGCCGTCGCTCGTAGATTGCACCAACCTTTCCAGCTATAATAGAAGAATGGATAGTTTGGCGCGTTGGCGGGAATTCATCGTAGGAAACAGCGTGAAAACCAGACGACGACGAAGAAGAAGCACACAGTGTATCCAGTACAGCTCTGCTGGGCTTCCTTCTTCACAAAAGTGGAAAGGCTGGACGTTTTTTTAGCTTTGCAGATTTGCTTTAAAGTTGCGAAAGCTACATAAAAGCAGTCTGTGCAGGCAGAACATAGTAAGGGGGCCAGAGGGACATAGTAAAGGGGCTAATTGTCGAGATAAGACTAGTAATTCAACTAATATTTGTTCATTAATGTTTTAAATAGTGAAGGTAAACATATATGGTTACAATTACTAACTTGCTGGGCATCTTGGAAAACCACTATTCATTCAGATTCGTTGTACAAGAGAAGGTTTTACATAAGCGAGTGGTCTTGGTGCGGGCCCCCTGTTCCACGTTCCGAAAGCGAACCTGATACTCTGTTTACACAGATGCCTACGCCCTCTGGGGGCATACTGAAGCCAACACTGGTTGCCAGCCGCCGGAGGCGGAGCAACTAAGACTGTTTGCGGTCCCCCAAATCCTCTGCAGTTAGGAGCTGTTAGAGGCAGTTTTCCTCCGAGAGGGCGGCAGACGAGCTTTAATTTCAGCTCGTCGATTGGCTGCTTGGCCGGCAGGGACAATATGATATCCCACACCTTGGCTGCCCTTGTCAGATTGACGGCGGTGATGACATGATGAAATTTGGTTTCTTGAGAGGTTATGTGTCTAGTGGAGAATTGTGCTTCCACTCGCACAAACCAGAAAGCTAGGCCTGCGGGCCAGAATCAAGGAAGCTTCAAAGCAACGGCAGAGACGGCAGGAAGTGGTGGGGTTTCGGTGCCCACTTCAGTTGATGCACAGTTAGCATTTGCCATGCTGCTTACTGGTGGTAGCTTGGGGTCATGCTCGAGGTCCGAGAGTTCAGGTCACCGATTATGTGGTACAAAATGTCCGATACATAAAACCTATTTGAATTTGAATTGCTTGATCAAGAGAAGGTTTTACATAAGCCGGCGGTCTTGGTGGGGGAGCGTCGGTTCCTGGTTCCAAAAGCAAACCTGATACTCTGTTTACACAGATACCTGCGCTCTCCGGCAGCATGTCGAAGCCAATCCTGGTTGCAAGCTGCCAAAGGCGAAACTGAAACTGAATGTTTGCCAGCTGCCGGAAACAAATCAGAAACTGAACTTGTGTGTGATGTCTACACATCAGGGGGGATCAGTGGCCGAGTGGTCTAGCGCACACCAGCTCGGAGCACGTGGAGCGAAAGCTCGCGCTGCAGAACCCAGGGATCCTGGGTTCGAACCCCACCCCTGCCCGCTTCGATCTGGATGAGCATCGTACCAACGTGCGGTCGTGTATCACTACTGCGTGATGCACGTTAAAGACCCCAGGCTAGCGGTTGTACCGCACTGGCTAAATTTCTCATCTACAGCTGGGAGACTCGTCGCCCCTGTGAGGCAGACCAAGCTCTAGGCTGTATAAACATACACACAAACCATTTTTTTTTTTTTTTTCTACACATTAAATCAGCGAATCTTGGAAGGACTTGAAGCACGTGGGAAGCACAATGGTGCGCTAAGGTTATTACTCGGGCAACAGGTGCAAGCCTGGAGGTACAAAATAGCACCCAAGCAGTTTTTCAGTCTTGTATCATATGCATTTTCGCACTGCCAGCCTTGTGCCTGTTGCAGGAGTGGTAACTTTAGTACACCACAGTGCTTCTCACATGCTCCCAATCTTTCTCAAATTTAATGATTTAGTGGTTTTCGGTGATGCTGAGCGAGTTTCTTACTAGAATCATGTTTATTTTCACTAATTAGTAGTTAATTATTAAATTTTAGTTAATTATTCAACTTTTCGTGACAATTAGCCCCCTATATTGTATTCCCAGGCCGTATAACTTGCCTGTTTATTAGCCTTTATAAAGCAATCGAATGCCTATTTGGAGCCATTTTTTCATTGTATGTCCTACAGAACATACCATAGAATACGGGAGAAGCACCCTTTTCGTTCAAGTGCCCAGAATTAACTTTTTCCAAACTTGGGAATCCTGCAAACTTTATGTTAAACACCCAATTTGACCGGACAAGTGCCATGCCTAGATTAACCCAGTTTTCGGCAAAAATAAGGTGGGCGCTCCCCCTGTATTGGACTGTATATGCATGGTAACTGCAGTAATACACTATAGAACCTCTTAGCCTCGACAGGCTTCGAGTCTTGACTTCTGAAAGAAATGCAGTAACATACAGGGTGCGCAAGGCATTCGAAGACAACTTCAGGGTCCGTAAATTCTCACTTTTACTAAAGTAATCCCTCGTTATAACGAAATCGCTTTTTTCGAAATATCATTTTTTCTAAGTTTAATGTGGTCCCAACTGAAATGTATGCATTTTTAACCGAATTATTTGAAGTGTATTGGCGGCCGACCACGCTTATTATGAAGGCCGCAGTGCCGAAAGCATGCAAGCCTACACAGAGGTGCACGGAGACACTTGCATTCCTTCCCCCTTCTCCACCGAGGCCAACAGCAAACTGGGAGAACAAAGTAGATGGGTGACGGAGGGGACAGCGTGCAGAGCTGGCAGAGCACCACTTCCGATGCGCCGACACGGGGACGCAAGCGGGGCGCAGCGGGAGCAGCGTCAACGTTCCGACGCTAATCCCGGCGCCTGTGGCCGAGGCTGCCCAACTCCTGTTGGAATTGGGTTATGGGAGCAGTGAAGCCCGGATAAGATCATCCCTTCGAGACACCCTGACACACACGCACCTGCGTCGTATGGGAGATTTGGAGTGTTTACCGTAAGTCACTTAGATCTGCGAGGTTGTGAAAAATGGTACGAAATCACCAAAGAAATCGACATTCCGGTATCGTCTGTTCGACACTGTCTACCATTTTGCAGAACAAGCACATATTGGATAGGTTCGAGAAGTTTCTCATGCAGGAGAAAGCGCACCCATGACCCGAAGATTAAAGGTCACCAACTGCTTCGAGCCCGTCAGACTTTTTCTCGCGAGCATGCTTGTCGAGCCGGCACATGATTCCCAGAGCTACAACAACCTCTACAGGAGTGTGAAAACATGTTGGTGAAGTCACCGAGGACAATATTTATCTGTGCTTGTCGATGCAGACGTTTTCATTGTTGCTCCTGCCACGAATGCTGCGATCGTAGACCTTGCGTACGACCAGGGTAAACAAGAAGCAAAGTCTGTGAGGCACCTCGGAAACGCCGACAACTGCGGAAACACGAAGCATCCTACGGCTGCTTCGAAACGAAGTGGAGCGCAGCGGCAGCGACAGTGTCCTTGCGATGACTGGAGCGGTTCGAGGAAGACTGATGACCGGATAAAATTATCGGCAAACTCCACTTAATTATTTTTTTTACTCGGTAAAGCTGCCACGAGATGTTCATAACTAAGGTGTGTTTGATTGAATATACGGTCAGAGTGTTCCGCAGTGTTCCCATCCACCTTCAAGGCTGCTGACACAACTTTTGGCTCTGTCGCTTTTATTGAATTACCACTTATATAGAATTTTTTTGACGTGCCATTCACTTCATTATTGTATAATGAGGAATTTCTGCACATCTGTCTAGATGCCCGACTTTGTCATCAACTGCATCTATGTCATCTATCTCGTGTATCAATTTCAAAAAGGCTCCTTCCGGTTTGACACAAAAAATGAAAACCATGCTGTCCTGGTTGCATTGGCTGCAGACCATGCGATTCGGATATTGCCACCTTGAATCTGTCAAGGTCATTCATTTCCAAGGTCAGTAAACAACCGACGTTGCATTTGTGGCCAAGCGAGAAAACATTCCCAGGGGTCGGACGTCTTCAAGACAGCTGAGTTTGTTCAGCAGGTGCAGGACATTGTGAACAACACCCCCGGCAAGTCAATGAGGGCCGTTGTTAAGCAACTCGAGGGGGCAAAGTCTACTATCAGGCTTGCAGTGTGTGAGGACCTTAGATACCAGCTGTATGTGATAAGCAGAGGGCAGTTTATGTCCTAAAAGAACCCAGGAAAACAATGTCATCCATCTGAGTAATTTGATGTGCTTCAATTTTTTTCCAATGAGAATAGAACTTTGACCAAGACTAAAAGTTCAGCTGGAAGAATGAGAGGTGTCTGTACGATCTTCCATAAGGTACCTACAATCATGCGGGCCAAGTTTCCATCATCTGTGATGGTCCTAGCCGTTGTGAGCAACGAGGGCCACATCATGCCACAGCACTTCTTCCAAAAGGGCCTTAGAATCAACTCAAAGGCCTACCCGCATCGAGACCCTGGGCACTGTAGTAAAACTCCGGATAGAAGGGGTGGCCAGGCGGGGGGAGCATACATTTTTCAAGAAGGCTCTGCTCCATGCCACAAGGCCCACGCGACCGAAGATTGACTGACTGACAGCCTCTATGACCACGTCACCCCCAACATGTGGCCTCCTAACTCTCCAGATGTAAACCGCCTGGACTATTATATCTGGGGTGTCATAGAGAGAGAGACCAACAAGCAGCCCCACAGCTTCATAGAGTCGCTTAAGACTGCCATTCTGGACGCTATGGCTGGCATTGACAAGGACCACATGATCAGGGCAAGCAGCCGTTTTCGAGGCCATATAGAGTCAATCATTACCGCTGAAGGTGGTCTTATCAAATGAAGTTAGAGAATACTAATAGAAAACAGTATTTGTACCAAATTCCGTGCAGATATTATAATAATATTTCTTTTTGAAACATCTTTTGTTCTGCATTATCCCCCGTTATGTTTTCCAACACCTTGCGCGCCCTGTAGACGTAAGTGTGCAAAATGTTCGCCGACAGGAACATGTTTTTAAGGATCAATATAATCATGACATGCAGTGAGACCAATGGGTTGGACAATTAACATGCATGCATTTCTGCAATCAATAATAAGAAGCATCCAAGAAAAACATCTGGTTTTGAGCCAACACATACCTTAATGACTTTCCTGATGCCAAAAACTATGTTGTTCAGGAGGCTTTTTACTTTGTCATCATCATTGACATAGTCCGTGTGTCGGATGCACATGAACAGAATGTAGGCAGGTAGTCCTGGCAAGAGTGTCACAGCCAGCTTGGGCTTCAAGTCTAGTAGAAGAAAATAGAAAAATAGGTTCTTCTGTGGATAAAGACCGACTTTATCCTGTGCTTACATCATTGACAAGTCAAAGAAAACTAAAAGGTGTTACATTTCAGAACCTGATGGCTATCATCCCCATGTTCAGCCAAGATAATCACTAGCAATTACAACTGTTTGCTCAGTTACCAATGAAAATAGAATTAACTCATCCCACTTGGACACATTCTTGGCAAATGTAGGGATGTTCCTTTTAAACTAAACAAAGACAGAAAAGGTTTGCAATGACTAATGTTTGTCAAGTGGTAAATATCATGCATGTAAAAGACACTTCGCAGGTTTTATGCAGTGAAATTATTTTGACTATTAAATTTAGAGCATTAACTTTTTTAAATGTGTGCACAAGTTTGCCCATTTGCTGAAGGCCCCAAAAAAACTACAGTAGAACCTTGCTAATTCTATCTGTTTATTCGGAATCACTGATAATTCGCAAAATTTCCACGGTCCCGCAATTTCTTATGAAAATGTGACCAAATAATATAAGCACTCTGCGCGTGCCTACCCAATGGGTTCACCAATTTGGTCTTTCAGGTTAAATATATAGTTGCTTTGTGGTGCCAGTTGGCATCCAGGTTCGGCAGCAAGAACAAAGATGGCGTGCATCTTTGCTGATCTGTTTCCTGTTTGCTGGTCTATGCGCTTAGTAATCCCTTTGTTTGTTTGTTTTTTTGGCTCGGGCAGGCGTTGGGCAGGCTTAGTCACTCTTGCCTCACATGGAGTTGATGATCGGTGTCAGTGATCGGTATTCTTGGTGCTGCGCCGCTGTGGTTCGGGCCGTTACTGATTCACATGTAAGTCATTTAGCGAGCGATGAGACGAGAGACTCTCATCGCTGTCCCGTCGCGTCGCTCATCGCCTTGGTCACTTGCTCTCATCGTTTTCATGCGGTTTGCCTTGTTCCACGAATGACGAAGGGACAGCGAAGCAGGTCGCCGTCACTTGTCTCGTTGCTTCCCAAATCGCTTACATGCGACCTGCCGGGGAGCAGGAGGATACTGCCAGTGCTAGTGCCAGTATTGTCTGTGAGATTGCTGATGAGAGAGAGGAGCTTTGTTCGCGCATAAAGGACAGTGACGGTGGGTTGGTCGGCATGAGGTTGACAGACTACTTAAACTTGGAAGAGAATGACTAAACCTGCTACGCAGGCCTTGAGAGCGAAATCACTGAGTGTGATGGCAGAGATTGAAGCTGATGATAAGCCGCCTCGGTCCCCCACTCTAGGGGAAGTTATACAGTCACTGAATGTCGTCTGCAGCTTTGTGGAATGTAACGGCGGTGATTCCGAGATGTTGTGCCTAGTTAGCCTTCTTGAAAATATGCCGGTCGGCGTCGCTAATTACAGAACGCGGCAGTCCCATATCGGTGACCATTTTGGTGTTATGTTCTCTAGTTTTGAATAAAACATTTCCTTCAAGGTTCAAGGCTTTGCGCACAAGTTTTTTTCCATTTTCTTTTGTTTTTGAATAATTCGCAAATCCGCTTAATTCGCATATTTTTTGCCGTCTGACTGACTTAGAATTAATGAGGTTGAACTGTATTATATAGAGATTTAACATGACAAATGAAGTCCCAGGGGTTAAGAACATTTACACTAGGGATAAAGAAATCTAAAGATGATAATCTTTGTGCAGTCTTCATAGTACTCCGAATTTCCACACAAAAAAGATTCCTCACCAAGAATAAGGTTTTTGATGATCAAATTTTCATCCTCCTTCTTGTACTCAAACATGCCAAGGTTTTGAGCATCCTTGTGCTTGATTTCGGGCATGTTCTTGCCATGGTCTTCGCCGACCTCAACTTTGACCTCAGCTTGATCCAGGACTGTGGAAGACAAAGTTGCACAATCAAGCACGCATAATTAGGTAACACTAATCATGTTGCAAGTGTTTTGAATTACCATAAAATCCCGTATGAACGCCCGCCCCCGAGATATCACCCATCCCATTTTTTAGGCTGAATAACACAATCATTCGGAAACATTGCCCCATCCCTCCCCCTGATTCCCGCCGGATATCAATCATGTGATGTTCGACAAGAATCATATCAACCGCGCTATCTGCAATAACGGCACGTGGGACGAGCGAGTTTGCAGTGGCTCTCATGTTTATCACACCATAACATGTGAATCTGCAGCGTCTGCAATCTGCAGTATCGCTCCTGTGGTATGAGAGTTTGTAGCTTGTTCCCGAATTTTTTTGGTCAGCGACCTGCGCATGCAATATCAGTCCTTGTAACATGCAAGTTTATAGCGGTTTCTTGCGTGTTTATTGCATCGTGAAACGGGAATGCTGCGTCCACAGTCCACTTGTCAATTTCTGTGACATAGTGACATGCAAGCTCGTAACAGGTTTCCGCGCTTTGGTCCACAATCTGCAGTGCAATATTGGTTAAAGTGACACCCGTGTTTGGAGCGGGTTCTCGTGTGTTTATCGCACCGTGAAGTGGTACCCGTTTCCATGACACGGGAGTTCGTAGCGAAAATTCCCGCTCGTTTAATGCACTCTAGAATGTGAATTTGCCATGTTTGCAATCTGCGGTATCAGTTCTCGTTTCAGATGGTTTGTAGCAGAAAACTTACTCCCTCCGTCCTTCATTTTCTTGGCATAAATCTTCAGCTGCCGCTTGTACTTTTTCAGCTGCTCTGCCAACCCATCAATTTTCTCTCTCAAGTCCTAGAACAGAAAGCAGTGTTCAATCAAAACCACTTCGACACTAATCCCTTCCCATGGTTCAGAAGTTTTCCTTTATTTAGAATATCTTCAAAGATACATTATAGTTTCCCGGTTACACCCACATTTGCTATGAAAAAGTTTTACTGAAGCTAAAAGACACACTCAACCCTCACATGGTCATGTAGCTCAGTCAAAGAATACGTACCACATTCTCTCCTGTGAGGCGATTGATCTCATGTTGTAGAATTGCGTCAGACTGAGCCTGGGGAGTCTTCTTGAGGTTCTGAAAATGATGTTTACATTCAACGATTATTAGACAATGGCTCCCACAAGCTTTGTGGGAAAGTAAACACACAGAACTTGTTCAAAAACAGGTGCAGGTATAGACACACACAAAAAAAAAAAAAAGCTCCTTTAGGATATTCCAAGGGCATTCTAAATGCATATCATTTATTAGTCTGACGTCATGGCCACACATGTCAGCACCATGTGACATCAAACCACATCACATGACGTCAGTGTCGCGTGAACATTAGAAAAGCACACGATCATGTCACTAAAGCCCTGCATTCCCATGGATATCTGCATGCGGAAAAAATGCATCAGATTTAAAGGATTGCAGATTCTGCCGTGCTGCCGCAGCAGCACGGCAGAATCGGCCACGTTTTCGACGTGCGACAGCTGCAGTGCGCGGCGCAGTGAGTAGTGAGGATGGAGAGGCGCACAACCGAGCCATTTTTCACATCTGTCTGGCGTTTTTCTGTGCATCTCTACCGATTTCACTTAGATTTGGGCGTCGCAAGTAGAGCCAAATATCACGTTTCCTCGATCGCATATGATTGCTCCAAGGCGGAAGAAATTGGGACTTTGACTGAGCAAAATTGGGGATCTTGGATCCTCACAAAGATCGGCATGTCGATCAAATAAATGCCAAGACTACATTACACATTTCTGACTGCCCACGAAAATACTTTCTTTATATATATATAATCTTGTTTGCGTGGGTCCTTTCAAATGCGCTACATAGTTGCAAAAAGAGAAAATGAGTGTGTGCATTGCCCGAATTGAGAGTTGAAGAAAAAAAATATTGAGCAGTCCTGTGTTAATCCACAGTACAGTCACAGCAATAGCTGTGACATGTTACGGCAAAATCGTTGTGCATCTCCGTCGCGTTCATGCACTGTAAAGTGCAGGAACGAAAGCGTTCAGAACAAAAATAGATATCTGACCATTTTGTTTTAAACACTTTTGCTTTTTTTTTTACTCGAAAGCACGTGAAAGTGCATCTCCCGGCACAAGATCTTGGCACAGACAGTGCTACAACGGCATTTTGTTATAGGCTACTTTTTTTTACCAGAGTGTGCATGTGGTGGGCATTGAGTATTACAAAAAAACCGTAGGTATAGAGCAAGTTAATAAAGCTGCGGAGTAGCTCAGTGGCAACGCTTCCACTTCGCACGCAGCGGACCCAGGCTGATTCCTGCAGGCGGCGGGCAATCTTTTTCGAGGGTTTGGCAACGTCAACGACAAATGCCCTACATTGCCAATTACAACATCAACGACGACAAGTACCACAACATCAACGATGGACATCATTTCCAGTCGTGGGAATAGCCTGTACAGTATAGACCACTTACAACGTAACCGCTTATAGTGCAGGACCGGGTATAATGCGGCTTTTTTAAACCACCGGTTCGCCTCCCATAGAACTCCATGTAATTACATACCGCTTAAAATGCAGGCGCGCGAAGGGAAATACCGGTTATAGTGCGGTTTTCGGAACAACCCAGCGACCGCGCCGACTGACCGACGCAGAGAGCATGCTTCCCTGTGTGACACTAGATAACGGCGCGAGCCGCAAGCGGCACTCTCGGGGCAAGGAGGTTGCTTGAAGAAGCGGGGAGAAGCGGAGAGAGGCTTCAGTTGCCATAGCAACGGAGGGATGCACGCACGTGTCGTTCACGTGCGTGCGTCCCTTCGCTGCGTTGGAAACAACTGCAACGACAGACCAATCGCAGGTCGAGGAGAAGTGTTCGCGCGCGTTGCATGCCGGTCGCGGGCCGGCCGGCCGACTGCTTCTATCCGCAAACATGGCGTCGGTTTTGATAGTCGATGTAGACAGCGTGGTAGAAGCTCATCGTTCCGCGTAAAAGCGCTATCCTTGACTGTGAATTTTCGTTGTGTGTACTAGAAGGGAAGATCCACCTACTTGTGCGGCGATGTTGTGGCGGCACTCTCAAGACTGCAGAAACGCCCGTGTCGTCGTGTTTGTTTACTTCGACTGCAGTGGTGCTTTCTAAGCATTTGTGTTTTCGAACATCGCTTGAATTTCTTATTTGGAACATTTCACGCCTGTGCTAAAGTTGAAGGTATTACTGGCGCATACCGTATAAAGGATGTGAATTTTCACGCGTTTTCATCGCCGGAGAAAAGTGATTAGGGTTAGCAATCTTCAACGCTCGCAACGTCCGTCCGCAACCCGCGACGCTGTTAAAAGGCTGCGCCAGGCAAAAGTCGCTAATTTCTTTTAAAATGTGTGACACACTTGAGAGAGAAGTGTACTAGTCTGGTGAAATAAAGACTTTCCTCAAACTAAGCTTTATTTTTCATCTAACATAAAATAAATTCTTTTCCAAATGTAAGTTGTCTGATGGCATGCATTTTGGCCTGAAAAATTGATGTTTTGGTTATAGCGCGGTACCGCTTACAGTGCGGATTATCGCTACTCCCGCGACAAACATTATATGCGGTCTACACTGTAACAGCTATCGCTGGAAGAAGCTCATTTTGGAGTGGAGTGGCTCGTACTCAATCAATGACATAAGTCAACAACATGAGCAAAACGAAAGCAAAGAAAAGCAGTACGCACGAGCACATGCAGCATGCAGCATGCAGCGGAAGTGGCGCTGCATGCTGTTGCTGTGCCGCGCATCACCGGTTTTGAGTCTAAATAATTTGTTAGTGTGCATCCTTGTGTCTGGACGGTGCTACGTGACTATGTTGCAGCGTACAGGCTTTCTACGCAGCAACGTTGCCATGTGGCACCATTTAGACACAAGGTTGTGCACTAACAAATCATTTGGGCTCTAGAACGTGCAGCGCAGCGGCGACGGCGGCGGAGGGGAATGGTGGCGGCATAGACCTTCGTCGCTGCCACGGTATTCCTGTTCTCTATGCACGTCACTTGAGTGAAAATTTACGTAAGTGATTACTTTTCACCTAGAATATCCGTAACACCTGTCATTTTTGCTCTGTGGGGCCGTGCAATTGCTTTGTTAAACAGAAATATTTGTTAAACAAGAATTTGTTGTAGCTGTCAAAGAAACAGATTGAACGCATAGGTGATTGGCTGGGACTTTATTTTCGTAATAGAGGCATTCGTTCAAAGCCATTTGACTCTACAATAAAATTACTTTTAGCATATTTTGACGCAGAGTTTTTTATACAAAACATAAGCCAATGGCTTTTAAGCAGGGCCCTTCGTTTTCAGGTAAAACTCAATATTTCCCTATATTTACACCCTGAAGATGCTTTTCTTTTTTAAATATGATAAACACATTTTTCTCTGGTATTTATAACAAAAACTTTACCATTTTCACTTTTTTTATTGGCGTTGTATAAATGTGGAGCTGATTAAAAAAACTTGTTAAAGTGCGCATGACAGAAGCAATACAAAATATATTCGAGTAATATTTTCTGAAAAATAATTAATTTTCACGAAGGCAATTTTGATAAGACGGTGCTATTCCAGACTACCGAATGCTGCTCTGATGTTGCTGTGCATTGCAAACAAAAGCTTTGATATTGAGAAAATAACTCATCAGTTAAAGGGCCGCTGAAAATAAAGTTTTTTTTAAACAGTCCGGTTGGGACGCAAATGTCAACAAATAACTTTTTTTGCGAAAAAAAATTGTTAGAGCAGTACTGAAGGCAAGAGATTTATTTGAAATTCTGCACGCAAAGTCCATGATGCAACGGAATGGTCATTCGCTAAATGAGATGGTAATTCACTCTTTCGATCCACCTCTCCTTTACGTACCCGAAATGCCGAGAGAGAAAACAAGTGGAAAGGAGGTGACTACCGACTCAATCGCGTCTTGTGCAGTCAATACTGCTTTAAAAAAACATGAGTGTCCCAACCAGACTGTTTAAAAAAAACTTTTTCTTTTCAGGGGTTCTTTAAGATATGTTTGAGACTTGAGACTGGACAGGTCTGATATCAGGACAGAAAAGCTGCACACGCAAATACTTATGTATATCAACAAGATATTTTTTTTATTTATATAATTAAGGTAGTTTGTATTCGATTATCTTCATATTAACGACTTATTCATATAAATAAAAATCCCATGTCCCAAAAACCATATATAACCCGAAAATTCTGAATTCCGTTAATAGTTTTTAGAAAAACCCGATTTCTCCCCTATTACAAGCTTAAAAAATACTGCCAATTTCCTCCCCCCCATCCACCCCACTCCCCCTCCTAAAAAATAAAAACCCGAACATTAAGTGCCCTAGTTATAAGCAGGGTTCCGGCCTTTTGGGGTCAATTTTCCAGAGAGTTTGTGGGCATTTTTTGGGGGGTTAACTTTTTTTCTATAGACTCGGTGCTTTTCGGTACTGATTTTGGCCTGTGTTGAAGAGAATAGGGCACGGACATCTAATTCCTTGACCTCCAGCGAACATGCGCGTCACCTGTATGCTTGGAGACCATCCCCGTAGAGGCAATAGAAGAAAACAAAATAAGATGTTTGGCCCCAAAGAAAGAATCAGCCTCGCTTACAGTTCAGTTAAACCTGTTTTCCGGGTCAACGCAAAAATAAAGCTGTTGATAAAAATTTCTTCCCGTGAAGCTTGGGTTTATCTCCTTCAAGGACAGCTCGAGTATGAGGTTTTTTGGTTTTCCCCGATTTTGATAAAACCGTGTCGGGGAAATTAATTTTCGGGGTTTCTCGGTATTTACCAAAAACGCGGAATTCTACTATTAAGTTACAAGGTACCACCCAGATGCCTTTTGTTTTTTATTTACGCTTGATTTCATGCTGTAAAATGAATGCACAAATTGCAGGTTGAACGCTGTTTCAAATTTTGTGAATGCAGTTGGGTTGCGGACTCAAATGCGATTGAAAAACATTGTGGTAGCGGTTTGGGTGTGGATACGAAGTCTGTGGATGAGGATCAGATGCGGATGATCCAAGCTGTTATCCGCACAAGGCTTTACATGCCATCTTACGTCATGTCACATGGTCACGTGATGCAAGGTCACATGGCTACATACTTTTCTGATGGCCATATGACCTTGTGGTGTCAGGCAATGTTATAATGTCCCGTGACATCACGTTTTCAAAAAAATACAACGACCAGATAGTTTACTTTCTTAGAACCCGGGATTGCTCCAGCCTCACAGTCAGACACCAACTGGTGCGAACACTGATGTCATCAATGCAACGTCACCATCGAGGCTACATGTAAGCATGAACACAAAAGCCTTAAAGGGCTCCTGAAAATAAAAAAAAATATGTTATTTTTAAGCAGTCTGGTTGGGACACGCGTGTCAAAAAATAAATTTGACGCAAATGTTTATTTTTTAGATCAATATTGACGGCGAGAGATTTATTTGGAATTCTGCACGCAAATTCCATGATGCCACGGGTCATTCCGGAATGACCATCTCGGTCGTGAAGACGAAGCTGATCCACCTCTCCTCCATGCGCCCGAAATGCCAAGAAAGAAAGAAAGTGGAAAGGAGGTGACTGCCAACTAAATCGCATCTCGCGCCGTCAATATTACTCTAAAAATTAACTTTTTCGAGTAAAATTAGTTTTTTTGACGCGCACGTCCCAACCACTATTTAAAAAAAAAACTTTCTTTTCAGGGCCCTTCAAGAGCTGGCCCAATAAATGCTACCCATTTAACATGGCATGCACAGTGTAATGGCGGTATCCTAAAAGTAGTTTTGTTATGAATGTTTAGTGACATACCTGACTGATAAGCTTTTGTTGCCGGTCATTGTCCTCCTGGAGCTTTTTGATCTCGTCCCTGAATTCGTGCTCCATCGACTGCATGCGCACCTTCTCTGTCTGCAGCTCTGCCTCAAGTTGCCTGCGAGCAAGAGTTACCATTAGAGCGTCTAGCCATGACCGTAGTGAGTCCACAAATGGCTGACCTAATGAGCTTCTTCTGCGTCTCAAAGGCCATCAGGAGCTCCCCATCCTCGTTCAGTCGATCCATGTTGCCACGATATGAATCAAGGGCCACCACAGATTTGAGATCTTCGCTTTGGTTGGCGAGGACCGCCCTCAGCTGGAGGCATTCCTCACGCCGACGTTCCAGTTCATCCTGAATGGACTCGTAGTGGTCTGAAAGGAAGCACACTTTACAATATGCTCAGCATAGATCAGTCTAAAAACATTCGCTCATTCAGAAAGGAAATTGGGAAAATTGCAGGATAATTATGCAATATTAATAATGTCCAATTCTACTCATAATAAGAGATTTTACAAGTAATATATCGTCAAATTTAGGTTGACTTTGCCAAAAGTGGCTCAAAATTCCAGCAGTAAAATGTTTCTTTAGCTAGGGATAATGTGGAAATAGTATCTGTGGCTACAAATTGAAAGTAGTTACTGCGAGGTTCAGTTCATATGCCAATTAAAAAAACACCTATATAGTGAACAGTTAAACTTTTGGAGTTCAATGTTCAATACCCAAAAGACATCTGGAATGTCCAGCAAAAGACTGAGAAGTGTTTCAGACCACCTGGGGACCACTACTTGGGCAATTTGAGCTTGTAAGCTGGGGATTCGAAGGACAGTGCACTTTGCCCCTAATATGCCGAGACTCCTTTTGCAGTATCAGGTTTCTGCATTATTACACAACGATCACAGTGAGGATAACTAATGCTTCTGCAAACAACGAGCAATATCAACCTAAAAAACAAAACCTTTGCACCAGAGGCAGTAAAATAGATGGCAAAAGCGATTCCCAGGGTTAGACGAAGGTCTGCCCATGCAAAGGAGCTGAAAGAAAGTTCAATATGCAAGCCGACTCACTCATCAGGTCTTTCTCCCGGCTGGTTTTGTCCTCTGTTGCCAGGGTTTTGACCATCTTTTTCACGTCCTCCTTCAACTTTGAATTTTCCATTTCGAGTTCATGCAGCTGAAAAATTATTTCGACAGTTGAGCCCAAGCCGTCGGAGCTCATGAGTAAGACAGCAAAAGAAGCTGTGCATGGGACAGCAACGACACACAGGAGCAGCCAAGCCCACCAACCCGCATCAGTTCCTTGGCAGTGGTTTCCCTCGCCTGTGTCTGCTCTTCCCTCGTTTCCAGAGCTTCTACTTTCTTTTCCAGTCGCGACCGCTCTTGTTCCACTTCATTCAGTCGCTGCTGAAGTTTCAGCACCACCGAAACATCAGGAAGACCCTGCAGAGTGTAACAAATAATTAGTTAAAGGTTCGGCAGAAGTCACATTAAATCAAATTACTAGTTAGGTCTGCACTATGAAGAAGTGAAGTGTAGAGGAAATAGTAGGGCCTATCACTCACTGAGCTGGAATTCTTGTCTTGCAATGCTGCTGTGTTCTGCTCCCAGGAAATAGTATCCAGCTTGGAGTAGAGAGGGTCCTTGTCTTTAGACCTTACTGAACCATAGCCACCGTCCTGAATAAAATGAAGTAAAAATACTTTCAGATGGGCATTATTAATCAGGAAGCTGGAGAGCGAGGAATAGATTTGACAGTCAAGTTGACCAGGGGACATGAACAAAGGAAAGTGTAGTGTCATAGACAGTTCAAAAATACAATGTCTCGCAGCAAACAAAAAATATAAATCGGAAACTTAATTTTATTATATGATAGACTACGGTTAAAGCTATGGGCTGCCAAGTCTAATCTTGAGTCATATAGAAACCATGTGGTATACATTGCTTGGGCATGCGTATCAATGCGCACGTCTCAAAGAACAGACACGCACATCTGAGCAATACATACGTAGTATCCACGCAATTTCCGATTGGTTCATAACTGAACTTGGTGGCCCGTAGCACTAACCATAATTCATTGTAGGGCTAGATGAAGATATAAAGAGCATCTCGAGACACTGCTATGATGAGTGTAAGGAGAGAAGACACTATCCAAAATCTGACATCCAATGTCAGATTTCTTTTACGCTGCAAACCACTAGAGTCTGGATCTGCACCACTACATCTATGGAAGTCACGTAATGCTAGAAAGCTCAACTGGCAATAATTCAGCATCATTTATGAAGAGGTATTGTTCAACAGCCATTGTGTGGAGCCAGCGGCAAAACAACTGCTGAAGGTGCCAGAAAGAATTTAGCTGTTCTCCAACTGGCCACCACCATAAATATAATCCTGTGCACAGCAAGCATGCTCCCGTGCCACATCCTTTTACATTTTCTTTCCTTTTACTCTATCAACAACTACAATGTCCAGGTGAAAGCTACACACAATGTAGACTGTAACATTCCTGACCTGAAGAGTTGACAGAATACCTATTCTGTCATAAAAAGCCAAGAATAAAAAAGCTAGAGCACTATGACAGACTATGTAGCTAGTACGTACTCCTCCTTTAAATTTTGTTACCTTTTAAGAACAAAACTAAGTAAAATATGCCAGTGGTTGAAACCTGCCCACCTCATCGGGCACATCGGAAGCATCGTCTCGAACAGTGTCCGCGTCGCTGCGCATGCTGGCCATGCTGAGGTTAGAAGGCGTTCGCTGGTGACCCTTGCCGAGGTTTCGAATGCGGCTGTTCTCCGACGCCAGGTTCTCACAGCGCTGCTCCAGTCGGTCCCGCTCTTTCACCAGCCGCTGATACGCCGAGCGCTCCTCATCAAACTCAGCCAGCAGCCGCTGCCGCTCACTCTCCAGCTTCTGCTTGAGGAGCTCTGAGGTGCAAAGAAAGTACAAACTTTTCATACTCCAATCACTAGTTTCTTTTAATGTTGAGGGCTGTCCATAAACCTGCACTCAACTCTCTGAAGAAAAAGGGGAGGGGGAGTCAGTGGCAGAGCATTTTAATGCACCATAGCATGGATGCGCAGAGCATAAGGTTGTGCTGCAGAGCCCAGGTACCTTGGGTTTAATCCCCAACCCTGCCTGTTTCGATCTAGATGAGCGCCGTACCGGAGTGCGGTAGTGCATCACCACTGCACTATGCAGATTAAAAACATTAAGCTCGCAGTGGTACGGCGCTCGCTACATTTCTCATCTACGGCGGAGACACAATGGCACCCGGTGGGGCATACTAACTTCTCACTGTCTTAACATACAACACCATTATACTAATTTGAAGAAGGACAATTGTCGAAAGTGCAGCCAGAGGCGATACGAGTTGCTACATGAAATTGCATGACCAGAGATGTTTACATGCTTCACAGTGTGCTTCGCTCACACCCACACAGTGAGTTAGAGGCGAGCCACCTAACAGAGGAGCACCTGGCAGCCTGGAACTCCCACAATGCTAAGTTCGGTGCAGTGCCTCGAGGGGCACTGGATCCTCTTCAGCTGCCTACTCTCTCAAAGCCACTAACATTGTCTGCAGCTGCAGTCACATTGCTCTACGTCACGCAGGTAATTCCGTCATCATGTTTGCTGCAGACATGATGACGGAATTACCTGCGGACATGTCTCGAGCATGTTTCAAGCATGTTTGCTTCGTGTATGCTTTGAACATGTCTGCATTCAGTTTCTGAGACCAACATGACAGTCATACATACAGTGTCTGCAAGCTGTCTCTTGTACAATGTATTAGCAGTGTGACCACAGCTTTAGGCTGTACCATGGAGGCAATGGAGCTACAAGGACATTGGGCAATACTGGACGGACACCAACTTTTGAAGTAATCTAAAAGAACTACGAACTACTCGCAAGAAATGTAGCGAAAACTACTTTGGTTCACTACCTTCGAGCAAAGTTAGTTGCAATTTCTTCTGTAATGGCATCAAATAAACAAGCAACTTCTCCGAGATGAAAAAGAACCTACCGTATTCTTATTGAAAAAGAGGAAAAATGCTACTTTCATTCGTGGTTTAAAGAAATAACATCATACACTATATTTTATTAAGTGGTCAATATTGGCAGTGTTCCGAAATTTACTCAATCTTATTCCAAAGTAAGGGTTTTGTACCACTGCGTTCGAAAACCCACCCGCATTAAGCACCGCTCTGTGTTATCATGCGACACGGCCTGCCGGAGTGACTCAGATCTAGTTGGGTAAGATTTGGAACACAGCTGTAGTGTTCAATGTTTGCCTGTTTATAACTGTATTGGTTATTATACAAGTTTGGGCTGAATAGTTAAGAATAAGTTGCAACCGTATGCATTTTTTTCTTTCACTCAGTTTTTCTTGATTTGTAAGCAATTAGCCTCTCTCAATCTGTATACTTTGTATGTATGAAATTTGTTTTGTGGCTATCTGGCACTGTGCATATTGATTAAAACTAGATTATTTGTGTTTTTTTTTCTGTTGAGCTATTTTCTATTTTTTAATTTGTGTTGCTATGAACAAAGGTGCTAGGGCTTGATTAGGTAAAATCTGTTTATATCTTCCTTCCCCATTCGTAACATAGGAGTCTAAAAAAAGGTTAAATATTACGACACAAGAAGCCTCAATTCGATGCGTTGACAGTAACCTTTTATATGGTTGAGACTGACATGAGAAGTTCATTGCGGTCACACTCAGCACAAGGACTTGGAACCTGGCTATTGTTAGCAATCGGCTGTTCGGAATCTTTCTATGCATTCTTTCTTAAGCACAGCGATTTATATGACTCTAAATGGTCAAAGATGTACTAATGTTATTCAAATTTCACAACCTCATTGCCACTCAAGCAAGGCATATGCACGCACAAACAGAAACATTGTGCAGACTATACAACGAAATCATCCAAAACAAAACTTTTTTACAAAAAAAAGTGACCGCATCTCCACGCGGTTAATGATGTTGATTGGGGAGAAGCTCTGGTGGTGCTTGTCTGCGTAGGCGCTAAGCCGCAGCATGCCGAGCCTTTCGTTCGTTTGCATCCATGTCAGAAAGAGAATGTGTGGTATGGAACGTGGTTATATACGCATTTGACTGCAGCGCCCTCTCGTCTATAAACGTTGAGCCAATGCATGCAAAGTTTAACGCGATTATATACGCATTTGACCGCAGCGCCCTCTCCTGTATAGACGTTGAGCGGCTACATGCAACGTTTCATCCATGACATCCCCAGCTCTTGAGTTACTACCACATCTCAGAGCCCCCTACTCGTCCCGCAGTCGTGACCGAGTGGTTAAGGCGATGGACTAGAAATCCATTGGGGTCTCCCCAAACAGGTTTGAATCTTGCCGACTGCGCAAACATTTTTTTTTTTTTTTTTTTACACGAGCATGTGAGTTTACGAGCACGAGCAAGAATGATGTGAGCACGGACGCCGGACGGACAAGGCTAGACCCTAAGGAGTTTCGCCCCTAAAAGTAGATATTTTCAAAACAGTCTGAAACCAAACCACGGACGTTTCTTCACCATCCTTAACTAGCAAAAGATGTCACTTTCCAGGGAGGAAACCGCATTGGCATTCTAAAATCTATTCTGACCATTCTTCCCTGCTGAACCACACAGCTGAGCCCTCCACCATGACGCTGATGACTATAATTATAGCACAGCTTTAAAGAACAAAAGGCTGCATGCAGATGACAAACTCACCTTGTGCACTCTCCTGATTTGCTTTAATAGCCTTATTCATTTCTTCAAGATCTTCTTTGAGCTTGGCCTTATCTTTGTCTGCTGCTTCCACTTTCTGCAAAAGTGGAAGTGGACGTGGAGTATAGAATTATAGGGTTTACAGAATTGTTTGTTATCACCAGACAGCCCCAGTGCAGCTTTCAAACTGCATGTAGCCACAAAAGAATTTGATTTTGAATAGAAGAGTGTGAGGATGTGAATATCTGCAGAACTTCTGAAAAAGGTGTCGGCACAAATTGAAGCAAAAGGAATGGGATGAAGGAGCTGCAGCGTAAGTTTGCAAACAATGTGGGCCAGTGTGCCCCATATGTACGGACTATGTACGCACCAGGCACAGACTAATTTAAAGAAAAACATTTTTCTCCCCAAGATTAGCCTCTGGGTATGGACTATTGATCACTATCACCTCATGTTTTTCAATGTCTTTGAAGGCTTCGTCTTTAGATTTACCAGGCGATGTGAATATCCATTCACTAGAGACGGGTGGTGAGCGAACCTGCTGCCACATCTTCCAGCTCTACCTGCTAGGTACCGTCGATCTCGCTGGAGTTGCCAATTTGTAGTTCCGAAAATATGATACATTGAGTACCATGGGAACCAGTATTTTCCTGCAGGCCATTACTTGAAAACAACAATTTGAAAAGAAAAGCAAATTTTAATATTAAATAACAAAAAACAAAAAAAAACAAAAACACCTGCAGTTTTTGTTGTAGAATTCTATGAGTAGAATTCAGAGTTTATTTCCCATGAAATTTGGAGGATGTTTTTTGGAGTTTACTTTTCACTAAAAATTTGGGGTTTATAAAACTTTATTTTCATTAGATTTTACTTTTTTTGAAATTCACAGTTTGTTTTACAGTGTTTTTGAATTTTTCCCAATTCAGAAACAAAATAATTGAAGTCCGGGTACCATGACCTGAGGGAACCTTGGAGAGCTAAAAGGCAAACGCCTTTCGTCAGTAGTTCAGAGATTTTCTAGGAAATTGAAGTCACCCTGTGCTCTTATAAAGTTCATTTCTGAAACACAATTTTTTTTTGCTCTTTATTTTGTCGTTGTGACGTTCAAATTCCAAGTTTTTCGGATACATCCGAATTGAAAAAAAATTGGTGTTCTTTAAGTGCCTCTTACGATTTTTCTTATTTATCCAAAAACAAAACCCTACTTAGGAGTGGCCCAACTGAAAATTCTATTTTTATGAGCTATGTGGCCCCAAAAAATTGGATAGTAGGAATACCCAGAGGGAACCCCAATGCATGGCTTTCACTGCCGTCACATCAGCTGCCGTTGTTTGTGGCCTTGCTGCTGAGTGCCTACCTATTGCAGCACACACTGTGCCCCACCGAATTTGTTTCCCTCAACCAGAACAAGTAAGAAGAGCCACCAGCACGGTCTGGTGACGTCACGTGCAAGCCATGTGCAGAAATGTACAGGCCCCGGGGGGGTGGCTCACCTCACTCAAGAAGCTGTTCTTGGCAACCAGCTCCGCTTTTTCAGCGAGAACATGCCTCATTTCCGCCTGGAGGGAGGCCAGCGTTTCCTCCAGGAGAGTAATTTTGTTGTTGGAAAGCTTCAGGTTATTCTCGGCATTCTTTGCCAGTTCCATTTTCACCGAGAGACTGCGCAAGTCCTCTTCTTGAGCCTTGAAGGTCTTGTTTTCCTTAACCTGCATCAAACACACAAGGCCAATTTTAATTCAGCCTCCTACACACTAGGCATGGTATCCAGCAGCATCACCACAAAATATGTCCAGAGTGTGGCATCTGTATTGAAAGCCATCTGAGAGGGGGAAGACAAAAGTATGTCTTTTGAATAGTTAACTGGTTATACATGAAAGGTTTAGCCATTTCTTTATTTGTTTTGCAGGCTCAGCACTTAGGGGCAGAGATAAAAGAGTGATGATTGACAGAGTCTTCATCCCCTAATATATAGCAGCTCAAGATATTGTACATTGTGCCTTGAAAAGTATAAACCATTAAATCTAAAAAAAAAACTTACATATGCAGCAATTGCAAAATAGAAACGTACAAAATCGTTGCTACTGTTACTAAAAAGTCTCCTCAATCAAGCAGATGATTAGTTTTGGGACTGGTAGACCCTTTTTCATTTGCTAAAATTAATAAAAACTTAATATGGTTCATTTTTACTGTGTTTTCTAGCAAACTCTCATGTCCCTAGGCTTTCAAAATACTACACTGACATGTGTATACTGTATGAAGGTGCATTTTCGAGCGAAGAAAGAAAGGATGATGTTCGAGAGAAACAGAAAATATGCGGGACCGCCAAGTTTCCACTGCTACCCAATAGATGGCGCCAGTGTGTCCTCTCGTCGTAAGATATTAAAAGGCACCCGGTCTTAAAGGGGCACTGACACCCCAAAGGTCGTATTTATTTTTATTGTCTAAATCGATGCAAGTTGCAGTCATAGACACACAAAAAAAAACGCATTGCGAAAAAAAATTTTCTTGCGCCGCGCCTTTTTATTTTTGGCGTTTGATTTTCCCGCCTCTCGCCTCCTCGCTTCTTTTGATCGGTGACGTCAAAAATCAGGAAATTTAGAAGCTTTGTAGGCGACATCTCTATAACATTTAATAACGGCAATCATAAAACATGTTTTTTAACGCAATTGCGAACGCACTACGGCCCTTCTTTTTGAAATACCAAAAATCGGGAGTTCGTTGTGGTGCCGTCTCCTGGATTTGTATCCTCATTCGGAAAACAGGCGACACCGCTCAAAACCGGTCCGCCGCAACGCCGCCGCTCACTCCTTTCCTCCTCGCTTTGGGTCGCCATGGCAACGCAGGGAGTGGTGAAAGAAGGTCGACTCTCAGGTCTCCGCGATTTTTGACGTCAAGGCACCGGCGCCGATCGCGCGGGAACTTCGAATTCGGCATTTGGAAATTGTTTTTTTACTTCACGAATACTGAATTCCCAAATTTCAAATTTTGAGGGTAATGTCCCGGCATCGTTTTCAATCGTTTCGGATAATAAAAAAAAATATGATTTTGATGTGTCAGTGCCCCTTTAAGAAGTCGCAAGTGTGTGAACGGGCCTTAAGGCTTTCACCTTAAAAATGATGTAAGCGACAAATGAGGGTATTGGAAGAACACTGACCAGCTCTTCAATTTTCTGCTGGAGTGAGATGATCTTTTTCTCCAGGCCCTTGTTGAGCTTCTTGACGTGCTCCACTGACTTGGCCTCAATCTTGAGTTTGCGCAGCTCCTTCTTGGCCAGCCAGCGGCGCACCGAGGACTGGCACACCACTACTGAGCACACGTCACGCTCGTACTTCCGCCTGGCCAGCCAGCAACGCACATTCTTCTGCAATGTGCACAACCACACAAAACGTTTTACCATACTAGAGCAAGTATAGCGAGAGAACTAAAAACAGCAAAAAATGAGCACAAGAACAAGTAGAAGACACAGACAAAAACAGTGCCAACTATATGGTTTCTGCTACATTGGTCAGACCAAGCGCTGTATCTATGACCGTTCGACCAAATATGGACGGTGTGTTCAAAATAAGGTCCCGTATTTGGAGGTTCCAAAGCATGTACAAGATAGTAACAATTGGGTCCCTTTGTGGAATTTGACATCTGTAATTTCAACAAAAGACAATGACCACAAATGTCTGCTAAAAGAGTCAATTTTGATAGGAAACCATGAAAATGCAGTAAATAAGCCCTCCCTTTGTTTGGAAGCCGAGTGCAAAAAAATCCCTTGACCTCTAACTTCTGTGTGAAAAAATATCTGTAGCAAATTTTTTTTATTTTTTTTTTCTGTTAAAGATTAAGTTTTTGTGTACATGTACCTATATTCTTTACAAAGCAGAGCTTTAAAGGAATACTTCAACGAAATTTTAAATATACCTGTTGAGTTAAAGCAATAGGTTGAATACGATCCACAATATCCATAAATGACAATTGCACGTTTGTAGTTTGAGCCTGATGGCTGTATTTTTCGTTATAAGTGGCCCACTCTGGCAAACGCTCGGAGAGCAGCCAGCGAAGAGCACGTCACATCTGGTGCAATCACGGTGCAGTTTGTCCCAGGATAAGCGAAGCTGCGGTGAGGCTGATGTCATCAGGATGCCATAGCCGTTCCGGCCACCGAAGCAGTCGAAGCACGCCAGCCATCGGGCCATTACCACTAACCACAAATTTGCTTTTGTGTGAATTTTGAATGAGAGAAAGAATAGTGACGTCTGGGACACACAAAAAAGAGTCCCGTTGAGTGGGGAGTTCCTCCCTCCCCTCTCATGTGCTGGCTGTAGAGCTGTCGGGATGACGTCAGGTTCAAAGCATGTGTAGTTCTAGGCGAAACAGTTATCACTACCTGTCAAGGTTCCTAGACGGGCATTACAAACGAGGCTTTAACGACATTCCCCAGGTGCTCTTCGCTAATTGTTTAATTTGTTTTAAAATTCCTTTCTGTGTCATTTTTAACAAGATATTGGTATGCTTGATGGGATACTGCTCCTTTGAACATGTATAGACCAAGAAATACCGGTAAGTGCCGAAATTTTGTTATAGTATCCCTATAACGTCAATTCTTTTGTATGTGTTTGTTTAGACTGTGAACTATTGGTTGGAAAGCTTCACCGTCTTTTTGACCTCAAACTGACATACAGTTTGTGTTTGTATCACGTGTTTTGTCCTTGAGAGTGTCATTTCTGGTTGGTTTTTTTGCTTTTTGGTTTTACCTTTTCCGCCTTTCTAGTTCGGAATATATATAAATAGATTCTGTGGCAATAAAATTTCAGCTGTGTTTGAGACTTCTTCTGTCTTCTTGTCGTTTTTTTTTCTATCATCCCTACAGTCTCGAGTAATTCTAGAATTACGAACTTACACCAGCTCACTTGCGCCCTCATGTTTTGTGCTAACAACTGTCGTTTTCTTTCAGAACAAACAATATTGACACAAAAGAAGAAAGAACAAAACTACACAGAGTATTTTTTCATCACAGTCAGTCAGTCAGTGAAAGTCAGCAAGAGAAAAACTAGATAACAGAAAGAATAAAACAGAGAGGTCGAAACATAAACAAGTACTCGTCTGCGTTTTGCACTTTCTATGTTTTATTCTTTCTGTTATCTAGTATACTTTACCAACACGCTCGTTAGGAACATAAAGAAAAACTATACAGGGCATTTTTTCCATCACAGTCACACTCACAACCAGGGTCACAGTCACAGTCAGAGAGAGAAAAATATATACAGGGCATTTTCCATCACAGTCACAGTAACAGTTCGGGTCACAGTCACATAAATGTGCCAGTCTGATTCAAAAGAGAATTTATCAGAAAGGGTAATCGATTCTACACTGACACAAATGCCAGGTTCCTAATGTCTAATGAAAAAAGCCTCGTGAATTTCTCTAGCGGTCTTATTGTGATGTTTGGCTAGTATTTCAATATTATTTAACTGCAGAGTACAGCCACATCTTTTACAATGTACAGGAAGATGTCCCTATCCAGCGCTCCATAAAGAAAATGAGTGCTCACGAGCCCAAGCATTTACACATCTGCTTGTCTGTCCTTCATATATCTTTCCACAGGAAAGAGGGGTTTTGTAAACTACACCGATTGCAAACAACATATTTACAATAGTGCTTTACCTCACATAACTCATGTTTTGTCCTTTTTCAATTGCGGAGCATAAGTGATGTAGCTTTGATGGTGCGGAGAAGACTACCGGTGCATCAAACTTATTTGCAACCTTGTTAATCCTGAGAGAAATAATATGTACAAATGAAAAAAGGTAGGTCAAGGAAAGTCCTAAAGATTTTCGGAAGGGACTCCAACATCAAGACTTCGGCACATCTCGCAGTACATTGTAATAGGTGTGGGTGTACTTCACAGTCAAATAATATTAAGATACTGGCCAAACATCACAATAAGACAGCTAGAGAAATCATTCGGCTTCTTTTATTAGACATTATGGACCTCACATTTGTGTCTGTGTGGAATTGATTGCCCTTTCTGATGGTGAATTTTCTCTTATTAATCGGACTGACACATTTATGCGACTCCGACTGACGGAAAAAAGTTCTGTATATTTTTTTTTCTCTTTCTAACTGTGACTGTGACACTAATGTTTGTGACTGTGATGGAAAAATGTACTGCAGTTCTTTTTCTCTTTCTTTCTGGCTGTGATTGACTCTGACTGTGATGAAAAAAATGCCCTGTAGTTTTTCTCTCTCCTTTTATGTCAATCTATTTTGTTTTGAAAGAAAATGAGTCGTTAGGTAGTGCCGTTTGTCTGTGTCTTCTACTTGTCCTTGTGTTCATTTTCGAGCTGCTTTTACTTCTCTGATCATGCACCGACTCACCCATCTTCACAACTTACTGCACGCATGGCGATTTCAAGTACAGCAGCACATACGCTAATAATCTCAGCAAGTGGAAAGTGCCAATATCTCTTTTTTTGGAGTCACAAAACTGTTATGGGAAGGACTAAATGGCCCAGAAATTATCTGCAAATCAAATATTTGCATGTGATGATTTCTTTGAATGCTCAGTAAACCTGTCCTTAAAGGTGCACTAAAGACGTTTCTGAGATTGTCTGTTCTTGGTGATAACTCATTCTACGAGACCTTAGGATACCAGAACGCAAAAGAAAAAATGCTCGTGGAATGTCTATTTCTCTAGTAAAAATGGGATCAAAGTTCGTGCCACGCCCATTTGTGAGCAGAAAAATCTAGAGCACAGAATTCACTGGAGGCACTGGTGGCGTGACGACGGGCGCGCGTCAGCCAATCACAAGCAAGGATGCCAGCAGAGGAGGCGCCGCCGGCACCTCCACTGGAGTCAGTTTCAGATTTTTCCGCTTAGAAAGGGGCGTGGCACAAACTTGGATCACATTTAGTGGGGAAATAGACGTCACACGAGCATAATTTTTCAATTTCTGGGATGCTAAGATCCCATAGAGTGAGTTATCACCAAGAACAGACGAGCTCACAAACGTCTCTAGGGGTAGTCGGGCATCCTTTACGTGACCTATAATTTGCCTCAAAACAATACTTTTTTTGCAAATTTATTAATTTTATTTTTTAATGCTCACCCTTTCTCTTAAATTTAGTCTACTAGACTTTAAGGAGTGAAAAAGTGACACAGTGGGAGGCAGGGGTTCACTCACTGAGCAGTAGAACTTGTTTCCAACTGATCACAAGAAGTATGATAGCATTAAATGAATGCTCTGGAAGCTCGCTCCATTCCTTATGCAGTAGCATGAAACATGGCACATTGTTTTTTAGACTGCCTGCTCGACTTCCAGCAATGTCACGACACCGAAAAAAAACGCGGGTTTATCTAAATGTTGGTTTGGGCATTCCTTTCATTTGCAGATTTAACAATACATATTTTGAATTTAGAGATACTAAATAGCATGCTAGAGAGTTAAAAGCTGGTATTCAGCAAGTATAGTTAGCTTGGGTAGCTAAAAAAATGGTCAAAGTACCCTTTTATAGTGACACTGAACTCCCTAAGATATTTCTTAAGTGTAGGGATAAGACAGGTATATCACAAAATATACCAAACCCCACCCCCCCTCAAAAAAAGAATAAATAAATAAAAAGCTTGAAAAATATTTGTTTAGTTAACTATTTGTGCTGTGAGGCTCATTATGATATAGGAATGATTCCTAAACATGCTTGTATTTCTGGGTTGATGCCTTGAAATAAAAGCATGCTTTAAAATTGCTCCCAACTCTAAATGTGTCTGTCAACACTAAAAAAATCCAGAAAGCTTTGTTTTGTTTTTTTTCGAGGAAAAGCTTTATGTTGTGACCTAAGTGATCATCCCAAGACTTAAAAAAATATTAAAAGCAAAAATTTATTGCACACACAGCTTAACCCTGTAGTGTTACTAATTCGGAACAATTTTCAGCAAGAAAAGAACCATCGCTGCTTTTTCTATATCCCAGTTACTGTCTCATTTTAGCCTCACCAATTTCCTAAATTCAAAACCACAACTGCCATTGAAGTCACAAGTGGAGATGACTGGAGGTATGAGCATCAATTCCCTTAGGGGACAGTTGCACTGTAAAGGTCAAGTGCCACAGGGTCAAAAGAGGGAAAGGCAAACCTGAATGACGATCGAAGCTGCGTGGCGACGAAGCTCCATGAAGCGCAGCCGGGCGTACATTCCCCGAATGCGACACTGGAGGTGTAACACCAGCAGCCGGAGGTGTTGGTAGTGCTTCCTCGCCAGGAAGCCCCGCACTGACTTCTGGATGGTGGTCGCTGCCTTGGTGCAGCGCAGGAAGTGGGCATGCCTTTGGGCCAAGGGGACAAAGACGGGAGCTACCGTTATACAAACCAGGAAGCCAAACCCTAACAGCCACATAAAGTAGCACAGAAGACAATGTTAGGCCTGGTTCACGCATTTGCACTTCACTGTGCTTGAGCAACCCCACCCAGAATAATCGAGGCCTGCGAATGTCCTCTTTCTCCGTGGAATGTCATCACATTCAGATGGCGCCAACCCGGCAATTGGACACAAGGCCCAGCCAAACACCAAAACAGTACACGTGTCCAATCTGTGTCTTTGCCCGACCTCACAGTCACAACGTCAATATCCTAGTGCACAGGCCTCAATTATTCTAGGTTGTGTTGGCTCAAACGCGTCGCATTCTCTCATAACCACTTACAATGAGAGACCGCACTGCCAGTCTATCAGATAGCACTGAAACTGCATATAACTAGACTGAAAGTTTTGATATGCAAGATCAAATCTATGCACTCTCTGTGAAAAATGGTCACTTATAACATTGTCAGAATTATTTCAAGGTAAAAGAATGACAAAAAAAAATATAAAAAATGTATGCACTGATTGAAAGGGTTTTGGGAAATGAAGCTAACGTGCCCTCTTGTCGTAAGTGGTTACGTACAAGAGAATAGAACACACTCGATCACAGTCAAACTCAAATGTGTGAACAGCCTTCCCTCGCATCAAGCACCCTTTCTACTCACAATAAGATGTGGCTTATACCTGAACGTTAATTTACGGTCATAATGGCAGCATTTGGAAACCGGAAGAAGCCACTTGAAGCTCCAAAACGGGAGCCAGAGCTTCGCTATACTTGGCTCAACACTAACTGCAATTCTGAGTCTCTTGAGCAGCAATAAAATACTCAAACAACAGGCGAGCTGGTGACAATCCATCTTCGAAACACCTCGAGACTGAGAAAAACAAAAAAAAGGGGACACCACACACTGAGTCTCAAATGCAGCTACGGTTTACTTGCCAGCCAAACTATTATAGCTTTCGTCACCACTTGTGTACACCAATTCCTCCAGACAGAAGTGAGCCCCACAATCAATTCCCACATACCCCGCCACACATCCTGCCACTTCACACATAGATATGATAATCCTGCATTCCCCAATGAAGTCATTATGCTGCTGCCTGTCGATCGATGCAGACCGCTGACACTAAACCCCCCCCCCCCCCACAAAGCATTTCTCCTTTTCAAACAAAACCCTACCAAGACAACCTCCAAAAGTTCCCAGACCAACAACAAACAAGGCACCATAAAGCCACATATTCTTGGAAAACCTCAGACTGTGGCTGGCCAATAAACCGTTGCTGTGTTTGAGACTGTGTGTGGTGTCCCCGTTCTTCCGGTTTCCCCACAGCCGCAAGGTTTTTTTAGAGAACAACTCTCGATCAGGTTTCTTTTCACATTGTCACCAGGCTAAGCCACTCTCATAATTTGTTTAGATGCCAACTGCAATTAGAAACCTCTTGAAACCCAATGTTCTGCTGAGTGCTGCCCAATAATAATAATAATAATAATTTTATTTTCCTTTATTTACAAAGGAGGGAGATAGGGCAAAAAGCTGCGTGGCTTGCAGCTTGACGAGGCCCTACTCCGTGTGGCAAAGCAGCAGAGACATTTCAAACAGGACACGCAAAAAACAAAGTACTACACCTTATTGCATCGATTATCTACAAAAAAAAAGTCGTTAACACTGTTTTCCAATAGCATTTCGCGTAGCATACCCTTTGATTTTTTAGTAATCTCAATATTTTCACCTTCGAGCTCATTTAAAAGTGACGGTAGTGTATGTTTTAAAGACGTTAGTCCATAGTTTGTGCGGGAAGTAGTAACACACCAGGCCCTCACTGTGTCTAGTTTCATACGTCTGGGTTGCTCTCTCCAGGCCTGACAGTACAGAAAGAAAAAAGTTGTTATTTTGTTTTACTGCCGTATTGTAGACTCCCATCAAGCGATAGTTGTACAAATGCATAATTGTCACAGCTTTATGTTTACGAAAAAGCTCCTCAGAAGAATGCAGAAAAGAAACATTTTCAATTATGCGAAATACTTTCTTCTGTGCTAGTAGCAGTGTTGTTAAGTTTTGTTTCGTTGTGGTTCCCCAAACCAGGTGACAGTACACGTAATGTGTGTAGATCAGAAAGTAATACAAGAGCAACTTCACTAGCGCGGGAAACATAAAACGAGTTTTAGATATTATTCCTATGGCTTTGCAAACTTTCCGGTGAATATACTCAACGTGTTCAGTCCAAGAGAGTGATTCGGTAAAAATGACACCAAGAATTTTAACAGATTTTGCAATCTCTAAGGGAGATGAATTCATCGTGATATTTAAAGGCAACAATATTTTACGATTCCGTAGTCTAAACAGTAAGCATTTAGTTTTGTCTGTGTTTATTTTTAGTCCATTAACTTGCGTCCATAAGTATAGATTTTCAAGAACAACTGCCGCCATACTTTCGATCTCAGAAGTTGTTTGACCTTTAATAGAAAGAGTGGTATCATCTGCATATGAAAAGAATTTGACGTTTGGTGCGCATTGTTCGATATAATTTATAAACAATATAAACAACAGCGGCCCAAGTACACTCCCCTGGGGGACTCCAGTCAATTCTTTTGGTTGCTGAATTATAATTATTTATGCTAACAAACTGCGTACGATATTCCAAATATGATTTAAAAAGTTTAAGTCCAATTCCTCGGATGCCATAGTGCTCTAAATTTTTAATTAGTATGTTATGATTAATTAAATCAAATGCCTTAGAAAAGTCAATATACACATCTAGAATAAGCTCTTTATCCTCGATAGATTTGAATATTTCTTCCTTTTGCATTAGCGGCGCTGTTTCAGTTGAACGCTTCTTCCTAAACAGTGTTGAAAATCGGCGAGTATGTGATGTTTTTCTAGATAACAAGAAAGTCTGTGATGCATTATTTTTTCAAGACCTTTAGAAAATATTGTTAACAAGGAAATCTGTCTATAATTTTTAAACGTGTTCTTGTTGCCCCCTTTGAATATAAGCACAACTTTCGCAACCTGCATAGCGTTTGGAAAGCAACCAGTTGAAAGAGTTGCTTTCCACTGGTTGCTTTCATGCATAAATCATGCAGAATAGAAACCTAAGCACAGAAGCTCATTCTTAACTTCCCCCATTAATTTTGCTGCAAAGGGACAATAAAGGCTCTTAGAAGCCACTCACTTGCGAGCAAGCATGCCTCTGCCGTATTTCTGCAGTCCTCGTGCAGCGTTGAGGAGGAGCCTGTAGCGCTTGCACTGCAGGTATCCACGAATGTGTTTCTGGATCATGAGTGCGCAGGCCTTGTGCTTTGCAGCACGGAGTTTCTCCAGGTAGGCCACCTGGCCTGCTCGGAAGAAGATCTTGGTCTTGCCAAACTGGAACTTGTCTTCTTCCTACAATGACAGAAGGAAACCCAAAAAGTAGGAGCGTCTGCTGAATCGGTCAATTGTGAGGACTCGTTCCATCAAGGGTTCCGCTGGCAATGATTAGCTCTTGTGTATGTAAACTACAGAAGAACCTTATTATGAGATACAGCCTTAGAAGCAACTCCTGAATGACATGGAACAATTGAAGCCATGAGCTTTTAGTAGCATTCACCTTAAGTTGGGTTCTGATAAACAGCACCTCTAATAAAAGCACCCAACCTGGAAAGGTCCCTACAGGCTCGTTTTAAAGTGCTTCCGATACTCCCTAAAAATTGTTTTGTTTAGCAAAACACTGCACAGAACTCTTTCCAAAAGTTCTGTACAACACTGTGGGAGCAATGACCACAAGCATGTGGCCCTGGAACACACTTTGCTGTACAAGTTCGTTTTGTACAAGATGACTTCTGCTGGTGCACAATAAATGTTGTAAACCGAAGGGCCATACATGTCCGTCGTTATCCCTTTTTTGTGTTTTGCTTTGAGTTTTTTTCATAAATACGCAAACATTGAGCACCTTGTTGCAATAATCCCAAAAATAGACGAGGCAACGAAATGTTGCTAGCAGACGCGGAAATGTGGAATCTGAGCGTGGCGCAACAAGAGTTGGTCCTGTCCTTGGAGTGCATCAAGCTCTGGCATTTGGCAGGTGGCACTGATAGTACTGTGTACCATGCATTGTGGCATAGCACACATTCACTGGGAAAGAAACCTATTCTGAATGGCCAGCTTAAAAATTTAGATGCCGCATGTATGCTTGAAAGCTATTTTCAACAGTAGTTAGAAGACAAAACATTTCAACACAGCACTGCATCTAGGCACGCAAGCGCTTGGAACGACGACAAAGAGAGGATGGAGCGAGCGTAGACACGGCCAACGCGGGTCGCACAGCACCAGATATTTGAGAAACGTTTATTATCTACCCAAGAGGCAACTGATCTTAAAAATGGTGCCTACTGATAACTAATCTACTGAAAATGCATATCCAAGTAATGAGACATACAAGCTTTCGCATAGAATGAAGCTATTTTGTATCAAATTCAGGACCCGAGTTTATGTTGACACACACGAAAAATCTCCGGAACCCTAGCCATAGACAGGTTCGCTGTAAAAAGGTATTGGAGAACAAAATCGGCATACTCTAAGATGGTTTGTAAATTCTTAGTCAAGAAAAATAGACACCCTACTTCTTTCCTACCCGGTGAAAAATTTTAAAATCGCACCACACGAGATCATTCTCTATAGACAACTTTAACCATCAAAGGCATGCACCACAGTAGCACGCCCTTGGCATCTACTGCTGTGCACAGAAGGCAGACTGCAACCTGAATATCAATGTACGATGAGGCTTAGTTACAATTCACAAGACATACATACATTGCTAGGTTTTTACTGGGATAAAAATGAAAAAGTACTTATTACGATTCTCTGCTGACAAATAGAGTTGATTAAACCTATGTGCCATAAGCTGTTTTCAAGTTGCTTTTTTCTAGGGTAAGGACATTTCAGACTGCCAGCTGCCCAAGCGAAACCGAATAGAATACCTTAGTGCAGTATTTCAAGGGAAAAGATGTTCATTACATGTATCTAGATCAGAGAAATCAAACAATCTTAGAAAGGCATGCCTGCATGCGTATGACACAGCTGTACCTTAATCACATTTTCCAGGATCTTTCTGCAGGTGGCTTTCATGTCACTCCTGTCAATGTCCTTGGCACAGGTAAGCACTCTGTACCTGCTCAGGAACTCCTGATAACCCCATCTGCAGCAAAAAAACACAGTCCTAGTTAACTCAAAAAGATTACATGCTGTATGCTCACACTGCACTGGGATTCTGTTTCAACTGCATGACGAGATGCATTTCTGGATCGTTTTTTAGAAGCTACCCATGATTACGAGCCAATGCTATGGTAATCATAATCACATGACCCCAGAAAGTACCTACAGCGTGTGCCCCATAAACCTTAAGCGTTTTTCTTCACTGCAAAAATAAACTTTGCACCACCAAACTCCCTTTCCCTCCCGAACGCAACGCTAGCAGTGCAGACCAAATGCCCACCTTTCAGTACTAACTGTTATCTCAATCAAAAGTTGTGTGGTTTTCTGAAAATTTCAAAGAAAATTCTTACATGTTTTCTGTAACCGCCGCCATTCAGCTCCATGTGTTCTAGAGCTCTGTCGGCCGCCATTTTCCCATTGAAAATTTCAGAAAAACGCACAACTCTTTATTCAGATAACGGTTGGTTTTGAAACTTTAGCATATGGTTTGGATCGCCAGCACTACGTTCGGGAAAAGAGAGTGAGCATTCATCGATGCATAGTTTATTTTTGAGGTGAAAAAAACACCAAATCTTTTGGGGGGACACCCTGTATTTATTGGTTTACCACCAAGCGTAAAGGAATTACAAAGGAGTGTGGGTAAGGTTAAGTACAAACAATAGGAAAACACACAGCAAGCAAAATACAATAACACAACTCAAAAGCTCACTTAAGGTGCCTAGTGAGGGTGCTAGGAAATTTATCACAAATAATCTCCTTCACAGATGTAAAAAAATTACTCCAGGCAACTGAGGTTCTGATGATTAAAAGAAAATTATGGAACAAGTTGGTGTGGCAAGATGAAGTGAGAACTTTGCCTATAATCAATCTGTACTGACCGGTAAATGGTTGTGTTCCCAATCTACTATAGGGAGGGGATTGTCACAACAAAGTTTATGACACAAATATACCTTGTCAAAATACGCTTCCATAAAGAAACAAATTTTTCAATATTAAACAGGACTTCATCGCTGTAACAGCGAGGAAGACCTGTTTAATATTGGCAATGGTGGTGCAATAAAGGTTGGAAAATATGAAATGTGAGGGATAGTTCTGTACTGCCTCCAATTCCGAGACGCCAAGGCCTGACTGATTAAAGCCAAGGTCCTAATTGATGCACGAAAACCCTACAGAGCAATACTATTAACCTTTCCTAGCAGTTTTTAAACTCAGAAAAAAGAACCTAAATTGGATCTACTTTTGATTACCATACTTTTAAACACAATGACCAACTAGAAACTTAACCCCTTGCCTACTCATTTTTTTTCTTTAAAGATCGTACAGAAAGCTTTATTTAAATCAAGCAATTTGCGTCAAAATAAAGAAAAACGTTTCCTTGACTTTCAGGCGTAGTCTCGTGCTCTATACCAGGACTTCTGGTCGTTTCCTCTTCTTCAGTAGTTCTTCACAGTATGATAGAAATCGAGAGATTAGCAGAAACCTCACATAGGACATCGTTTTGCCGAAAATTGGGGTCTCCACTATGGACCTTTGGACCAGTTCATTTTGACTGTGTGTTCTTTCACTTGCGTCATAATGATGCACAAGGCAAAGTATGCCTTTATCTCATCCGGAGTGGTGTCAAACCATTGCTCTTCATAGCATTTCTTGGGACGATCCTCGTCGCCCATCTCTTGTTCGGCGTAGCGATTTGTCTCAGCAGAGACAGACGCCCAAAAATCATGACTTGCGAACACGCAAAAGGTCGACAAGGCGCTTGTCTTCTCACCAAGACTGCGTTGAACCCTTGCTGACACACCTGGGGTTTCTACAAAGGTGAACTGAGCAGGCTGGTTGTCCCTCTTCTCCCAGTTCCACTGACGTGCAGACGCCGAAGTCGATGAAATGCTTCCAGGATTCGCATCGTTTTCAACACTTTTCTCACTGTCCGTTGAACTCTCATCGGATTCCGAGTAATCAGAAAGGCAGCAGGATTCGTCGTCAGAAATACTGGCGCATTCATCACTTTCAAAAAGAAGTCTTTGTATATCTTCGTCCGCCAAAGCAGACCTCCGCGCCGAAGACATGTTTTTGGCGCGCTTGCTTACAAAAGCGCGCTTATTTTTTGTCAATGGAGCGCCCTCTCTCTGTCAAAAGGCAAAGCAAACAAGAAAAGAACCCAAGATAAACAGGAGCAACAGGGGTAGTGCTGCCATCTGCCGCAGAGCTCACAAAACAAGCTCTGAAACCGAAACACGAGTCACACTCGTGGTCGGGTTTTATGGTCCGTAAATGACGGCACGAGTGACACTCGTTATTAGTAGGCAAGGGGTTAAATGCATTCCCAATGCATTCAGTGCAAATAGGAGAGGAGGAAAAAATCTGGTAAGTGGTTGTTAACTTTGTCTCCAAAGTGCTAAAGGTGGGTCTTACACGACCAGTTTTTCTCCCTCCTACTAGCTCTGACCTTCAAGTCGGAAGTCACCTGTCACGTCACGCTTTTCGTGCTTAAGGCTGGTTCACAAATTTGCAGTAAAATATGAACGAGTATGTTGCAACAGCTCGCGATTATTGACGAGAGAACACTGGAGACAAGATTTGAGAGAGGGAGCAACTCAAGCCACGGAGAGCATCCGCAATTTAACGGCAGACACCTCCTGAACAGATATGTTCCTTACGTGCATTGCTGCATAGAGAGGCTAGCAAGAGGAGAGACTGAGCAGAGCCTGGAGATGTTTGCAGGCAGTCGACGCTTTTGACTCCCCCTCGCCACTAATGTTGCAAACATGCCCCATAAATCATGTGACCCTGATCGAGCAGTTGGAAACACTGAAATCTAGGCACAATAGCACACTGCCACCATTTATTGGGTGGCCCTAGAACACTTCCCATCTGGAAATCTTGCAGCAAGCTTGCTGCGAGACTTCAGTCTTAAGCGTGGCACAGCGTTGTCGGGCATTGCTCACTTCCAAGCAAGCACGAATCTACATTTAATTTTACAACTTCTAGGCCACAAAACAACCTGGAACGACTCTAGGCATCGTCCTAGACGTCGTAAAGATAACAGCTTTGCTAATCCTCCATCTTCACGTGAAGTGGAAGGGCTCTACAATTTTTGCTAATATCCGATGTGAGTAAAGGGTCATCCTTGAGCAAAAACAACTCAAATATAGGGATGGGCGAATATTCGGTTATTACAAATAGCCAATCGGAATTCTGTTCTATTCAGCATTCGCTTCAAATCGAATTTAAGTATTCAACAATATTGAATTATTCAACAATATAAAATTATTCAACAATATAGAATTATTAGACCTTTCTAAATACGTCAAACCCGACCATATCAAACCCGTTTACATTGAATTATTCCTTATTTTGAACAATTTGCGTGCACAGTAATGTTAGTGATAATATATAGCAAAAACTATGGTTACATCGAACAAAAATAGCAGCCACTACCAATATATCGAACTGCCAAGAGCGCCGTTTTGCTCTGCAAGCTGGCTTTCCCCCAATGCGAGCGGCCACATTGGGGGAAAACCAGCTTGCAAAGCACACAAACTTTTTTTTTTTTTTTTTTTACTGCTTGGAAGAAAAGAAAAAATTATCTTAAGGACTCCGAGCCGTCACCTGAGGCACCACCACCTCCATCATCGTCGACGGAGGGTGGGACGGGAGAGGGGGTAATCCCATTCTCCCCCATCTCGCCCTAAAGCAAAACTGCTGGGCCGATTTGAATGAAGTTTATTCTCTCTCTTGTGGAGGGAGCGGAGAGAGGGTGCTCCGTGCTTCCTCTCCCCGCTCCGTCCACAAAAGAGAATATTATTTTTTCATCCAAGCAATTGATGCGGCTGCCCGGAAAAAAGAAAAAAAAAGAAAAGCCAGCTTCCCACTTGTCTTAGGGGGAAAGCCAACTTACAGAGCAAAATGGCGCTCTGCAGGAGAAGGTGCTCCTGCTCGGACGTACTCCGTGCTCTCGGCACAGTTCGGCGCTAATGCGCAAATATAGAAGGCAGCAACCTCAGCATTTTGGAGTCCGTCAATAGCGTAGAAAAATATTGTTATCACGGATGCAATGAAAAAAAAGCAGCAGAAGATGCAAGACTACTTCATTGTGTAATATTTCAGCAGAAAGTGGATTTTTGAGTCATATTTATTAAAACTTTTATATCAAATTACCCGCTATATCGAACTGGTAGACGTTTTCTTGCGAGTTCTATATAAACGGGTTTGACTTACTCTGGCTTGGATTTCCGGCCAGGTGGTGCAAGCTTCCGACCATTTCGTGCTCCCGAATTCCATACACTTGAAATTAACAACTCCAGTACTTCTTATACCAAATAAGGGCAAATATAAAACTATAGTTTAAACATATATTGTGGTATTTGTTGCTTTTACTATTCGAACTATTCAATTCAAAATTATTTGGCCAAAATCACTATTCGCTTCGAATTCGATTCGGACCCAAAATCCTCTATTCGCCCATGCTTACTCAAATACAATGAACTGATCGCAGAGGCTGTAAAACGTCCGCTCGCACCCACCGGGACGGGTATCCTGCGGCGCTGATCCGCACAGTCTCGAGGACCCCGCAGGCCCTGAGCTGTTGAATGGCACGTTTGGTGTCGAAGCTGAAGGCCGCCTTCTGGTCGTTGGGTTTGATGCAGCGCACGTAATGGGGCGTGGTTGCATTCAGTGTGGCCATGAGCAATCCCAGGGAGTCGCGGAACTGTGGGTGCAACGCAATGGCCGCATCGTTACGTAGATTTTCACTTTGCAAGTGTAGCAGAGCAATACCACCTAGAAGACGAGGTTTGTGCGCAACGGTGTCGCCGTGTACTAGGGCTGCAAGACGCTCTAGCGGCGATGCTGACGCAAGCTAGGCAACGCTGCATGGATTTGCTAGTGATGACGTTAGGTGGGGGGAGGGGAAGGCCTTGTCTTCTAGATGAAACTGAGCAGAGCCAGCTACAAGAGTGCGCGTCTAGCTTTTAGTGTCCCTGCCAAGCACGTGCGCTTGCACATCGTTCGAGGCAACCTGCTCGTGTTTGCAGTTTTGGCTTTGCTCGCACTTAAAGTGAAACTAACTAGAGACTTTAGGTCGCTCTGCATTGGACTCATCCTAGACAAGATGGTGACATGTTCTTGTATTGGCTTACGGTGGAAGATGCAAACAGTACGAGAGATGTTGAAGACACATTTCGAAACTAAAGATTTTCACTAGAATGTGAAGTTCTTGTTACAGCTGGAAAGCACAATGGCAAACATTTCAATTCCTATACCTGCAGCTCAACAGACACCCCACTTTAACCTGCGCTTTTGTGCATATGTTGCCCACTTTCTGTAAAGCAAAATTTTACAGCGGAGCTGTTAAGGGCTGGTTTCCCCAGGATTGTGTCCGCCAGCAAATAAACGTCTACACAACACCCCGGACAGCTACCGCCATCTATGAGCAACGGCGGCAGCCTTTCCAGCTTTTCCAGTCTGGCTTGCCAACTTGCAGTCGGCCATTACTTCATTCCACCGTAGTACAGCTTGGCTGGTCTTCCTTCTTCACCAGAGTGGAAAGGCAGAATTTTTCTAATCTTTAGGAGTCAAAATCTACATACACAATACTCTATTGCACACTCGGTCTTATGAAAATGTATCTAAAGAAGCTGCTTCAAGGTTTTGCAGCTGTGATTATGAGAGAATTGTGAAGCCATCTGAAACAAACTCAGGTCTTGTAAATGTACAGTCTACATCTTATCTTACAACCATCATTGTGACCAAAATATGTGGCAAGACTCAGTGAACTAGGTAGAAATCAGGTTTGATACAGAAAACTACCAGTCAAAGTCCGAAAAATGTAGCTACAACCAAAACTCGAAAGGAAACCAGACGTTTCAAAACCAACTCTGTTTCTCCTTCAAGGGAGACTGAAAGCACGTGGAACAGCAGCTGCTCCTAACCTCTTTGACTTAAAGAAAGAGAAAAAGAAACTAAAAAAGGAGAAACTAAGGCCGTTTGAAAAGACAATGCAATAGTCTAAGGCAGTGGTTCTCAAATGGAGAACCACTGCCTTAGACTCTAGGGGTCTGCAATGCCCAGCCTTATCAGTCAAGATGACATTTTTTTAGTTATGGAGACGGTCATATCTTCAGCTTTCTCGTCAGGTCAAGAGGCCATGTGCGTACACAGAGGGCAATGCACCCAGGGACCTGTGGCGTATGCTGGATTTGCCATGATTCCAAGAAAAGTCTTTCGGAAATTGGGCTCTGTGTCCACCACATGCGCGTTTGCGAAGACAATGCAATGGTCTAAGGCAGTGGTTCTCAAATGGAGAACCACTGCCTTAGACTCTAGGGGTCTGCAATGGCCCAGCCTTATCAGTCAAGCCTGGAAAATAAAAGTTGAGACCAGGGCCAAGCTGACCCAGCCTCAGAGCCGCGGGGGGGGGGGGGGGGGGGGGGGGGGGATTTTGTTTTGAGCAATAAACGAAACCCTAACTACTTTTAATATATTCGAGTCAAAAGCAGTCCATCTCTATGTAAGGTAGCAGTAGCACAAGACTACAAAACCACAACCTATCTTTCAATTTAAAACGCTCTTCAATTATAAATGATCTTTTTGGGGAAGTGCTCGTGTGACCGGGAGGGAAGCGGAGGAGTGTGTGTATGCGTGTGTGTGTGTGTGTGTGGGGGGGGTTAGGGTAGGGAGCCGCAAGCCGCATTTTAGCACGTGAAGAGCAGCATGCGGCTCGCAAGTCACAACTTGGTCACCCCTGCCCTAGGCCATCGCATTGACCTTGTGAACGCGCATGTGGTGGACACAGAGATCACTTTCTAAAGTTTTTTCTTTGAATCGTCGCAAATGTAGCATATGCCAGGAAACCTAAACAGGTCCATGGGTGCATTTACCTCGGTGTACACACATGGCCTCCATGATCTGACAAGAAAGCTGAAGAGATGACAGTCTCCATAACTAAAAAAAAAAAAACATTTTACAATTCTTTTAATTTTTTTTTTTTTTTCTTTTACAGCCAAGCTGTTATGAGGTAGGATCTGGGAAAAAATGTGTCTGCAGATGTTGACAGAAAACTCCCCATTGGTCATTTCAAGTATTAATAAATAAAAACAAAAAGAGGGGGCAACCAGAGCAAGTCAGCCTTCCTTGGCATTACGAGATCGTGAGGTCCTAATCTCTTCATCTCTAGGCATCGTCCTCGAGGTCGTCCGAGAGGTTACCCTAGGCGTCGTCCGAGAGGTTACCCTAGGCGTCGTCCGAGAGGTTACCCTAGGCGTCGTCCGAGAAGTCGTCCGAGAAGTCGTCCGAGAAGTCGTCCGAGAAGTCGTCCGAGAAGTCGTCCGAGAAGTCGTCCGAGAAGTCGTCCGAGAAGTCGTCCGAGAAGTCGTCCCAGAAGTCGTCCCAGAAGTCGTCCCAGAAGTCGTCCCAGAAGTCGTCCCAGAAGTCGTCCCAGAAGTCGTCCCAGAAGTCGTCCCAGAAGTCGTCCCAGAAGTCGTCCCAGAAGTCGTCCCAGAAGTCGTCCCAGAAGTCGTCCCAGAAGTCGTCCCAGAAGTCGTCCCAGAAGTCGTCCCAGAAGTCGTCCCAGAAGTCGTCCCAGAAGTCGTCCCAGAAGTCGCCCCAGAAGTCGCCCCAGAAGTCGCCCCAGAAGTCGCCCCAGAAGTCGTCCTCCAGATCATCCTCGAGATCCTAGATGCTGTCCTAGACGTCGTCCACTAGGCATTGTCCTCAAAGATGTTCTTGAGGTTGTCCTAGACGTCGTCCGAGACGCCTTCCTCTAGGCATCGTTCTAGACGTCAAAAAAACAACACCTTCGCTGGTCCTCCATCTTCACGTGAAGTGGAAGGGCTCTACAATCTTTAATTTCTTTCTCTTTTTTGAAAACGAAGAGGTTAGGAGCTGCTGCTGTTCCACATGCTTTCAGTCATGCTTGAAGACTAAACAGAGTTGGTTTCGAAAGGTTGGGTTCCTTTCGAGTTTTGGTTGGAGCTACATTTTCGGACTTTAATTCTCACCCGACCAGGCAGATGTGCCGAATATGTTTACTTTTAGGGAACTAGCATTTGGGCAAAGCATCTGAAGCAAGATGTTAAAAAACAGCTCACTTGAGAACCGACAGTCTTTTTGTGTTGCTTTTTAGAGGACGAGCTTGGTTGTGCTGACGAGACCTTCACGGTGGGTTTTAACCTCTTGCTTGACAAATTTTCATCTTCGAAGAGCTCAGCAACAAGCTCATACTGAAAAAAAAATTAAAATAAATAAAGGCAAGGATTTAGACCAATGAGGCAGGTTTTCCAGACTTTACTGAATGCAGCTCCTCATAGCCTTTACTTATTTTGCTGTAATGACTACAGAAAAACAATATAAAACAGTGAGAATATATAACGATTGTCCGCAAGAAAACTTAACCCCATTTTTCGCTCCGCAAAAATAAACGACATTGTGGAGATCTCAAACTCTGTCAGAACGTAGCCCGAGCCGTGCGAGCAAGATGCCAAAGTTTCAGCACCAACTGTTATCTTATTCAAAAGTCATTAATTTTCTGAAATTTTCAACGAAAATATGGGGCCCATTTTCACCCATTTTCGGTTTCTGGCGTGATAGAGCTCTTTGTATTAGAGAGCTCCATCGGCTGCCATTTTCCATTGATATTTTCAGAAGCTTTAGCATCTTGCTCGAAAGGCTGGGGCTATGTTCTGACGGAGTTTGAGCTCCCTGCAATGTCTAGTTTATTTCTGCGATGGGAAAAACAGGGCTCAGTTTTTTCGCGGATGCCCGATACTTTTATTGCATATATTTGAACATAAGCCTTTTAATCTTGGCTATGTATGCCGAGAAAAACTTTGCCACAAAATTGCAGAACGATGAGGACAGCACAGGCAAAAGATGACCATGAAGAAAGGAGCGCACACACAGTGCTGAAAGGAGTGCTCACAGCTATCTGCACACTTTTTTTTTATAGTATGGTCACCTTTTGTGCGAGCCACTCTCATCAATTGAAAGCATGTTCCATTGACTAGCCTAAGCTTCAGTCTTAAAAAATTGCAAACAATCACTTTTTAACTGCTAAACATTCTCAGCTTCACAAAAAAAAACAAAAAAACTAGATACCAATTTGCTTTTGATGATATGAAAAAGTTCAGCAAGTATCCAGGGGTGCTTCTTTATTTGAGCAAAGTTTTTTTTTGTAAGCAATTAAAAGAAATTGAAAGCAGGGATACATCCAACTCAGATTTTTCAGAACCTAGGCTGTACCTGGCTGGCCTTGAGAATGTTGATGTGCTCCTCGAGTACAGTGTCCCTGTTCTTCTCCAGGAAGCCACTGGACTCGTAAGTGACGTCGTCCGCAAAATGGTGAATGATGAAGGCAGTGTTTGACAACCGGGGCTTCTCAAAGTGCTTCCACTGTTTGCACTTCTCAAACAGTTTTCCACACCAAGACTTGTCACTCCCCTTTGGCACCTGTCAGATAGAACCATTGAAAGCAAGGATTATTATACAGGCTTGAGCATGCCGACAAAGACCAGGGAGCACAGAATGTGTACCGTACAAACCATGCTCTGCGTGCAGTTTGGGCTAGATTTTTCACTCTTCTTATTACTACTTTATTATTTATTTATTTCATTTTATTATTGTGTTCTATTTTGTTATTTATTTTATTTTGATTATTTTATGTATTTATTTTTGCTTGTTTCAAGACGTGTGCAAATATTCAAAACACTGAATCCTTCACAAATAAGTGCTTGCTTTTCGAGTCGCTTCATACCGTCACTGCTTGAAGTATTAGAGTTCTTTGAATATTCGAAAACTATGAATAACGCGGAACTCACAGATTAGTGTCAACTCGTGGTCGAGTTCCCCCGTTTGAATTTTGGAATGCCCAGTATGGTTTCGAACTTGGCAAACCCAAAAAGCCAACATAAGTGCCTTTCTTTTAGTATGAAGCACTGGAAAGTTGTTTGCACGCAGTAACGCTATTTGTCCTTTGCTTGCCACAATGTATGGATTGCAGAATTGGTGAAGTGGTGGTGGTGCAAACACGACTGGAGCCTTTGCTGCTATAGATTTGATGGAGGACTACAATTTGCAATGGCACATGCATCGTTGTGAGCACAAACGCCACAAACTACCCACTACACTTGCTACAGTCCTTCCTACAGTCACTGCAGTAGCCAAGTTGCAATGGATTCGGATATGGGTTTACGCCTGACCTCGGTAACCAACGATATCTGGCTCGTGTTATTTTCTGCCTCAATTTTCCCGTTCATCAGTTTCCAGCATTCTTTTTGTTATTATTTCTACCCGTTTTCACTAGTAAAAGTAAAATTTGCTCCCTCCATTAGAAAAAAAACTGTACTATATTTACTTGCATAATGAACGCATCCCCAAAAAGGGTAACAATATTTAGGCTTTTTTCCCTCGCGTAATGAATGCACTTCCAATTTTCGGCTCACTGAATCTTCAAGTGCGTTCAATTTAGCTAGCCACCAAGCCAATTTTTTTTTTTGCCGCCAAGCAGTTAGGCCAAGTCAATCCAATCAAGCCAAGCCACTCTCGTAATGGCTGCAAGTGCATAGTTGTGGAAGAGATCCACCGTAAAGGCGCGTTCCCACCGGCGATGCGATCTAGTCGCGCGATCACTTTCATCGCAAAAGCGACCATCGCGGGCAAAAAGCGACGCGATTTGAGCAGTTGCTACTCGACTCTTTTTGCGATGCGACCTAGTCGCGGAGCGACTGAGCCAATCAACGGCGTTCGGAGCGAGAGTATTCGAGAAACGACTCGCCAACGAAGGCGTTTCACTCACTCATCGCGCACGCCAGTGTGACCATCTAATTTTTTTGCGATGCGATCTAGTCGCATCGTGCGACTGCTTACATCGTCGGTGGGAATGCGCCTTAAAACCGAGTGGCACGCACACTTGATGAAGCTTGGGTCGAGAATTTGCCCAGCTCCGGACATTCTTCGCCTATCAGATGCACTGATGTCGACAAACATGCCGTCGTATGTAGTCCGCTTTCGGACAGAGTGGAAGTGGTTAGGCCTAAGAATGGTTGCATTGCTCTCCGTGCTGAGAGCTTCTTAGGGTGCTTTTCCTTCGGCAAAAGGCACGCCGAAAGCGCCCTAAAAAGGTTCACAATTTATAAAGCATGGTTCCTGTGGCGCACCCACAACCAGCTGTAGGTGCACCTCCATCAGTGGAGACGTGCCACAGTACCTTGCCGTGTCATATTGGCACCTAATATGACATTTGCATGAAGTGTGTAAATGAAAAAATTTTACCCCGCATAGTGAACGTACCCCCCAAAGAGTGTAAATTTTTCGAGAAAAAAAGTGTGTTCATTATGCGAGTAATTATGGTGTTCTTAATTTATAGCTTTTTTGTGGCGGCCTTGCTCGGCATAGCTATTGCGCACGGAAAGAGATTGCGCAAAATCAGTGCGGCTGCACGATGCGATAGCGCAATCTCCGGCTTTGTTGTGGGATGCCAAAACGCCTTTACTTGTGTACTTTCATTGGAAATTTGTCTCTCATCAGTCACATGTGTGACTCTTTATTGTAATAAAGTTGACCCTTTCGTTATTGCTTGTTGAAAAAAAGACAGTTGTGATTTGATTGAGTACTGTTTAATTTACATCAAAAAGAAAAAAATTGTTTTTGAAATGTCCATATTCGAAAATGTTTGATTCAATTCATAAACTTTATTCTATTCACCTCGAACGATTTTGATATTCGCACTCTACTTACTTGCTTTATTTTATTTTTTTTATATCTCAATTATTTATTTATTTATTTTTTATTTCTTTATTTTTTTATTTTCATCTAAAACCTGCTGCACTCACCACCCCATTTGCATTGAAACAAAATCCTCTACCCTTCCAGACCAGCTGTGCTAGTAGCTATAGTATCCGACCCAGGTTCAAGCCCCACTGGGGCTCAACTTTATATACAAACTTTATATATAGTATTAATGTCTAACGCTCCCAGCACATCACTCGTTCATAACGCTAGCTATGATGCTCGTTCATGACAACCTTCTCCTAAAAGAAGACTCATAAAACAGATTCTGTGATAAAGACAGTAAGCTTTGATGCCCAAGAAGAAAGCATATACAAATCGACAACAAGAAATGAATGGGAAATAATAAACACCAGCAAAACTCACTCACTCTGCACTCTTCGTCAAGGAGATTGAGGACGCCAAGCTTGCTTTCAATGAGATCGATACAGGGCTGATTATCGTAGAAGTCAATGAACTTCCACTCAATTTGCTCCCTGACATACTCCTCTTGTTCTAGCTTGAAAACATGCTGCAGGAGATTGGCATTAAAATGATCAATCACAACGGTAGAGTGCAGATTGGACTGCCCAACTGTCATATATAGATATTAGAACATTGCTTTGAGCAGCAAAATAACCCCAGAGCACTCACCAAGTTGAACTGCTGTTGAAGCTTTTCATTGGCATAGTTGATGCAGAACTGCTCGAAGCTGTTGATTTCAAATGTTTCAAAGCTGGAAACAACAAGGCACCAAAGAGTTAACAATCGTACAACAAATACAGGCATTGAACCTATTGTAACGAGACAGTTGCTGGATAGGTTTATGATGGATACCCAAGACTTTTTTCTTTCCATTATCTCTCCGAACTACAACACTAATTATATATCTCTCATTGGTTCTGCGTCGGTCTTGTGTTTATTTAGGCCTGCGCTAATTGTCATAAATTTGCCACTGTGTCCGAGACGTCAGTGTGTGCAGCTTTTTATGGTTAATTTCCTTAGCCTTCAGTATACCCATCATAGTATACACGCTAACCAAAATTATGGATATAAAATGTATTGTCACGATATATCCAAGCCTCAAAAAAAGCCAAATGAAGACAGTGTGAAACTAAAAGCCCATGGTCAGAGGTGGTGCCAAAAGGGAAAATGCAACAAAACAACGAACAAGGCAGTCCAAGGCTTACCCATAGATGTCCAAGACACCGATAAACCGGTTCACTTTGTCCTTGAAGGCCAGGGCCTTGTTGATGCGCGAAACAATCCAGTCAAAGAGACGAGCATAGATGTGCTTGGCTAGCGCGTCTCGGGCAAATAGGGCCTGGTCCACAGTCATAGGCTTGGTGATTACCTCCCGCATGCTCTCAATCTTGCGGTTACAGAGCCACACCGCGATCTGCTCACAGTCAATGCCCAGCAGCTCACACATCATCTCGATGTGGGGGTCTCCAGGCTGGAACATATAGTGCAGAATCCGTCACAATCTGTCACACATCCTGCTTCCAGGGTGCCCACTTAATTTGCCAGTTCGGTATATTAAAGGAAAAGCAAAAACCAATTGTGAAAAATTACTTTATTTTACCAGGCTTGCCTAGCTCTATAACTATACTCCCAAATGGTTTAAAAAACATATGACACCAGTATTTTATTATTTGCATTTAAAATTCACGTTTCTGGAGCAACGAGAGAAGGGTTACTGGTACAAGAACCGAAATGTCACCACTACATCAAAAAATCAGAAAAGCCTACAAGGTTCTGGCTTGCAGCATGAGCAGTTTCAACAATTCTCACTGCCACTATGCTCTTTACAATGCAAGAAGGCAGTGAGCCATAAAAACATTTAGGACCAAGATGATAGCAAATAGATAGTAGGTACAAAAGGTATGACCATGTGTTGATGCAAAGCTCTGCTATTGTTTCTTTAAAGAAGAAATACAGGGGTTTCTTTTGTTTACATGCACAGTGGTAGGATTGACAAGTGGCAATTTGGAACAGCTCTTGTAGCAGAGACAAATGGGTTTTGGGGCACAGATTCCCATTTTTGGAGCAGACAATTTTGAGCTTTCATGTCAGAAAGGTTTATACAATCTCTTCTAAAGTTAGCCCAAAGAAAAACTGCAGTAGTTTGAGCATTGGGAGACTGAAGTGTTAAGTCTACAGAGGGCCTGGCCTCTACAGATATTTATTTATTTATTGAACAATCATATGCCAGCAATTTTCTAGATGTCTCAATTAACCTATCAGGAGTACTGATGGTGTCTTCGGTCTGTACGTGATGTAGAAATATGTTCTTGGCTACTTTGTAGAGGGTTTGCATCACAATGAGGCAACTGTCACGAGTTCAACATCAAATAGACACTTCTGTGTTGAATGCGTCTCACACTGTCCTCGCTCATATTCAACCTGCTGATGTTCATAAAGCAGCTAAGCAGAGCACATAGCTACTCTAACCGATTACAACGAGTAGCGCTAGCTATTCATTGTCATCGATGTGAGCACCGTTCGCACAAAAACCGACAACTCTTCGTTAAGCATGTGCAAATAATGGATTTTGGGTTCGAAGCAAATTCAAAGTTAACAGTGGTTTTGGCCGAATACTTTTGAACTGAACATTGACAAGTTTTTGCACCATTCTCCACGCCTTTTACTACTGTTACACCATGCTTGCTTAAACAAAAAAATCAGCTGGACTCACAAAAGTTATTCCTAATTACCCACTCCTGAGCTGTTAAATTTAATCTAGCTATATTTATAGACTGCAGTTTCAGAACGTCCAGTACCTACATTGAAATGGCAAGTAAAAGATTGATTTGACATAAAATTAAACTTATAAAGGAGCCCAGCCATGCCTAATTGAGGGGATTTATACATCTTCCTATATAAAACTATTTTCTTCAATTCTGAATTAAAAAAAAAAAAAAAAACTTTCAGCCTTTCTACTTTGGTGAAGAAGAAAGACCAGCGAAGCTGTGCTATGGCGGGATGACCTCGAGAATGACTTCTTGGACGACCTACAACGCCTAAAGGATGACGCCTAGGACAACCTCAAGGACGACCTCAGAGACAACCTCAAGGACGACATCTAGGATGACCTCAAGGATGACGTTTAGGACGACCTCAGGGACGACTTCGAGGACGACCTCAAGGACGACTTCGAGAACGACCTCGAGGACAACGTCTAGGAAGACCTCAAGGACGACCTCAAGGATGACTTCTAGGACGACATTAAGGACGACATCGATGACGACATCGAGGACAACCTCAAGGACGACCTCAAGGACGACCTCAAGGACGACTTCTAGGACGACTTCTAGGACGACTTCTAGGACGACTTCTAGGACGACTTCTAGGACGACCTCAAGGACAACTTCTAGGACGACCTCAAGGACAACTTCTAGGACGACCTCAAGGACGACTTCTAGGACGACCTCAAGAATGACTTCTAGGACGACCTCAAGAATGACTTCTAGGACGACCTCGAGGACAACATATAGGACAATGCCTAGAGAAATTCAGCCTTTCCGCTCTGGTGAAAACCACAGTAGAAAGCCTGGAAAGGCTTCCGCCATGTATGAGCAAGGCCGGCAAGCCGGTTGTCTGGTTGCCGCCGTCGCTCATAGATGGCGGTAGCTGTCCAGAGTTTTGTGTCGACATTTGTTTGGTACTGGACAGGATCCTGGTGAACCTAGCCCTTAACAGCTCTGCTAAAAAAAAAAGCACCAATAATGAACACAGGTTTTTAGCATATCGCTGCCTAACATACCCTTGCATAACAGCCACAATTAAATTTTGAAGATTTTACTGCAATGTAATATTAACAGTCTAAAAGATTCCTGTCTTTTTGAGTGTTTCTTTTTTTAATACACCAGGCACGAGCATGCACCATACTAGTTTGAAGGTGTGTTCATTGCCAAGAGCGCAAGCTGCGATGCGGCAAAGAAAGTCACGAAATCACTATGTCTGCTCCGCGGGTACTGCTTCTCCGCAGTGCACCTATGCTTGAAGAGAAGGGCACTCAAGGGGGCAAACCCACCGCAATCAACACGTCGAAAAGTATGAATATCGCAGTTCATTTGGAAACGAATATCAAATAACGTATTATTTGAAACTAGTACTATTAGAAAATTAGAATATTCCCAAAGCCCTACTCTTTGCACATAGTACTTAGGCATAAAAAACAACTACTTTCTTAATTTGCAGTGGCATCGCCAACAATGTCACGTGCCAGACACTTTCAGTTTCCTTTTTGGAAACGGCTCCCTTTCGATGCAGACATGGTGCAAATTGGGCACAAATACAGCCTTTGGAGCAGCATGTAGCAGGCTATTCATTCTGGTGCAGTTTGGCACAATTGGCGCAGCAGTTCCACCACTGTATGCAAGACATTTTCCCTTAAAACTTTGGTTCTTCAATTCAAACCAACTTGAGAGGTATGTTGCATATTCCTATCACAATTCAATCTTGCAGACCTCAAAAATAAAATGAAAAGAGCAAGACAAAAATTTATTAGAAAGGTAGATAGCACATCAACTGCTCTTCCAGCTAAAATAATGATTAGCAAATCACTGGGCAATTCTATGTGTGGTGTCCACGCTTTCGATGCTCTTCATTGGTTAGTTTAGCGACTGGCTTAACGTATGGCATGCACCACTCTATAACAATCCCTGGAATGGAGATACCGGCGCCAGCCCTGGTTTGAACAACTTGTGACAGGGTGTCAAGTTGCGATCTGCCGAACAGAGCGGATGCCCCGCAGGGCTTTCCCACCCAACAGCACCTCAACTCACGGTGATGAGTCGTGACATGCTGGAAAAACACTCGCATAATAATCTAAATGGTCTGGGTTCGATTCCCCCTTGGTGCAAATGCTTCTTTACTGGGTACTACAAAAACCCAAGTATAAAGCGGGTTGTTAACACTGTGGCAAAGCTCTGTGGTAAAGCCTCCACTTTGCATGCAGCAGACCCAGGTTTGATTCTAGCAGGCGGTGGGCAATCTTTTTCAAAAATTTGGCAACATGAACAACGAACACCCTATGCCCTACTGCACCAATTACGTCATCGACAGATGTCATTTCCAGTGGTGGGCAGCCCCCCATAACAGTTTTCTCTGTAAGACTACATAGTGCTCAAAAGTCGAAATAAAGCCTCGAGAATCCAGATATTCAGAAAATATACTAGAAAAATGTTTTTTGTTTGGTCCCCTAAAGGATTGCACAGATGTGCAAACCTTGAGGGATGTGAAGTTATGAGAGCAAAATCTTGAAACTGTGTGAAGGAAGTCAGAAAACCTAACTAAGTTCTGACTTTCAGCATGAGAAGTTGCAAGAGCTCTCACGGCCACTACATGTTCTTTACAATGCAAAAAGGGAGGGTTTGCATACATGTGCACACTTAGAACTATCCTAGTTCTAAACTTATTGATGACTCTGTGCCATGTTGCATTGTAAAGACCATAGCGGCAGTGAGAGTTCTTGCAACCACAAGTTGCAACTTGCAAGTCAGAACTTGGTTGGCTTTCTGGCCCGTTTGCTCGAAGCGCTAACCGCGGCTAAAGTTAGCCGCAGTACCTAGGAGAAGGATTTTGAGATCACGTGACTGGCTCGGTAGGGATGCGGGGAAACATGGCGGTGCCCCAGTGAGTGAGCGCCGCTCGCTTTGGAACTAATACGTCGTTGTAGCTGCAATATCGGGCGCGTTAGTCAGCAACGAATAATTCTGGAGGCTTTCGCTTTGCATTACCTCACTTAAACCGCAAAACATGGGCAATGACATCGCCGCATTTTTTAGATAGTGTTTCGATTCTGGACATTCCTAAGCCTAAATGAACACGATAATGGTCGGCATGGCAACGTCTTTGGAAAGCGGATTGTTGATAGCACACAAAAGCAGACAGCGTCCCCAGACCTTTTCTAAATTATCCAAGCATCGCGAGGGGAACGCTTTAAGTGTAATTCTACGGTCCACGTGCACTGGCCTTCCTCTTATAAAAGATTTGAAGTAAATAATCATAACAAGGCTTTAACGAACGCACGTGCAAGGCAAGATTTGTTTTTTACTTTTTCCTTTAGAACGGTTACTACTGCAGACGCCAGCACATGCGACGCGTGCAACTACAGTCGTAGCATGCACCTCGGTGCTTGGATAATTTAGAAAAAAGGTCTGTTGGGACGCCGTCTGCTTTTGTTTGCTATCAACAATCCGCTTTCCAAAGACGTTGCTATGCCGGCAATTATCGCGCTCATTTAGGCTTAGGAGTGCCCAGAATCGAAACACTATCTAAAACATGCGGCGATGTCATTGCCCATGCTTTGCAGTTTAAGTGAGGTAAGGCAAAGCGAAAGCCTCCTGCACCATTTGTTGCTGACTAACGCGCCCGATATTGCAACCACAACGACATATTAGTTCCAAAGCGAGCGGCGCTCACTCACTGGGGCACCGCCATGTTTCCCGGCATCCCTACCGAGCCAGTCACGTGATCTGAAAATCCCTCTCCTAGGTACTGCGGCTAACTTTAGCCGCGGTTAGTGCTTCGAGCAAACGGGCCCTGATTTCCATGGCAGAGTGGTGACATTTTGCTTCTCATGACAATGACCCATCTCTCATCCTCGAAGATTCGAACACATGTGCACAAAAACAAAACGGAAATTGAAAGAAAATCTTTCACACTATTTGCAGGAAAATGAACCAAGCATGGGCACCTATCAAACAAAAATTGAAAATATGCTTGTAGCGGAACCATATTGTCATTTTTGTGCAGTAAATGCCCACATTATTTTTAGGTGTCATAAAATGATCTTTGCACGTTCCGAAGGTTGTGTGATTTTCGGTTGCTTATTTGCACATGCAGCCCAATCTTGTGGCCTGCCTTTCTCTGGTTGCCACAGGCAGAGATAAATATTTCTCAGTACCCAAGAAATTTGGAAATTTTAGTTTGGCTGAATTTATCAAACCTTGCAGCCATCAAAATAACAAAATTTTGACTCTATGAAGCCCCAGAGTTCAGACAATCGACAGCTTCTGCTTGTTTTTAGTGAACCCTTAGCAGAATGTTGAAAAGTGTCTGCAGTGAGGAGCTCACAAGATAGTGCATAATTTGTGGGAAATCCAAAGTTCACGCGAGTAGTGAATGTGCAAGGGAGGTCACCTGAACCACGCAGGACTCTGCGTCATCACCTCTCTCTCCTCCCTGGACCACATCAACGTTGCCCAGGTGTAGGATGGCACCCAGTATTCGAAAGATCATTTGCTGTTGCCCTTCCGTGAAACCTGAACAAGAAACAACAGACCCTTTGCAGAAAATCCCAAAAGCCCGCACGCGCTGTGCGACGAGTAATGGGAGAGAGGGCTATTTTGCAAGGCTGCCCCTGTCTCATCCCTCTCCTTTGTACCGGCTCTGTCGTCTGCTGCACCAACGCTTTGTCGAACCCAGCTGAACCCTACCACGTTTGCGGTGAAAAGTAAGTGGATTAAGTGACACTGCCAGACGTGAAGGTAAGTTACGACGAACAACGTATTCAAAGGAGTGAATAGTTTCACCCGTCGTGATGCATTTACGCTGCCACTGTGCCGCCAACGACGTACAACGTTCCGGCGGATGGGCAGGATGGCGGATGGCTGCGAAGGCTGCTGGCGGTTGCTGGTGCTACTTGCGTGCAGTCGCGGAGGAGCAACGAGAAAGCATGTGATCTGAACCGAGGGTTCCCGAAATCCCCCGCCGTCACGCGTCATACATTTTGCAACAGGTCTCTATTGGTGCCTATAAATAAAGAGGCAGCAAACAACTCAGTAAATGTAACAAAGTACCAAATGAACCCTGGAAAATGACCCTCGGCCATTTGAAGCATTTTAGTGTATTGGCATTAGCATTCAACTCGGAACACTCTCAAACTTTTATGGCCGATAGAGATTTTGCTGAAAGTGCTGAAGTCAGGAAAGAAAGGAGATTGTTCACAAGCCAGAGTTTAACCCAGTTGAGGGAAGTGTAAAGAAAGTGTAAAGCTAGTTTGTAGTTAACTAGCCTCCACTAACACAACTTCTATAGACGCTTTGCACACGCGCCAAATTACAGCCGCCATTGGTGACCTTCTCTTGTCTTACCGAGATGCCGAGCAACTGAAACGGTAGTTGACGATCTTCTACAAAGGCCGATGCTTTAGAAAAGGACACAGTTGAATCTAATGTGGCAATAACATGGCCTTCTATGGTAATGATGAAGTGAAATAAACGGAATAGGAGGAAACAAAAACTGAAGGTCAGTTATGGCAGCGTCCATGCACAGCTGCTGCAAAGCGTCTATAACTATATGCCTGTGTCCCAATACTGTGTGTCGAACTCCTCGTTAGGATTTAGTGTGTTGCCGTTGTCTGGGTTTCACATTAGTGTTGCACGCAGAAACAAGGGTGTAGAACAAAAAAACAAACTATGTATTTTAAGGTCACGGCGCATCGATGTTTTGACATCAGAATTAGACAAGAGGTAAATAAGATGCCCACAACTGGAGAATAGCAAAAGTTCCAACTGCTGCGTCCCCAGACTATGAAGGGAAAGATAAAGGACAATAAAAACTTACCAAGCAGTGTGAATGCGTTTCGTGTGACTTGAAAGTGATGAGCGTCATCAACACCAGGAATGGTCGGAGATTCTCCCTGATTGGTGTAGTGGAATGTGGTCCGATCTCCTGTCAAAAAAAAAAAGGGAAAGTCTGAAGATTTAGATTAGTGTTCCCCAAACTATGGGTTGCGATCCCAAGGGGGGTTTGCAACATATTCAGGGGCGGTCTCAAACTGGCTCAGGAACTTGAAAAAATGCGAACTTGACTTTCTGCGGTGGCATTAAGGAAAATGAGGTACAACTCGCAACTCAACATTGAGCCAGAAATGAGTTGTGGCATCCAAATTCTGCTCTTGTTGAGAAATTATGTTAACAAACTCACTTTAGTCATTAGAAACATTCATTCCTGGAGGTGTGCAATTTCTTTTTTCCTTTAGCAATGGTTTTTGGCCCATCTGATTCACTTTGACTAATAACTGTCCAACTAAATTCCAGCATCAATTTTCTGCCCAACTGTTCATGCACCAAAATCGAAAAGCTAGTGGCATTCTAAAAAACTGTGGCATTCTAAAAAGCTATTTAGGAAAGCAAAGCAGATGAGAAGCTTCAGAATGGTGCAATTTATTCAAATATGTTTCTTTTGGCATCTGCAAAACTTGCCCACTTTGAACAAACTGCAGAGAGAAAAAGGGAAAGAGCACTAACCAAGCTGGAGATCCTGAAGCTCATCCAGATCGGCGGATGCACAGAGCTGGTAAAAGATGTGATAGTTCCGCTCCTCTGGTGCTTGGAACACTACGCGAGACTTCTCCAGGAGGTAGGTCCTCATGTTCGCACCAATGATGTTGAACCTCGAGTTGAAGTCGATCTCAATGTACTTTCCAAAACGAGAGCTATTGTCATTTCTAGTCGTTTTGGCATTGCCAATGGCCTGTCCAATGAAAAAAGATAGGTTGAGGTCAACCCAGAAAAATTAGGTTCTATACCAAGACAGAGTCCAACATTTCAATTGGACCTCCCCCCTTTCCTGAGCCAGACACTAACCAACGCAATCCAGGACAGAAACTGCCTAAAGAGACTCCTGATATAGATCCAAGATAGTTAAATAAACAGTAAAGGGCTTCTAATATTTTATGTTCGGGGGTACATTTGTCTATCAAAAAAATTTAGAAAAAAGACCACAGAACTGCTGAGAATGAACGTAACTACAATATAACTACTGTCAAGACCAGTTATAACCAAGTGGGTTGTAACGAAATAGCGGCTACGGCGAAGCAATCTCGATTTCCCATTCCAGTTTGCGCTTTTTCAATGCATTTGTGCCTGTTTTTAGTGAAGGAAATTGAGCGGCTCCCGCAAATATAGCGAAGAGAAATTTAGTGATTTTAAAAAATAATAAATTTGAAAAGTTACTAAGAGTCGGACTGCCGCACTTTGCTGCCACGGCCAAGAAGCCACCCAAAACAGGCAGCAGAAGATGCTGGAAAGGCTGCCGGCGGCAGTCTCTGCAACTTCACTGCTCCCCACTCCTTATATGGGAAGCGCCTTTACCGCATCGCACAAGGAGAAGCCGTCATGGCATCTAGGTACGGACATTTGAAGCGCTAGCAACAACGTTCCGGTGGAGATGACAGAGAGCCTAGATTTAAAAGAGGGAGCAGCAAGTATGCCTGCATGTAATCGTCGCGGGACCAGTGTGGCGAGGAAATTGGGCGGAGAGGCGGACACGTTTGTAGGAGGTGAACGCTTTTGAGTTTTGACTCCTGGTATGCTGCAGCTCATTTTTGCAAATGCGGCCCACAAACAATGTTACCTTGATCAAGCAGTTGCCCCATCTCTTAAATCTAGGCTCTCTATACCGACGACCAAGCTTGAGCACAAACTCTGTGCTGTGTGTATTTCTTTGTTTGCTTTGTGATTTGTGTCGGCGTCTGGTCGGTGAGGTCGCTCTTGAGTGAAAGTCTACTTCGCTCAAGTCGCTACTTCGGCGAATCATCGCCGCTCAACGATGGAGAGTCCCGGCATCGTTGGCACCTTGGTGGGGAAGACGAAGGCAATCTTCTTGAATCAAGGGCGTGCCATCCTCGACGGAGTGCGCATAAACGTAAAGTATGCCGTCCACCGCCAGCGTCCCCCGCAGGGTCGTCACAGCTGTCGACACGGTCCGTACGTAACAGGATCTCCTTTCGATCGGAAATTCTGGCAGTTAAAAAAGCTACTCAGATCTAGCAAAAGACGCATGCAGGAAAGCCTCAACCCCTTTCTGCATGCTCGATAAACATGTGCTCGTGACAACCCGTGTTATCTTTTTTTTTCATGTTATTCGTACGAGTTCATATACAACAAAGAAGTGGATAAAGCGAAGCAATTTTTCATTCCTGTCGACTTCGTTATAACTGGTCTCAACAGTACAATTTCCGTGGGGTTTGCCAGTCTCTCATGGGTATATCGTGAAAATCCATTCCGTTGGCTAAAAATAAATTTTGTGACTGCATCTTGTATTGGCATATCAAATATAGATTTTAAAGACACTGAGTATCTGCATGGAAGATGCAAACAGTACTTGATATAAAACAGTCTTGTTCAGCCCCTTACTTGAAGTGCAAAGCACCACCACAGCATTTAATAAAGTCCCTAATTTTCTTACAGGTCCAAAGTTAAAAACAAATCATGCCACCACACGGAGCAAGCCAAATGCACAAACCTCCATGATGGGATTGGACGCCAGGACCTTTTTCTCAATGTGTGTTTCTGTGGACGAGCCCCCAACAGTCGCGAAATACCGCATGGCATACTTGGCAGAGACTGTCTTGCCAGCTCCAGACTCCCCACTCACAATAATAGACTGGTTCATGTTTTCTCTGAAAAAGTTGCACCCAATTAGTAACAAGCCAGAAGCATTCCCTGTGAAAGATTTGCTAGGATGAACATGTTTCAATTTTAGTGACAAGAAACTGCAAAAACAGTTATCTACAGAGAGTTCCCGAAAAAAAAAAAAAGTACCGTAAAATCCCGTAAAGGCACCCTCCCCCGAGAGGCCGCCCATCCCATTTTTCTGGCTAAATACCTGTAACATGAAAATTCCGAAACGTTGCCCACCCCCTGATTCCAGTTGGACGTCCAAGCAATGTCCGATGAGAATCGCGCATCAACGGCGCGATCGGCGGTACCGGTGTGTCCGAGAAGCAAGTTCATAGCGGGTTCCCACGTTTTTGTCTGCGATCTGCGCGCGATATCGGCTCGCGTAACACACTAGTTGTTCCCGCGTGCATGTTGCATCGTGAAATGCAATTCTGTTGCGTCCGCAATCTGCGGTATTTGTTTCTGTGAGATGCAAGTTTGTATCGTATTCCCGTGTATTTTTTGTCCGCGGTCTGCATGCGCGATATTGGTTTCCGTGACAGGCAAGACTGTAGCGGATTCCCGCATCTTTATTGCACCATGAAACTTGAATCTGCTGCATCCGCAATCTGCGGTATCCGTTCCCGTGAGATGAGAGTTCTCGGCGGGTTTCCGCGAGTCCTCCGCACCATAAAACACGAATCTGCTGCATCGGCCACTTGCGGTATCCTTTCCCGTGACACAGGAGTTTGCAGCAAATTTGCCGCGTCCGTGATATCAGTTCCCTTGTCACGTGGTTCGTAGCGGGTGCCCCGGCTCTTATCATTATTTTTGATAAAGTTTTGTTGTAGCATCCCCCAAAACAACCCCATGTTTTTCACCATTTATCTCTTCATTTTCGGTGGGCGTCCTTACGGAATTTTACGGTACGGTAGTTTTTTTTAATTGCAAAAATAACTATGCACTTTCAAATGCTCAGTCTCTGTCCAAACGTAGCGTTAGAGGTCCGGACCAGATGCCAAGGTTATAATTTTAAGGAAATGGTTATAAACAATTTCCTTAAATTTTACAGCTGTAGCTGTTAGTGCCCCTTCCCGACAAAAAAAATGCTCATGTACAAACGCAAAACCCAACTCCAGAGCAGAAGCACTGCTCTTTTTCTCCCCGTCGTCTCTCGCACGCAGCAAGGCTCTCTCTCGCTCCTTCACCCCCTCCCCTCCTGTAAGCCACAGCTGTTCCAAAAAACCCACGCAATCACGGGTATGCCATGACTTGCGTGTCACTAGTCTTATTGTCCTTGTTTTTTTAAGGCACAATCCGCTGTACGGGTCACGAGGAGAGCGCATTTCGCCTCCCCATCAATCCTGGCTACATCCATGTACTCTCCCGCGACGCCCTCCCTTCTACCTACGTGGTCGCGCTGTGCGGACACGCTCCCCGACCTCCCCACTGACGCCGCCTAGGTTCCAATCTCGTGTCTCTCCGTGCCTCTACAGAACAGTTTGCGTACATACTTTTGTTCTTTCTATTGCAGGCGCGGTTAATGGTACCCCAATTCTGGAAGAGCGTAAAAAAAAAAAAAGGTAGTCTCTGTGTCTTTCTCCAACACATGCAACATCTCGCACAATCGTTCCACCAAAGCACACATCTCCTACATCAATTCCACTGAAAGCAAAGAACCAATGGCAAACATTGTACAGCACACTGGCTGAAAGCAAGCCTCCTTCAACGTGCCATTCCATAACACGGCTGCTTCTGCTGTCAATCTCGGCACACTGTGTGGTCGTTTGCAATTTTCAATGAAGCCCACGAATATATTGAGCTGAATGGAGCAAACTACTAGGAATGGGCCCCATTTCTCCAATGAAAGTGCCAGAAAATCGTTTGTACTTTTTAATAAGAAAACGGTTAGCCCAAAAGCTTTGGTATCTGGAACCTGGACTGCTAGCACTACATTTTGGCGAAGACTGAGTAATACGGCAATGCAGGTAGTTTATTTTTGCAATAAAAGAAACTTCTTGTGTGACATTGTACTTTTTAGGTTGCAAATGTAATCAAGAAATTGATACTGGTGTTACCTTTCCATCTTGGTGTAAGCTTCTTCAGAGACAGCAAAAATGTGGGGGTCCAAATCGCCCATGGCTTGGCCACGGTATGCAAAGATGGTGTCATTGCCATAAATGGGGAGCTCCTCATAGGGATTGATGGCCACAAGCACAATACCTAGTATTGGAAATAAATAAAAATGCAATGTGATGTGTATGCGAGAAACAATTCACTTATATCAGTAACCAGTAAAAACATTCACTAAATTGTTTGTTATTTGCATAAATGTTCAATCCATCTTGCTTATTTTGAACAACACAATTCAATGCTCACATATAGCAATGTTGAAGTGTTAACGCTTTTGTTTGCTTTTACATATACCTAATTTCCTGCAACTTCTCACCCCTTGAAGAGTGTATGTGACCTCAAAAACACTGAAACTAGTAAAAAAAAAAATTATTTTATCCTGCCTGGTTAAGTCAAGCGTGTCCCAAAATAAATAATAAAAAAAAAAAAAAAAAAATTATGCTCAATATGTGTTACAATCAAGAATTTTTCGAGCTGCGAGCCAAACCAAAACTGTACCCCTGTGGGATGATGATAGCATTTGTACGCAACTTGGGTGCACTCAGAGTTAGAGGTAATATTCTTTTGAGCAAACATATGTCAACATTTAGTCAAATGTGTTACACGAAGAGCTTTTCTGCGACCTGCGGTGCTACTTAAAGGGGTACGGAAGCAAAAATTGAAATATTCAGATTTCGTTCGGAAATGAGTCAAGCATGACAGATATTAACCATAAATGATAATCGCACGTTTGTATTTTGAACGACTGGCTATATTTTTCGTTCCAAACGGCGCACTCGAGCAAGCGCTCGAAGAGAAGCGAACGAAGAGCGCGATGCGTCATGGGATATCCGGCGCAAACAAAAACAGAAAGAAAGAATTTCCCGTGTTCAAGAAGTAGCGAGGCAGGCGTGGTTATGAGCTTTGCCCTTGGTGGCGTTGTCAGCGTTGTGGTGGTGTCAATAGCGTCAGCGCGTTACAACCAATCCGTTCAAAGTACCTGTGGGGTGACTAGCATGTGGTTGGCCAAAGGAGCACGTAGCTTCCACAACACTGTAGGGGAAAGCAACTTTTGTTCGAGTTTTGAGCGACGGGTTAATCTTCTAGGGGGAGAATGGCTGTTTCCGGTTGCAGGAACGAGGGTCCGAGAAAGAGGGGAGTCCTTCCTTTCCAACTTCTTGGATCGTTAGGTACAATGTGCGGTTTGTGAGTTGAGCTAGGAGGAAAGCTAAGAAGGAAAATGTTAAAATTCCAAAGATCGGTGCTGCTCCGAAGGAATCTGCTACGTCATGACTACGTAGCAAGTTCCCCAACGTTGCTAGATTACCTCCCAAATAGGCTCCACATGCATTCACCAGGTGCACATTGAAAGATTGTTTATTTAGCTTTAAAATTAGTTTTCTTGTGCCTTTCAACGGAAGACTGGTATTTTTGAGGTTAGGGTGCAACATACAACACATTCACGCTAGAAAATGAGAGCTGGAATTTCGTTTCCCTACCCCTTTAAACTAGGTCACTGGACAAAAAAAAAATCGCTACATCCAATTTCACTTGAAACCTAAAAATGAAATTGATTAAGGAAGAGATGCATTCATTTAATCACACACCATAAAATGGTTTAAGGGCATTTACTATCTAGATAAAAAAAAAAAAAAACAGCTTCAGTGTGTTTTTGTTGATTATGCAAATGGCTATGCTGGCTCAAGTTTTCACTCAAGCCCCCTAAACAAGCTACCAAAATCATTGCTGCTAAAAAAAAAAAAAAGACTGGATCTCCACGTGGTGAATGATGTTGATTGGGGCGAAGCTCTGGTGGTGCTGATTATACTGATCTTATTGTTCATAGGTAGTGCTGATGGTGCTGATTTTTTTTTATTGCTCATAGGTAGTGCTGAGTTCCGGGTTGCGTTTCGACTTCATTATTACTGCTTTATGGTCAGTGAAATGCAGAGCCAGTGGTTCTTCTAGCGGATCAGCTTGGATCCGCTAGAACCCGTGGGAACGCATCTCCACTGCTCAAGTCAACGGTCCATGTCAGAAAGAGAATGTGTGGTATGGAACGTGGTTATATACGCATTTGAGCAATTGACCGCAGCGCCCTCTCGTCTATAAGCGTTGAGCCAATGCATGCAAAAATTAACACAATTATATATGCATTTGACTGCAGCGCCCTCTCCTGTATAGACGTTGAGCGGCTACATGCAACGTTTCATCCATGACAGAAAACCCAGCTCTTGAGTTACTACCACATATCAGAGCCCCCTACTCGCCCCACAGTCGTGGCCGAGTAGTTAAGGCGACGGACTAGAAATCCATTGGGGTCTCCCCGCACAGGTTCGAATCCTGTCGACTGCGCAAACATTTTTTTCTTTTTATGTGAGCATGGACAAACGGACGGATGGACGGATGAACGGACGAATGGACGGACAAGGCAAGGCAAGGCAAGGCAAGGCAAGGACGGACGGACAAGACCCTAAGGAGCTTTGCCCCTAAAAAAAGAAAACTTTTAGTCTTTTTATTTTTGTGAAGAAGGAAGAGCAGCGGAGCTGTAGCTTCTGTTCTCGGCGGTGGCTTTCCAGGCGAGCGATCTGCTCTTCTTTCACAAGGAAATCTGAAGCGCTCGACGCAGTGGAACTTTAGGCGATAGCGGCCTCGCGGCGGTTACGAAACCATTCGCGCTGCTGCGCACTTCGCCGCTTGTTCTGTTCCCGCTCTTCTTCCCCCGAAGAAACGTTGCCGCCATCTATGAGCGACGGCAGCAACCAGTTGCCTGGTTGCCGAGGCTGGAAAGGTTGCCGCGATCTATGAGTGACTGCGGCAAGCAGACAACCGGAAAACAACACTCTGGACAGCTGCCGCCATCTCTGAGCGACGGCGGCAACCAGAGCGTTGTGTCAACATTTGTTTGGTACCGGACCCAATCCTGGGGAAACTAGCCCTTAACAGCTCTGCTGTAAAAAATTAATGGCAAGCTTGATTTGCCTTGTAGACTTGAATGCAAGGCCCATGTCCGGCCCGGGCCCTTCATGAATGTAACCATAAAACCCAAGCCCAGTCCGCCAGCCGCATCGGCCCATACCCGTGCAGACCTCTACATTCGAGTTCTCCTGATGAGTCAAGTCCGAAATACGAAATTTCTCAGATAAACTTGAATAGTGAAACAGTTTGCTCTGAAGTGCTTTTGCCACTTTCTTTAAATTTATTCAAAAATACAGTATTGTTTTATAGTAATCTTCCGTGGATATGACATTCTGCAATGCACTAAATGGCCCTGCAACGACTTTTTGCTGTTTTGTAATTTGCGCCGAACCTGAGCGCACTGAACGTAGCAACTTAATTAGCTTTTTCTTTTCTCGAAATTTGCTTTGTTTTAAAAGTTATAGGCATATTAAAATTACAAATACAAGCAAAAAATAACTTCTTCATGACGTCCTTGGTCCTCTGTGCCCCCTTTTCCCATGCCCTCAGACTGCTGTGACTGAGGAATGTGAGGAGGGAGGGAAAGACGGGGAATGAGGTGCGGCCGAGGAGAGAGAGAGAGCTGTTTGGGAACGGGGCAGCTCTCTCTCCTTGGCTGACCAGGGCCAACAACGTCACGATTTCACCACATGCCATGCGCGTTCGACAACATGGGGCGCCCCAGTAGGAAATGGAGGTTTTCGAGTCTTCTGGTTAAAATATGACGCACTGATATTTACTCTCTCCGTGCCCACTGGGTTGCCCGAACCACAAGAGACGTGGAAACCACAAAAAAGGTAGACGCTTTAAGCAGAATGCAGAGCCCAGTTAAAGGGAAGCTACAGATCTTCTTGAAAAAATTGAGTTAGAAGTAAGTTCTAGTGTCTTTTTACCCTGTGAACCCGAATTCCCAAACCATTAGCTGCGCAAGTATTGTTAAATGCGAGGAAACGCGAAAGACAGTCGCTGTACGTGACGTCATTGACGGATCTTTTGGCTGCCCAAGGCTAGGGAGGCGGGGCTTCAGCCCCATTTTGAAATTGCTCTTTAGGCTCTCCAACGCGTCTCGTTGAAATATAATTGTGATATCTGTTATTCTAAAGGCCAAATGAACGCAATTTAAGTGTTTTTTCTCAAATGCAAAAGTGTCCCATCTACCCTTTAAGAAGAGATGAACCACTATATTTTGGGGTTTGTCAGTCTGTTTGACAAAAAGCTACAGCTTTCTCCGTTTACGGCAGCCCACGAGGTTCCAGAAGAACTTTAGTTCCCGTGCCATTTTTCAATTGCGCATCCATGAAAAATAGGGTGGGCGCTTACACTGAGCATAGGCACTGCCTCCATATCTTACGGCATATCCAAAGCAATCTTCATCGAGCAACAGCAAAAAAATCACTCACCGCAGTATGTGTAGATGACATTGTTGTTACAGAACCTCACTTGAAGATTGTGAAGCACTGTAAATTAATGTGAATTAGTGCACAGTTCATATACGAGTCTATTTTTACTTTAAGTAGTAGTATTATGTAAAAAATTACTGTTCTCATGACAAAAAAAAAATTAGTTAGAAAAAAGAAAAACTGTTAACATTAAATACTACTATAAAATTGCTGTGAAGATTACTTAAAAAGTTCCACGATCCGTGCCAAAAATCTTTACTGCCAGTAATATGCCAAAGTAGGTTTTTAGCACCGAACGTGTCTTACGGGGCTTTTTTCTGAAAAATATTGTCACAAATGAGCGTCACTAACGAGTGACACAGTGGAAGTGTTACACATATTAAGGTTATATATAAAGCTAGTATACAGGCTGTTTCACAAAAGGTGGACAAATTCGATATTGCAAAAACTATGCGTCGCAACAAAAAAAGGCTTGTGTTGTTTTTGTTTTTGGCCAGGGGCCTATTTAGGAAAATTATTAAAGGTCGGAATAATTTAATTGTTAATAATTTTTACGTAATTAACTTTTAATATTGCATTTAAAGGCATAGTTTTAATTAGAAAATTGCTCAGCATCATAGGAAAATACTAAGTCAACAAATTGCATAACGATAGAAGGTATGCGAAGCATTTTACGGCTTTCTGAAAAACCGCACAAATTCGACGGGTTTTTAGGTTTCGATTTGCTATCCGAGCACATCTCAGCCCCGACGGCACCGCGCCCGGTGGAGATATAGTGCAACCAACCTCTGCTGCGCTGTCGTCGTGCGACACAGCATGATTGAAACTTAAAAGCCCGTTGAATTTGTGCAGTTTTTCAGAAAGCCGTAAAATGCTTCACGTGCCTTCTATTGTTCTGCAATTTGTTGATTTAATTTTTTTTGATGATGCTGAGCAATTGTCTAATTGAAACAATGCCCTTTAACACAATACTAAAAAAGTTAGTTACGCACAAATAATGAACAATCTAATTATCCCGGACTTTAATCATTTTCCCAAATAGGCCTCTGGTCCAGGACAAAAACGACGCAAGCTTTTTTTTGTTGCGACGCAGTTTTCGCAATATCGAATTTGTTCAGCTTTTGTGAAACACCCTGTATAAAGTTCGAGCCCCGGTGGGGCTCAAACCTGGGTCAATGCAGTGGCAGTCTATACTGTAGCCCCTGAGCTACTACTAACAGCTGGTCTGGAAGGGTACATTATATTATTTGAATACAAGCGTGCAGGCGATAGCAGTAGAGTCATAGAAGACGTGAGCAAGATTTAATATTTTTGTACAAATGCCCTTTGTGGTTTATTTAATTGCCCCAATCTCACATCTATTTTTTGTGTTAACATTCAAAGACGAGTTTTGCGAATCTCTCCTATTTTTTGTTAATCAAATCATATCAATTAGCCCCATGATTTGCATACTGCTCCTTGGTGCTATCAATATTGACATTTATATCTCAAATTTTTTAGCATTTACATTGTGTCTGATTTGTAATATCACTGTTTGTGCATCATTACCAAGGCATCTGCTGTTTATGAGCACAGAAAATAAACAAAGGAATAAATGAATGAATGATCAAGCCTGTACAACTTTTGCTAGTGCACCACAGCTCAAAGCACGAGGAGCAACAGCTCATGCTTCAAAACCTAGAGACAAGTTCTGGGTAAGATCACAACCCCTGCCCGTTTCAATCGGGATAAGCATTGTACCAGTGTGCGGTCATGTTATCATTACTGCGTGATGCACATTAAAGACCCTGGGTTAGCAGTCGTACTGCACTAGCTTAAGCTACCATACCAGACTCCATTTCAGTAGACTGACTGCCTGCTATGAAACCTCCACAAAACAAATTTTGCAAACGATATACTAATACCGTTTTTAAGAAGCCCGTTGGTATTGCATACAATTTTTTCACGAAAGAGTTACACATAAGAGAGAACATGTCTTTTATGTGTAACTTGTTTGGAAAAAAAAATTATATGTACAACTTGGCATAAATGGTATAAACTAATAGCAACTCACCTGCAGGTTCATGCAAATATGATAGTGAAGTCAGGTCATTGCCACCTATGAGAATCTCCGGATTACGAAGTGGAGGCAGCTTGTCTGGTTCATTGATGGCAAGCACTTGTTTCTATAAAAAGAAGTTAATGCAGCATAAATTAAGATACTGTGGAGGGAGACCACTGTCTTTATAGAGGCTTGTGGCTATGATTTCCCCAAAAGTTGCAACTGACTTGGTGGCTAACAGATGCCGTGAAATTAATAAATATTTTCTATTTTAGATAATGGACTTCAATATTATCGTAGAATACCGCGCATCCGTTCATTCCACATTAAGCGCCCATATCCAAATTTCTAACATCTGAGAAAATATGCACAGTACATTTATATGCAAAACTGATGACCGGACAAGCGCCCCATTTTTTCGTGATTATCTCTATATTTTGAGTGGGCGCTTGCCCGGTATTTTACGGTAAGTATTATTTGCTCAACTAACCAGAAATGTTGACATCAATGCCAAATGTCTGCATAACTAAACTGAAATGTGCCTTCTTACTAATAAAGCTTAACACCCTAATTATTTTACAATATTATGCACTAAACAGACCATGGAGTTTGATTTTTACCTTACTGCTGATTTTATGCTTCGTATTTCTCAAAGATGACAGGTAAATGATGAAGATTAAATTTTGTGGGCACCTTTGAAATTTTGTTAATATTTATATTTATAGATTTTGAAAATATTTCAATGCCTAATAATTTTTTAAAAGTCATGTTTCACGCTCCTCTAGAAGAATGCAAGTTGTCTGGTTTTATTACAACTCCTGGAGAAATTTAACTTGAAGATGCACCAAGTGTCAGTAGCTACAAAAATACATTGTATACAAATTCAATAAATCCTTAAAAAATCTCAAACTTTTTAGTAGGGGCATGGTATTCTCCTGTGGCAAGAACATGCTTTAAGATTTTCTATGTCTGCTATAAACTTCGGACTTATGTTAAGATGGTGGACTCATCTTTTTTAAATGACTACCAGTTGTATTATTTTTTGACAAAGTTTCAACCCTGTTTGATGCATTAATAAACATGGTAGAAAAAATTCTATAGTTTTTCATACTAATCAGGTCTAGTCAGCTCTGATAAAAGGCAATGTACTAAAGGCAGTGTTATCTACCAGTGAAGTGCCAGTTACAACTACTGTAGGTTGCTCTATTGAATTTTTGTTATTATGTCATGCACTTATTCTCTATTGAATTTTTGCAATCATGTCATGTACTCATCACCTTAAGAGAAAAAAAAAAAATTGTTTCGAGTTGCGTGAAAAAGTTTTTACAAGATTAGTTTGTCGAAGAAAAAAAAACACTGATGCTTTTTGCATACAGGCCGTGCATGTTTCGACAAAATAAAAAATAATGAAAATAAATGCACATAGATATGTAGCTTCATTCACCACATAAAGGGGGAAATTAGGAATGTTCTGCAAGGAGCTGAACTTCCTTTACTATGGCTTTCGAGGGGAAAAGGAATATGGTCACTACGATTTGTAACACTAAGATTGGCAATCACTGCTCCTTTCAGTATTAATTACTGATAATGTAGGCCTTGGAATAATGGTAGGGACATTTACGTTTAATCATCGGTCAATAATCATGCAGGCATATGCATGCAAGATATAAATTACAGAGCTGACTTCAACATTTAACTTGAAATGAATAATAAAATTAGCATAATTAATGAGTCAGCTTTTCTGCTGACTCATTGTTGATGTTGCACTCCTGAAGATGGTGCCAAAAGTTCAACAGCAGCCAGGGTCACAGTCCATGTACTGCCAAAAGAAAGTGTTGTCCATGTGTGTTCCTTTTATTATGATGGAGTGGACCATACAGCTCTTGGTTGAAAAGATAGTTTGTAATTTTTTCTTTTTCATCCTGATATGTAGACCTCTGTTTTGCAGATTGGATATGATGTATTTCAGTGCACCACTAGAAAGGCCTAGGGCTGTTTGTGCAGCACTCAAAATAAAGCAAATACAAATACAAATTCCTGAAATGACCAAGAAGAAGAATGAAGACAGCCACCTCTCCGTTTTCATCTTCCACTTCCAGGCTGCTGCCATCGAAGCCCTTGGTGATCTCTGCAGCCTTCCAGACTGCGGCCGCATCTGGCAGCCAGATTCGTGTCCCCTGAAAGATTAAGTGAGCAGGATGTGTTCACAATGCAACCTCTTGATTGTTTCAATAGCCGTCCAGATAAGAGCGGCTCAACGGGAGAAAGCAAGGTCAGGCCTTGAAAGAGAAAGGCAGCAAAAGCATACAATCTGGGTCGAGGCAAGTCTTTTCAAGCCCTTTAAACATCTGGCAAGAAAGAATATATTAACAATAAACTTGCTCGCTAAGATACACTTATGAAATATTTATGTCATGTTTACATTAGAAATTGGGAGCATGATATGAATAGAAATATATAGAACAATGGGCATAATTAAAGCACATTTGGCTGCCCACTGTATTAAATTCCTGGCAATTGATTTGTCCAAGTGACAACAACCATAAAATAAAATATGAACTATATGCTATGTCAAAGCGCTGGGATAATGAAAATATTAGATTTCACTTTCTTTAAAAAGTGAAGACTTCTAACAACAAGAACCCAGAGAGCGTATATTTTGCAGCCATGCAACATTATATCAAAAAAAGTTAGTGTGTATTCTTTCGGCAGCCGGGATAATAATTTCCCCGAAATTCTACCGGCAGCTGCCTCCCATTGGCCCATTGACAGCCCAGATTAGTTTTTGTTCTCTCTAATGAGCTGCCCCAGACTGTTGCCTCGAAGCGGCGTGTACGGGTGGGTCCAGGTGGTCAAAATTTTTTTTTAAACATTGAAGCGGCGTGTACGGGTGGGTTAACATTTTATTCGCTCAAACGGCATTCGCTGCAAAGCGGCGAATGACGTTTTAGCGAGACCATGGACATGTTTCCACAAAATCACAGGAGAATAAGGAGTCAGTATTCTACCGGCAGTTGTCACATGATTTTAGACAGCCGATGGCAGAATGCCGGTAGAATTTCGGGAAATTATTCTCCCAGCTCCCGGAAGAATTGACACTGCCTAAAAAAAAAAAAAAAGCATAAAGGGCTGGAATCTTCAACTGGTTATTTATGATGAAACTCCAACAGCACTCCAAACCAAAAATAAAGAAATTCAAACGCACACGACTAGCGAGGAGGAGGAAATCGTAGCGTAGATAAAAGACAGGGGGTGGGATTTTGACGAAGTGTCTGCATGTATCATGGGTACATCACAAAAACGCCATTTCCTTGTTTATGTCTAACCAACCGCCCAGATACTCGACCTTGTGAATGATTGCCTGTGCTTTGCAGCAAATCCGAGAAGTACTAAAATAAAAATAAAAACGCTCCGATAACGGTTTTTCGAACGGAGACATGCACTGCATCCCACCGATGCTGCCGGTCGTCGCCCGGCGGTCCTGCTCTTCATTTGCTCGTAATTATGCCGGAAAACGTTGCGAGTGGCTCACAGCCCATTTCGAGTGCTTAGCCCACATCCGTGTGTGTCTTTCCGTCGCGAAGCCAGACAGAGAAAGTTGTGAAACCCGACTGCAGTTCACGCGCCGCTCCACGTAGGATCGCTGGAACCGCCAACGAGCATACACGCCCACCGATGAATTACTCACGATTTTACGTGGCTAATCAAATTTTGCCTTTATAAGGAATTTGACGCCGAGAAACAACGGCAGGCATGTATTCGGTGTCACAAAAATCGCAACATCGCGCAGGAAATGAATATTCAATCGGTAGAACATTCAAATGACAGCTGTCTGGGTCAGCTGAGGTTCACTTTAAAGCTACGTTTAGGCTTACAAAGCTACAGCGTTTTGGACACTAATTTTGGAAGCTATGCATTTCAGTCATTGGTTCCGCCGCCGGGTATGTTTTCGAGCTGAGCGGCGAGGGAACGCCGCCAGCCAAGGGCTTCGACTAAAGCGTCGGGAACTACACCTGTGCCTTACCTTGGTGTAAAGTTCCAACGTTGACATGTTCGGTCCGTTTTGCGGACGCTTGTCGTCAAAAAGTCGTGGTGCGCATTTCTACGCCACTAAACGACTCGCTGTGGCTCCGCTCGAAACGGAAAATTCGAGCATTTGTTTAGCAGACTGAACGCCAGGCTGTCTGGGACGCACACACTGACACACACCGCTGCCGCAGCCAGCTTTGGCCAGCTACCCTGATGGCTGCCGCCGCCTCTTCCCGCTGCTCTCTCACTCGCTCTCTCGCTCCACGGCGCTCCATCGAGTCCTGCAGTCCTGCTGCCAACGTTGCCTGCCGCGTTTCTCTCACTTTCTTTCCTTCCATACGCGATTTTGATCGGCAGAGCCTGGGTTGATGGCTTGATCTCCATATTTCGGAGCAACAGCTACACTTCTAAGTTTCACATCGTAAAATTGAACAATCTCCAATACAATACAGGACTATACAGGACGCTCCGATTTGTACGACTCATTTCATAGCTGACAATTGTTCAAAGGTATTGTGAGATTTTTACCAGAGGTTATTAGATACCCCATTGCATGCGTCGTGTTGGTAAGCAAAACTTAATCCTGAGGAAACGATTATGGTATGGTAGTAGGGTTATATGACCACGGACCGGCCTTCCAAGTTTAAATACTTAATTAAATAGTGGCGATATACTACTGTGCGTGTCCAGCTATATGACACTTACTTCTTTCCAAGATGTCATTTGATAAATCGTTGGGCGCATTTTTCTGTGTTTTTGATCACCTTCCGCCTCGGCACCATAGTTGCAGATTATCAGCTCTTGAGACTGGTCGAAATGATGAAGACAGGAGCTGCCCACGTGAATTTCGTCGAACATTCCTGTCTTGAAGCTGCGTTGTTTAAGGACGTATGTTTAATAAAAAGATATGTGTCCTTTATGCCGTGGTTCAGCACTTTGATAGCACTTAGAGACGAACGAGCGAAATTATGCGAAAACGAAACAAAATGTACTCACTGGAAGAGCGGCTTATTCTTGAGTCATGTCATGATTTGAATTAGCGATATTTTGTCATGATGCCTCGTCTCTACATATCGACAGTGATTTAATTTAAAACTAAAAACTATGGTTACATTGCGTCTTCTTCTGCTTGAAAAGAGACAGAAATCTGACCAAGAAGAAATCTTTTTCTTCTTTTCTGTGTGCCGCAACCCCAAATTATAATCTGTCTGTTTTCCGGGAACATCTGAAGTAAATAGATGTTATTTTAGGCTTCGAAATAAAATGTAAGATCACTAAATCACGCCATTCCACTATTCTGTTTTTTTTTTTTATAGAAAATCAGCTGTGAAGCGGTTGCAAACACAGTGGTTGCAAACGCTGGCAACGCTGGCACGCTGGGATAATCTTTTATTTTTTATTTTGACCGCGGTTTAGCATATTTGGTGACCTTTACATTGCTTCGAGGTTGATGGTTTGTTTCGAATTCAGTAAGACTGCTACGGTATAAGAGACCCAAGGCTAGGTTTCTTCATTTGCATCTGGTTACGGTAGCGGAATTTCAACGCTCTAAGGAGAAGATAATGTCGCTCAGGTAAGAACACATTGGCTGAGCCGTGCAAATCGGACAAACACTTCTACAAGTAAAAAAAAAAAAAAAGAGAAAAACAACTATTATTTCTTTGTTTTCTTGTTTGGTACAAAGTCTTGATTCCGTTGTATTGTTATTTTTGTTTTGTCAGGGGAGTTGTGAAGCTGAGCCTACTGGGTGGCACGGTGTACCTGGCGCAGACTTCGGGTGTCTGGAGCGACAGCTCGCGCACCATCGAAAGCATCAAAGCATCGGTGAAGGCATGGCCGAGCTTGAAATACTACGTTGACACGGTGAGAGAGCTCATGTATCTAGACGTTCATTCTCCAATCACTACGACGCGCAATGCGACAAGCTGTATCTATGAGCGCAATTAGCAGCCTGTGACGCTGTCACATGCGTCTGGCATTCCCGATGCCCAGAAGTACTTTTAGCAATCGTACTTAAAGTGCTACTTCCCGTAGGTATAGAAATCTTTGGGTGCCCAGACATCAGCACCTAAGGCTCGCCATTATAAAGTTTATTCCTCCTCCTCCTTGTACTTACCTTAAAGGGATACTACAACGAAATTTCGGCGATCATTTTTTGGTCTATGCGGAGGGCAAGTTCGTCTGCTTCTTGCGCAGGGGGTAGCGGTGACGTCAGAACGCCGAGCCCTGATTGGCTGATGGCGACCCCCTATCTGAGCGTCGTCTGCTCCTTTGCAACGTCGTCTGCTCGCAACGTCGTCTGCGTCTGTCTCACCTTTCCTGCGACTTCCGGAAGTGCAGAGGCCAGATTCACGAAACGATCTTACGCCAAAAATGTGCGTAAGACAAAACTTAAGAACAAATTCGTATTCACGAAACGAAATTTTCGTACGTTTTGCGCAAGTTACGACGAAATCCTACGACAGCTCCGAAGCTGTCTTACGCACTTCTTACGATCAAATCAGCATGGCCGACAGCGTCGCGGTCGCGACGACCCACAGACGTTTATTTTTCTACGTGCGCTTCTCACGCGTCCCGACTTCAAGCAGCAAGAAAAAAGTAAAAAGTACTTGAAACAGATTACGACGAACAAGAACGCAGGACCCACAAACACCCGGGAAAAGCTCCAACGGCCACGATTACACCGAACACGACCAAGCGAGTACGGCAGTTAGGCCTAGCAGGCACTCCGCGACTCGGCGACCGTCTGCCCACAAACGGCTGGCGTGCTGAATGGAATATGCCCGCGCGACCCTTGTGAACCCTTCCCGTATTATACTTTGATCGCTGACCTCAATTTTAGATTAAGAGGTCACTTTCTTCCTCTTGTTATCTCCTTGTTTCCCGAGGCAACGGTGACTCTCGCCGGTGAAAAAGAGGTGAATCTCCGACAGAAGCAGGAAAGGTAAAGCGGCCATCGCTTTGACTAGCAGACGTAATGCAGACGACGTTAACTGCGCCAACCCGCCGACGCCGTTAAAGAATGAGGGGTCTCGCCGCACACGAAAGGAGGGAAAAAGTATTTGGGAGGGAACTTGCGGGCACTAACACGCTTACTCTCGGTTCTTAGCAAACAAACCTCGGCGCCTCGGGACACCTCGCCAGTGAGTCCTTTGACTTGATGCGCGTCTGCTAGTTGTTAGACCTAAACAACGTACCGCTCCAGTTATTTCGTCTGCCCTCTCTGAAAGGCGAAGTCGAGCTCGCTCGTAAAGACCTGCACTTCCGAAAGTCGCAGGAAAGGTAAGACAGACGCAGACGATGTTGCGAGCAGACGACGTTGCAAAGGAGCAGACGACGCTGAGATAGGGGGTCGCGATTAGCCAATCAGGGCTCGGCGTTCTGACGTCACCGCTACTTCCTTTCTCATGCGCAGAAGACGAAAATGAGTCAAAAAAGCAGCATCACATCGAACATACCAATATCTCGTTAAAAAAGTCACGAAAAGGAATTTTAAAACGAATTAAACGATCAGCAAAGAGCACCTGGTGGATGTCGCTCACACCTCACTTGTAATGCCCGTCTAGGAACCTTGACAGCTAGTGACGGAGGTTGTCTCGCCTCCGGCCACGACGAGAGAAGAGGGGCAGGAGGAACTCCCCTCTTCCCGAGAATGCCTTTTGTGTGTTGCAGAAGTCGCTATTGTCCCCCTAGAAGGTTATAGAAGATTAACCTGTCACTCAAAATTCGTACAAAAGCAGCCGCTTCGGTGGCTGGAACGACTAGGCCATCCTCTCGACGTCAGCCTCGCCGCAGCTTTGCTCGTCCTGAGACGACCTACGTCACGATTGCGTTGGATGTCACGTGGTCTCTGCTGGGCCTTCTCCGAGCGCTTGCCAGAGTGGGCCGTTTATAACGAAAAATACAGCCACCAGGCTCAAAATACAAACGTGCGATTCTCATTTACGGATATTGTGGATCATATTCAACCTATTTTTGAACACGACGGGAATATTTCGAATTTCGTTGAAGTATCCCTTTAACCCTTTGCCTACAGCAAAAATTTTTGGGAAAAAAAAAAAAAAGGTTAAAAAATACCGATTTTTTTTTATTAATTTTTTTTATGGTGACCTATAAATTTAATATGCAATACATGAGAAATTTTTGAACACGCTGCAGAAGAAAAGGGGACTAAACTTCGGCTTCACTGCCTTGCACATGGACATTCAGGCCAGGCGTAGCAGTACTGCAGAAAGTTCACATCACCTTGCATGCAAAGTGAACGCAAAACGTGGAGGGGCTGGAGAGGGATTTTTTACGTTGATTCTAGTCCAATGTCGACACGCCGGCACAATTTTCTCGTCGGAATCGGAATCGTCCGAGCTAAAATCCTATAACTCAGTTGCATCGCTCTCGCTGTCCTATAAAAGATTCATTTTCTTGTCTTCCGAATCTGAAGAGAGATCACAATATCTTCATTTTTGCCCCAATTTCGAGGCAAGATCGTCACTATGAATGCGGCGACCAGAAGTTGACGCCACTATTTTTAAATCCCCTGTTGCCTGCGTTGCAACAATTTTCTGCCAAATTCAGAGATTTGCCACAATTTTATTTTCGGTGAAGCGCCATCTATCCACGGCAAAGCTAACTAGAAACATGTGGACTAGCCCAGTTCGTCCATGGTAGCATATTGGAGCTCGAATCAACACAGACAAGCCCAGCTTGTTTTCAGGGGGAGTGGTACAAACAGTGTGGACGAACCCAGGTCATCTATGGTAGGGAAAAAGTTAAAATACATTATCCACTGGATTTTTTTTTTTTTTTCCTGTAGCAAGTTACAGGTTAAGAAGGTATCGGCAAATGCCCCTCAAAGGGAATCATATATCCCTCCGCCACCTCCGCATCCAACAGCGTCCCATCGTTTCAGTGACGTCGCGGACGTGCGAGGAGGGTCTTGCCTTCCTGTACATATTTGCTTTATCTTTCGACTTTGACTTAGCATTGTGGAAGCCACGAGGGAGATGAGAGTTTTCCCCCTTTGATGGAAACAAATGCGACTTTCGGGGATTAGGTTCCCCCTCCGATGGATACAAAGGATGCTTCCAGGGGCTCGGTTCCCCCTCCTATGAATACACAGGTCGCTTTCTTAAAAAGTGGGATCGGAGACAAGTTGGCATCACTCTGTATCCAATATCTATCCATTGAAGCGGAACAAGGAGCGTTTCTTGTGAACTCTTCTTTCGACTGCGGAAGGATTTGAAATGGGCGCATCACACTTGTGGGAGGAGCTTCTCCTACCTCTTGTAACCGATTATAGTACTTTTTGAGAAAAGTACAACTCCTGACTTCAGAGCACATTCCCTAAATTCGGTCTTGTTAAATTTGTACCACAAAATGATGCTTTGTTAATTCTGAAGAAATACTGGGAGGGATATTCTACTCTCATCAGAAAAGCGAGCAGACGACACATCGCTCCGTTTGTTCTAGGGGCGGCCTTCCCGTGGCTTTTTTAAAAAACCCTTGCTACTCGTCGCTCGATCATTGCAAACACATTAGGAGAGCAAAATTAATTGCAATGCAGCACCTGAGACTGTGGTGCGGAAAAATTAACTATCAAGTCAAAGAAAAAGGCGACAGAGGAGAACGTCACAATGTTTTGGGACATTCTCATTTGTCTTTTCCTTCGACTTGAAAGTTCCTTAATTTTTTCTCGCCACAATCCATCCACCACAATCGCCCATGGTAGCGTATTGGGCAAAGAGAGAAGCAAGATTATCACTCTGATATTCGGGCAGGGGAACCCACTCCGAGATGTTGGGGCAGAGCCAACAATTTCAGGTGTCACGTTATGATTATCACCTGCTAACCTGCACACTCACTGTTTGTTTTATTAGGGAGAGTACACTCCTCCATGAGAAAATTGCTTGCGGGGGCTATGGGGCCAGTGCCGAACCAGTCAGCCGCCTCCCTCTTATCACCAGACCCGGCTCTCTGCGCGTGGTTATGGCCAGGAGCATGACGACGTGGCAAAAGAGAGGCTCTTAATGGCCCAGCGAGGACGTAGCTTCCACCGCAGTCACAGCTTTGAGGTGAATGGAGTATAGTACATTTACCCCTCTGGGGTGCAACAAGCCAGTGCAAGCGGCACCAAATTCAAAAGTCGGAGAGACTTCTGAATTAGGCGCCATTCCTGCAAGTAACTACTCTGTGGCCACTTGATGTTATCCAGTATTCGCCGCAGTTTCCGAAAATAGGTCATGCACCCCTGGGGCAATGCATACCAGTTCTAAAATCGCTGTAAAGGGGTATGAAAGGACATCATGAAAGATTGTGTTAAAAAATATTTGTGCTTTACTTTGAAAGTACATTGTATTTATAGTACTTTACTTCAAGTACAATACATGCAATGTACTTGCTACTTGAAGTATGTCACCTCCCATTTAATTTGTTCTTTACTTGAAGTACTGTTAGATGCACTTTACCCAATACTGCCGATTTCTCTTCTCACGGAACTGTTGGTTTGCAGGCACCAAGCAGGAAGGAGCTCAATATGAAAGCAGTCGACTGCTGGAACGACGGTGAGTCATTTGGTTCTCTGCAGCTGAGCGGGGCTGCACAGGCCTCAGACTAGCGAGGAGGCTTGCACAGTGGTTTTGGCCAAATATTTTTGATTTGAATATTGAATACGTGATTTAACATGGTGTCTGAAGACTACCCAATCAGTATTTTGTTACAGTGTCACATATATTTTTAATAAAGTAAAAGAATGCAACTGCTCGAAACTGAAACTGGACTGGGGAGAAAGAAATATAGAGGAGGAGAGCGTTGACTTTATCTTTGGCAATTGTGTCTAAACCATAGAAAATGGCACGTGGCCACGGAGAAGAGTGTGAGCGCGACTCAAATCGGCCAGTTCTCAATCGGCGGTTTTCAGGCGGAAAGAAAACAAATTTCGAGCTGCAAATTGTGTCCTTGGTAGTTGGGCTCTCGTGTGTCATGTACAAATAAAAACCTTGGCAATAATAAATACCCTGTCAGTTTCCCTTTAAGCAATGAAATCCTAGTGCCTATTTTATTGTCTAAATGTCTACCATGTTCTGGCCACACCACAAAGACACTAATGTTTTACTTGAAAAGGCACCAAAACATTAATAAAAGGAATAAACCGAATTTCGTTAAGTCTGAACTTAAAAGCAGTGCCGCTCCGCAGAAATGTGGTGGCAAACTGCACGTGTGTGAGCCCTGTCGAACGGAAATCTCCCTCTCTCTCGGCCTATTCAACTCCTGCGGGGAGCAGGGAGGGGCAGCTAAAACGACCAGGTTGTAACACGTTCACAACACTAGGTGGCGGAGCTCCTAGCCGCGCCAGTCCCCAAGCAAGTTTGCCCGTGCTGGGCTAGTTGACATCACATCTTCCGGGATGCATCATGCCCTCCGATGGCCCATCTTCAAGCGCTGGCTGGAATCTGTCCTTTGGAACTAAAAATATAGCCATCCATGCAAGATACAAGTGTGCAATTGTCATTAGCAGTTAGAGTTGACCATGTTTAACTTATTTCTGAATGCAAGAATCCCTTTAAATAAAAACCCAGTTTAACTTTTGAAGAATGTTGCCAAGCTAAATTTAACCTTTTAAGTGCCTTGGACGAGCTGAGCTTGTCGGCCGCTTTTTGGCTAAAAATGCCTTGGACGAGCTCAGCTCGTCCAGCGTTTTTTTCAGTAGCCCTCAATTCTATGGATGAACTAGGCTCATCCGAGTAGTTTGCGGTGCTGATCAGAGATGGCAACACTCGTTTTAGTTGGCGCTTTTTTTTTTTTTTTTTTTTTTTTCCGACGTTGATTTTTGCGTAATAAACTTTTGAAATTTTATCTGTATTCCTAAAGGAATAAAACTTCAAAATAAAAAAAAATAAAAAAGAATTACACTTTTAGGTTACTTTCAGAAAGAAAAAAATGCACTAAAGGGGTTAATCTGCTGTGCCTCAGAAAGTCCAACGCCTACATTTCGGTAGAAAGCAGATGGATTCTACATAAAATAAATCCCACGAGGGAGCTCTAGCCTCCTCGTGAGCTCTTTGGGAAGGCAAGTACCCTCGCTTCGAGGACCTCTGGGGGGTATATTATGGGTTTACCCACCCCTCTCCTCCTCCTGTATTGGCCTGCAACCTTCCGGAATTTTCAAAAGGTCGGCCCTTATAGTGAGATGAATTTGAGACTCTCGATATATACGGTAGAACACTGCACCGGCCTTCTTACAAGGCCTACCCTGGGCTTGAGACCTTTTTACTTCAGTGCAGCTGGAGTTTGTCAGTAAAGTTGCTGCCCTATGCTCCATTCACAACTGGAACGACGGTTGCGCGCACAAGGTCCCAGCTTTAGAGGCTGCACCAGTGCGCTTGACCTTACCAGTGTGCTTGATCTTACGAGGGGCATTGATAAAGTTTGTATTACCAGCGCCGAAAATTGAAAAAAGGAAAACAAAACGCATCAACACGAGCGTGCGTCCCTCTAGTTTTGGCACAGTATAAATATTGCGTGCCATGAATGCCACTAGAACGTCGAAACAAAAATGGCACTCGGAAGGAGTCCGTTTGCTTCATGACAATGCCCAGACTTGCTCGGTGCAGGCGACGTCACACCTCTTTAGGTTACGAAATTTTGCGTCGTCCCCCATGTTCGCCCGACCTGACACCTAGCGACGTCCTCCTCTTCCCTCGCATGAAGACTTCACTGCACGGAAAACATTTCAAGGAAAGCATTGCTCAAGTGGAGCGATCCCTGATCACTCAAAACAAGGAAATCATGGCCTCCGGCAGCTTGTCCATCGATGGAAAAGTGTGCAACTGGCTGGCGAATATGTAGAGAAAGACTAAACTCCTACCCAAGTACCTAGCAGTTTATAGTCTTTCTCGTAACAATAACAGGAACTTTATGAACGCCCCTCGTACTTTTACAAACTTTTGCGTTAGATAGGTGAACAGAATACCGAATTCAATAATGTAAAACCACTGGAAAAAAAAAAAAGTTTTTCCCATTAGATTGTTTAATGCTTTGTTTTTTTTTTGTTTTTTTCCAGGTGTGAAGGCCACATTCAAGCATCTCCTAAGTCTGCCACACTACACCAAATCCACAGTAGCCTGGTGCTCCAAGTCAATTTCAGGACTAATCAACCAGGAAAAAAAGCCTTGAAATCCATAGTAAGCTGTAACAAAACAGCAAGTGTAGTATCACTAAGAGGACATTACAATAACCATTCACTAGAAGCTTCCAATAAAAAGACTTTCACTAAATGTTGAATCTGGGTATATGCTAGAATAAATTTGTACCTGACAGGATTTTTAAGAAAAGCATGTTATGTACGCGACAGGATTTTTAAAAGCACGTATGAAAATGTAACTGCACAGGTCCAACCAACATGAGAGTGATGATGCCACACAGACACGGGTAGGATATGGCTTTAAGAAAGTTTTATATTTAAAATGTGTACAGCAGTGACATACAAAAAATGCTCCAAGATAAAATTGCATCATTTCAGATGCTCAAGTCAACCAAAATGACAAATATAACTCCGCAAAACCTGGCATGACGTTATCTACACCTTTCTTCGACCGAATGCTATCTATGTGCTTTGGTCCTCTCGCCGCAGGACTTAGCTGTTGCGACGTGAGAACCGGCATTGAATATAAAAAGCGTTTGTCGCCACTAGTTCCTATTTGCAACGTTTTTAATATGTCACGTTTCAAATTGGCCCGATGGGTGATAAAACAGACCGAAAACCTTAAGCCGCCTCTGTCGATATCTAGTTCCCGGACTCTACTTGGTAAGGCTGAGTTTACTGGTACGTTCCCTAAACGCTCGTCTCGTAAAGTCGGGCGGGAAGCATTCTAGTACTTCTTTGGCCGCGTCGACAAGCTGCAGCTCCTGTTTCCTGTGTGGATTATTCCCGTCATCCGTAAAAAGGTATGGCAAAACAAGAGGCTCGGGGAGAGCAACCCGCCCCTAGTTAGAGCCCGGCATTTCGGACTGTGCAAGAGACGCTATCCGACCGCCGTCGTTCTGGCTGGTGTCGTCGTTGCTACTGCCACCCTCGATGCCCCTGGGCTCCTTGCTCTCCTGGTCCGAGAAGGCCCCGTCGCTCCGCTCCTGTAGCCAGATGCACAAGTGAGTGCCATCAGTCCCACGGCACAATCTAGCACAGAAAGTAAGACTATGCAAATCACCAAGCATTTCTATCACCGCTAGTTTGATTCTGAAACCCATCTCGATGAGCCTGAACTTGAATGAGGTCCCTCGGTTCCGCTTGGATCCTGTCACCTACTTGGATAACGACACTGGGTATGCCAGAAAGACAAACAGGATTTTTTTACATTTTTGGACTTTCTTCAAGAAGGCAGGAAAGTTTCAGCCTTCTGCGATGCAGGTTGTTAATGTGGCATGCAAAACACACTTTTTTTTTTCTCTCGTAGAGCTGCTAAAATCACCAGCAGCACGATGCTAGACGAAGGATGACACCTGGTTCATCACGATGGAAAAACCATGAAATGGTATTGCGAGAAGGCATTTAGATTTGTTCGAGACCCCAGTTTGCTTTGCCTCGTTATCCCGTGTTTGGCACTGTTCAGTGATGTGATTGCTGCGCCAAACTGCGCCAAGGGGCTAACCCTGCTACATTTTGCCGAAATACGGGTAATCTGCGCCAAGCCTGCACCATAGGACCAATTTTGGTCGCCTTTCAAAAGCGAAACTAAACTGAGTACCATAACTGAGCACGTGTGAGCTAGGTGGCACAAGCAGCCGCCCGACACAAAGTACCCTGAATCAATCGTTCATCCGGTCTTGCATGGCTTTTCCAGCCATCTCTCGTTTCGCGCTCTCGTTCTCGTTGTCTCGCGTCTTTTTAAAAAATTTTTAACGATAGACGTGGTCATGTGCAGACGCACCGACGCTAGTGCTGGGTACCAGCCATGCCGTCGGGCTGCGAAACGAAACCATGTTTTTGTGTGGCAGGTACTTTACGAGCTGAAGTACTCGCTCCTGAAAGCAATGGCCGTGGGAAAACTATATTTGGTCCCTGCCTGCCAGTCGCCGTGGTCTCGCGACGTCGGGTGTTGCCATCCCCACGTCGCTGCAGATATGGCGCTTTCTAAACTGAAACGTATGGACCGTTGCATGTTCATCAACATTCCAGTTTTTGTTTAATACGCTGCTACAAAAATCTTTCTAGCTCAAAGACTGCTGTGTCGAAGTATTGGTTCCCTAGGTTTCTCTCGGTAAGCTTTCTTTTGAGAGGGACCCCAGTATTTGAAAAATCTGCCACGAAAGAAAGTTTGTTAAGAGAAGTGAGCTAAAGCAAAGAAGTCAATGCCTGTATGCTGAACTCGCACAGCGTGCTTGTTTGTCTGGAGTTTAGTCGTTGCACAAAGCGCTTCAAAAACTTTTTGGCCCTGGCACGCGATGTTTTGTTGTTTTTTTTTTTGGCGTGCGTGCGTGCGTGCGTGTGTGTGTGCACGTGTGTGTGTGTGTGTGTGTGTGTGTGTGTGTGTGTGTGTGTGTGTGTGTGTGTGTGTGTGTGTGTGTGTGTGTGTGTGTGTGTGTGTGTGTGTGTGTGTGTGTGTGTGTGTGTGTGTGTGTGTGTGTGTGTGTGTGTGTGTGTGTGTGTGTGTGTGTGTGTGTGTGTGTGTGTGTGTGTGTGTGTGTGTGTGTGTGTGTGTGTGTGTGTGTGTGTGTGTGTGTGTGTGTGTGTGTGTGTGTGTGTGTGTGTGTGTGTGTGTGTGTGTGTGTGTGTGTGTGTGTGTGTGTGTGTGTGTGTGTGTGTGTGTGTGTGTGTGTGTGTGTGTGTGTGTGTGTGTGTGTGTGTGTGTGTGTGTGTGTGTGTGTGTGTGTGTGTGTGTGTGTGTGTGTGTGTGTGTGTGTGTTTAACTTGTACCTGGGTTTCGATAAAACAGCCATCTCGAGAGAAATTTCACATTGCACTGCAGTAACGTGTTTCATCAGTCTGAGACTGCTTCCATTTATTATATAACTAGTCAACCTAATGCTGTGATATTTACTACTAAGCTGGCCATTTTCAAATAAATTTTAATATGTACAGTTTGGTTATTATTTATCTGTAGTGGGTACAATTGTATGTATCATTTAACTGAAGCATTGCAAAATGTGTCGTCATTGGCAGTTACATATTGAAAGACTCCCAGGAGGTCTAACTTGACTATAATTTGTTTATTGCGGTGAGCAAAGTGTCCTTCGTGTGTCTAGCACTTGAAACTAATATTTTTATTTGTCTAAGAATATCTGCTCCAAAAGCCACTTTTGCTGCTCCGAAACACTGTTTTAGCTACTCCAAAAGCCACCTTTGCTGCTTTAAAACACTGTCTTGGCTGCTCCAAAGGCCACTTTCGCTGCTCCAAAACACAGTTTTGGCTGCTCCGACAGGTGCTCCAAAATGGCTTGGGCCAATTACATCACTGACTGTTATGCCACTTGTGTACAGTGCAACGTTATGTGTAGTACAATGTTAATACCACAGGCTCGGCTCACTGAGGAAGTACAGCTGCCTTTGTGCAAATAGAGGCTGGAACTATGTTTTGCTGATGACCCAGTGCCTGTACAACTGTACTAAAGCTAAGAGCCACCTAAGGTCAGCTTGGCTAAATTCACAATCTAGTACAGTAACATTTTCTAGGTACAATCTTGGCTTGGTGTTAAAGAGAAAGCTTTGGATATGCTTATACTCCAGTTGTATGTCCCATAATTCTCCTGGAACATGTCTTGTATCGGATGGAGCATGGCAACTACTATATGCAGATTTGACCTCGCAAAAACTGATAAAATGTACTATGCCAGTGCAAACACCAACCAGAAAACAACTCCAGTTCTCTAATAATATAGCTCTAAATCTACACCATTTGTAAACCTCAGACCAGAAGCTTCTTATATAAAAATGGTCCATTCCAATTACATCCAGAAATCCCCTTGTGCTACGAAATTATGAAGCTGTGTAAAGCATGCAGGTCAGAAAAGGATAAGTATGTAACAAAAGAAATCAGGTTACTATTAGTTTTGTTGCTCAAGGTCTGTGTGGACAGCCAATTACATGCTCCACAGATAGGGCACAGCTAATTAGTGCAGCAAATCAGTGCAGTGCAGGTTGCACAACTGGCCTGAAGCACAAGCTTGTTTGCAACTTGTTGCGTGGACCCAACTCAACCATGGTTGAGGACATGCCACTGGGACATAGGAGCCCATCCAGGGAGGAATGTCCCTTACAAAGCAAGTCTGAACAACCAGAGGAGTTTAAAACCAGGTGTAGAGCAGCTTGATGGATATCAAGCTGCTCTACACCTGGTCTAAAAACAATGCAGCAATTTCAAAGTGCTCCGTGCCTAGAAGGTAATAAACTGGTGAAAAAAATTGGCACAAGACATACCTGACTGACTTGGGAGTCCTGGCTCTCCGCAGTGTCCTCGCATTCCATAGGCGTATGCGCTGCGTCCCCCGCCTCCTCCTCGTTGCCTTGCCCTTCCTCCTCCTCCTCCTCCTCCTCTTCCTCCTCTCCGGGTTCCTTGCCCGGGGCCACGGGCATTCCCTGGGGGGACTCTTCTGCCGGGGTGGCCTCCTTGCAGGCGCCACCGTCCTCCTCCGCCCCCTCCTCCGCCTTCTGCTTGTCTCTCTGCTCCTCTTTGGCCTGGGCGTCTTTCTTCATCTGCTCCAGGGCACGCTCCACCATCTTCTGGTACGTCTCAGAGTCCACCGTCTTGCCGCACCTCTGCCCGCGAAAGAGCACGCAATCAGCTGTGTTCCTTGCCACAATCGGGTTGGCCAAGGGACTGCCCTCACCACCCTCTTAAAGCGCTCGATGCCGCAAACAAACCTAGATTGTCTGCAAATGTGTACACTCCTTACACCTTTCTTGGAAAAGCTGAGAGGACTAGCCTGCAGCTTCATAAAGTATACACCTAGTGCACATATTAGTTCTTAGATAAGAGATTTGTGAAACATTCTGATACTAGATGTGTTCAGCAAGTGTTTTCTTAGCTACAAAAACAAATGTACTTTTTTTTGCAAGTGCAGGCATACTAAAGTGCAAAGCGCGATATCTGGATCACAGAAATATACAAAATATGTGACCAAGAAAAGTAGCAAAATGCCATTTATTTTACCTTTAAATTCATTCGAGGAAAATGCAAGTTTATGTTTAGTTTCCCTTGTATTTCATGTTTTGTCTAGAGCCCCGCATTGTCTACAACGCCGTCATCGTCATCTTTTTCACTAGTGCTTCCACATTCATAACACAATAACTTTCTGAAAGATGACTTTCTATAGTATCAAAAGCCATCCGGGAGTCAACTCTCTATAGTATACTATTGATAGTCAACAACTGATAGAGTTCTTTCCAAAACTGTCGATAGCATCAAAAGTCAATTTTTCGATCGTTTTGCATCACTACCACAGTCCCATATGTAAAGTGTAAGCATAATCAGAACAAGTCAACAAGCTACTAGCTTTATTTTGAGCAGACAGCTTTCCTGAAAACAATGCCCTATTCCAGTGGTGTCTACAGCATAACTTACATTACGGCCACTAGACCATGCTTTCAGCAAAATGTCCACTTCCCGTTACCAAAGTGACAATTTGCTAATGAAAACATTTTTCTAGAAATTTCCCCCTACTGGGAGGTTTTTTTTTAGTCTGCAATAAAGGGTAACTCTGGTACATCTTCTTAATTTCAGGGTTATGACCGTTTATAGAGCAGGAGGTGTCCCTGAATTACAAAGGGCAATTTCTTTTTCAATGCCTCGTGCAGTTTTGTAGATATCGTACCCGAAAGTTTTGTTTCTGGTGTCTACGGTGAAACAAACTATCGGTTCGAGAAGATGGTAGCCCAGGTGCATGGCCATCGTGCGATGCCAACTTTGTACTGCGGTATCGCAAAACGTACGACCGGCCTAATCGCAAGAGCAGTTCCGATCAGTCGAGCAAGATGCTACGGCCCTGTTACTGCTTTGCTTTATAGATATGAAACATCTGTAGCAACTAGTAATACACACTGCCGGCAAAGAAGCGAGTTCAACGCAATGAATGGGTGGTATTTACTGGGTGCCACGATCGAGTGCGTTTTTCACAGCACAGGCTCAGAACGAGCCCCCTCTTCTGAGAAGAACTACAATGTTGGTGGTGTGCAATATATGCCCGAGAAGCATTGTGGAAGCCTGTCGTAAGCTTGTGCTGACCAGGAAGGCTGAGCAGGAACAGCAAGGTGTGCTCGGCATTGCACAACGACGCCAGTCCCTTGGGCTCCTTGCACTTTGGCACCACAACGTGCTTGTACAGGCAGGGGGTCAATAATCTTTGTGCGCAATTGCTGAGGAGCACTTGCAAACGACGGCCGCTAAAACCTAACATAACACGCAGCAATCATCCGCTGGGACGGCTGAAAACCCAGCAGACAAACAAGGCGAAAGAAATGGCAGTACTAAAAAATAACCTCGAGTATGAACATGACATTCGAGCGCAACGTTGCTTGACAAAGAGCCAACCCCTTGAATGCCCACTGAGAAGCTGGTGGTAGCATTTTTAATATTGATTTTAAAGTGGATTGCTATTTCCCATTAGTGCAATATTTAGGCAGTGCTCATATTTAGTCTCCTTACACCAATATTGGTCGTTCTCTTTGGTTCGACTTTTGGCCGGAGTTGCCTTTTAACAAAATAAGTTATGTAATGTGTGCTCCAGACTCCAAAACTAGACAAGACTATTGGGGGAACTCACCTTTTTCAAATCTGCCTGGAACAGCTCGCTTGCTTCAAGAAACTTGCGTTTTTTGGCCTCAAACTTTTCTTCGATCTGTTGTAACTCTGCTTCCAACTTCTCCTGCAAGCCAATTTTAATTACAGTTTTCAGTTGCCAGTTTGGCTCAGCAGGAAAGATCCTTTACGGGGATCACTGCAGGCTCACAATACTAGTGAACAGAACGACTCTTGGTGGCTTTGTCAAACTAGGAGAATGTTAAAGTTTCTTCAACTTGGTTACGGTACCAAAGAATAGTACCATAGCTGTACTGTAGCTTTTAAACGAGTGCTTGCCCTCAATTAACTTCACGAAGTAGACTTTAAGAAAAGGAGCCTCCTGGAAACCTCAAAGTGGTAGCCGGCGTTTCACTAAGGCTTAACGAGACATAGCCTACCACTCTGGAGCTTCTAGCAGGTCTCTTTTCCAGGTCTTTATAACCAGCTTCAACCACTTTTGATTAAACTTCACAGAATAGACATTTACTGTAAAAGGGAGCCCCACTAGTCAGGAATAGAAAAGTTGTGAAAAGCTACTAGAAAGCTTTGACTGGAACTGATGTCATGTGCATCTGCAAGACAAAATTTCAGTTCTTAAAGGGAATACTGAATGATACCTCTCTGTCTCGTGATATCACACCGTTATGATGCTCTGGGGACCTGAAGTGGCTTTACGTGAAGAAAGCAAACAGTAGAGTTCTTTATCCAGCTTGTTTTCTTTGTAGCTCAGTGTTCACCCAACACAAGGCCTGTGCATTGAATTCCTTACATCATCTCTCTCGAATGAGCGCAGGGCACAGAATGAACTTGAGTGTTGTGTCACCGTTGGGCAGAGACTCGTGTTCGATCAGCGATTCACTGACTGAAACGAGTCTTAGCCAAACATTGTGCCAGAAGTTTTGTTACTCGGTTTCGGACTTACACAATGTGCAAACAATTTACGTCTGTTGCCCATGCAGCTGAAGCAAAATGCTTGGGGCACGACTGTTCAATCTCCTGCCGAATTGGCTGCAGGGTTTTTCTTTTTCCCTTTTTTTTCCTCGTTATTCACCAAGTCTCCTGTTGGCCCCATGCACCGACTGACTGGATCACCAGGAGAGAATCCTCAATACTGCTGGTTTCGGAAGGTCTTCGAACTTGTCAAGTCGCACCTTTGTGTGTCGAACAAAAAACAAAGCTTTGACGCCTGTTCCTTATTCTACAAATGAGAAGATTATTCCGAACACTAGTTAGCCAATGAGAATATTCTCTCATGATTCCTTTAACCAAGCAAATGCCTATAAGTGAACTCATGCCAAAATCTTTTAATCTAAGTTATAAAACAAAATGTGAAAATATATATTTTTTTTATAAAACACTAATAAAAATTATGCTGTCTGGGAAAGCCTCTGTACCAAAGAAAAAAAAAGCTCTTTCTTCTCCCAATGTATTTTGGGACAATATGTGCGTGCACGGGCAAAGACCTTATTCAATCAAAACTGCAGCTCAAAACCACTTTGCTAAATCAAGAACAATGATACTTTTTGCTACAAAACAAGATAAAAATATTTTTTTTTAAAAAGTTCAACTGCGACATTTGGTAAATTACGTTCAACTGTAGCTGTGCAAGGTTCAGCCAAAAATGACCACATAAATTACTTTTCTCCCAAAGTGAAGAATTCGGCTAATATAGGGTGACCGCTGTTATGTCCAGTGATACGAGAGAAGAGGATGATGTTGCGAGCCACAAGGATATGAGCAGGAGTTAGAAGAGACACCACTTAGTCATGGCCCACGGTATGCAACAACACAATCGCGGCATTTCCGATCGGGCCAGTGGCTGCCCACCTGGTGCATGGTGAGGGACTGCACTTGTCGCTTGAGGACGCTCATGCGAGCTGTCGTGACCACAGACCTCACGTCCGGAACTACGGCGTCGCTGAAGATTTCGTTGATCAACCTGTGATTCCGCATGTAGCGAGAAGCTGCTATGTGCTTCACCGAAAACTCGTCTATGTCTGTGTAGAGGAGAAAAAGCATTCAACAGATATTACGTGAAGTCAACTTCTTGTTTCTGAGGCTCATTTCAGCTCCACCATCTTTCTTGAATGCCTGCCTAGGATTAATTATCTTTTGCTTTTCTGGTGTCTGCACTATTTGTTGAACATGCCATTTACTATGCTTGGCACAACTAAAAGGAACACCCTGACCAGGGATTTCCAGTTCAAATATGCGGCTTTAGGATGTGTAAATGATGCTACTTTGTAAATATTTCTTCTCTATATCACGGTGCATTTGAAGGTGAAATGAACAACAAACTTTGGGAAATATTGATGAGAGAGAAAGGGACATATAGTGGTAGTAAGTGGTAACAGGCATGCGAAGATACAACATTTAACTTCAACAAAAGATGTGCAAATGCAATGGTCAACTTGGTGAGGCAGTTGGCTTGCTGCATTTCTCCAAATCTTATTTCCTACTAACGAGCAAATATGAGTCATAAAAGATATTGATGGGTCATAGCTTGCACAGTAACAACCACATACAAATGTTCATAGTTAATTAAACGATTTAAACCATACATTTCTAAACATTCCACAAATGGCGTCTGAAGATTTTAATAGCATATCAACATTTCGAAAAATTGTATGAGGCAGAGTTATTTGAATTGGCAAATGACACAAATTTTCTGAAACTGGCATTGCTTGAGCTCTAAAAGCATGTTAAAAAATTTCTATCCTGCATGTTGTCAAAACATAAAAAATTACATTGAATGAGGCTCCAACCCCTTTTCTGAATGATATGTTTCACTTTTATCTTAAGTACCCAAACTATGGGCAGAAACACCATGAAGGATAGAAATGTTGCGACTGGAAAGCATCTCAAAATCTTAGAGAGAGAAGATTGGAGGTGACCTACCACTCAACCCTTTGACCTCCAAAAGGTAAATGCTATTGCTCAGTGAGCCAGAGCCCATCCCTACACAAAGAAAAGCAGATGGAAAGTGTTTCAATTATGCCGTATCACCATTTTGAGACTCAATAGACAAAAGTGAATGGCAACCTGGCCACACCTTGGTGATTGCAACAGTTTTCTACATTTCAATTGGGATCGGAAGGTGAAGAACGAGCTATCCCATGGCTTAGTTCAATATTTCAGATTTGTAATTTCACTGAATGCAGAAGTTGATGAAATGTCCTTCAGAAATATTCTACAAGAAAAAAAAAAAAGGCTACAGAAGTCCAATAGCCAGTGTATAGCCATAGGCGATCTGAATCTAAAATATGATAATTTCCTTGATTCTTGACTTAACACTTAAAGTTTCAATCTACATTACTTGATAGTAGCTTCCATATCGACAAAAAAGTGTAAACCAAGAATTCAAATCATTGCTCTCTCAATCCCTGTTGCTGACAAATCACAGTAGCTAACAAATGCTTCTACAGCCTACAAGACTTTTGCAAGACAAAGCACACACACAAAAATAAATATGCTGTGGAAACCAGAGATACCTGCAGGTGTTCAACAAGTTAGTTTTCACTTCCAGTGCTTATGTTAGAACACTATGCCACCTGGCAAGGAATTTTTGAAGCTAACTATAGATAAGCAACTCCTTTTAATATATGTGGCATATCAACCTCTCAATCTATGCGATTTATTAACTGCTGATTAGTAGCACCTTTTCCTGCCACGATGTGTTCTAAACATTTATTAAGAGACCAAAAAGAAAATAAAGCAGGCACCACTTGTTTAGTGCTGATAAAGACTTGCAATGAGATTTGCATGCAACCTTAAAAAGGGGGTCTTCTATTACACCTCTTGAACATGTAGGATGCAAAAAAATATCAAAAACATTGTGCTCCAGTGTAGTGTCACCTCAATTTAAGATGGGATGTTAAAATGTCTGCGACAAAGACTGGGAAGATGTTAAAATGTCTGCGACAAAGACTGGGAATCCAAATCAGTGGGGTCCATATGAATGCGACATGAATGTAATGAAGAGCAAAAGGGCCAATTTGGGGACTAACAGTTTGGATCTGGCAGTTCTGAAGGAAGACAAGAGCTGGATATTTTCTCTAAATATTACAAGTTATTAACACTATCACAAGATTTGCAGAAGCTTGCTTCCTTATTGTGCTGTGTTTCCTTGGTTCAATAGATCTCCCACTACGAGGCTCTGTGTGCCTGAAATTCCAGAATATTCATGTCCTTCACATATGCTATAATGCAAACAGAACTTATAAGTAGGGCACATAAGAAAAAATTTCATAGCCAAATTTCAGTGGAACACCCAGACATGGCATGCTCACTGAGTGTGCAAAGTCTATCAACATACATTCCAAGGCTTTACTGTGCAATTTGCTATGACCACTTGCTCATATAATAGCTTCAACCACAAAGGTAACAACCAATAAAGCAGAAAAAGCAACAAAAATGAAAACCTTGCATCTTAATAACAATAAAGTAGAAGCCAAAATTGGAGAAACCAAGCTTGCAGCACTGGTAACATCAACAGCAGCTAAGTGTGCCTCACCAAATTGACTATTTTGGTTTCTTCCACTGCCCTTTAATTTTAGATGACCAAGGCAGGCGAACAATCATGCCTCATTTACATGGACACCTGTCAGCTCGACGGTAAATTTTGCAGGGGGAGTGACGTGTCAGCTGGGCTACCAGGAGGGCCAGAAGTTCATGCCAACAGCAAGATTACAAGACTGTGTCTAGGAACCGGGGCGAAACGAGCGAGGCTCAACATGGTGCGACTATGGGAGATGTGCCTTGCATGCTCACAAGTCCCAAATGGCGGCAGACTGCATGTAGAACCACAAAACCAGTCAAACCTGCTCATCACAAACCGTGATAGGCTCGACCAGCAGTGATCCAATTCATGCGTTAACACAGGTGCCAGGATCAGTCAAGAGGGTCCATTCTTTTGTGGTCACACATTTCGGACTTCCAAGACCGACAAAGCACGGCAGTAGACGTTCTAGGTGCTTGCTACATCCTCAATACAATTTCAACATCGACACTCAACACAGGCATAGTTTAAAACTTGGTGGTCAGAATGACATGGTTCATGCAGTTGTGCGCTTTTCTGAAGCATGCCCTCAAGTGTCAGTCGGAAGCGAGTATCTCTAAAATCTGAGAATGACTCAAAAATGGTCCATTAGCACTTCTAGCAGTAAGGAAACAATTTTAAGTGAGGCCAATCGAAGAAATATACAAATGCACAACACACTTTTTCCATTCTGCCCTGAGTCGTCCAGAATTTAGATAGCTCCAACCACCTGTCTTGTGTAAAATTGAGAGTCCTAAAGTTATTGACAATTCCCTGCAATGTTTTAAAGATGGCTTAGCTAAGACCCTGACGTGAACAACACGTAGCTTTCGGAAAGCACTAAAAATGTTTTAAGAAGGTAGAGCAGAGAGCACCAACAGAAACGATGGAAGAGCTGTCGCACTTACCATCCTCATCTTCGGCTGGCTGTATGCTGACCTTGCCGTCCGTTTTCTGGGAAGCCATAAGAGACTGAAACAAAGAACATCAAGTGTTGCATATTTTGCAGAAGCCTCACTGTCAACAAGAGTTTAAAAAAAAGGATAATTAAACCTTAAAAAAAAAAACAAAAAAAAAAAACACCTAAAGTTAATAAAAACTTTATGGCCTATGGCAGGGGCGGATTCAGAGGGGGGGGGTCCAGATGTCCTGACCCCCCTCTTGAATTCTGCATATGTAAAAATTTAAGTCGTGGAAACGGAAAGGGGGGGGGGGGGGTCTTAAACATATGATACGCTGACCAACACCTGACCCCCCCTCTCAAAAAATACCTGCGTCTGCCCCTGGCCTACGGTACAAGTATAAATTGTACCGTAGGCCGATGCTTACTTGTACAAGTACAAGTAAGCATCTCTAAAATAAGGCTGATACCGGTAGCGCAACTGCACTTCCCGACGTCCGACTTAGCAGATATACGGTAGAACCTCACTGGTACTTTCTCGGTTGATATGTCTCTCTGACTGTTCCGTTCACAGATGCCGATCCGGTTGAACTCCCAGAGCGATATGTGTACTAATTTCCTTTAGGCTGTGTTGGCCTCCTTGCTGTTATGCAAAAAATAAAAATGCTGTTCAAGGCAACACATTGTTCTGCCAGGCAGCGAACACACTTTTTCTTTCATCCTGCTCTACCCCCTTTTCACCACCTTGCTTCTCTGCACCACACTTCTTGCCCGCACTCCTTGCCCACACTTCTTGCTCAGGTAGACATGACCTTAAACTAGGCTTGGAATGAATTCAGAATTTCGCAGCAGTCCGTTCATCGTTCCATCCTTCTCTGGAGGCACAAGCACACGTCTCTTGTGTTTGGATAGTGTAAAGTTTGCCCGGTTCCGCTGGTTTCATTTTGTGTGCAGCTCAAAGTTTGGAATCGTACACTGTGCACCCCACGGCACCGAATATGCATCGGGCTTCAATGCTTCGCACTGGCATACTAGGTACAGCAACTGACGCAGGGTAGCGTCAGTTGCTCTTATTGCTTTCAGACTTAAAGGTTGACATCTTTTCGTCTGATGACAGGTAGACCCCCATTTTTAAATAATGCTTTCGAAACACAAAGGTCAACATATGAAAGTCCACGTGAAATAAATTGCTATGCAAGTTTCTGCTTGTCTCATCTGTAGTCTACCAAAAGCGTTAACTTTTATGTTTTCCTGAACCATACTTTTTTTTTACCGTGATCCCCAGAAAAACATACCAAGGTTCCATCATGCATGGAAGAAAGTCCATTTCAACATATTTAGTTTTAAAAAAAAGATATAAGCAAGGAAAAAGTACAGCTTAGTCCCATATTTTTGTTGCCGGTAATAGTTGCCCATACGGGTTTCAAGTACTTTTAAATTCACTTGAATTCATGTAACTAAATACAGATTTTAAAGTTCATGGTACCTATTTTATCTTTTAATAAGTAACTCAGTCAAAGGCACACATCCAAGTTTGAATGTAGACATGTCACCATACTACATGTAATCATCATCACCATTTACCAAACCTGGTGGGCATATGTGCATTACACAAGTGACGAGGAGTTGCAGAACATCATTATATCAAAGCAGACATGCGATGATACTCCAGCCGGTTAAGTCACATTACAACCTCACTGCTAGCTGTGAACTAGTGGAATCAAGTTTATCTGCACATATGAACTGTGCAACACTGCTGTGCAATCTTTTAGTACGGCAAGGAGTACATCATTCAGTTTGGCAAGTGCACATAAGTGCAAGTTCTCATATCAGGCAACATTTTAAATGGCCCTGCTGTAAATTTCCAAGTAAAGGTAGAGGTTTTAAACAATCCAGCATGAAAATAATCTACATTAGCAGCTTGCAAAGCATCACAAACCCAAGGGCAAGGGTATGGGTCTGAGGCCTTTTGTGGTGACCTGACACTCTAGAGTTAAAAAAATACAACGATGAGTAACTCCACTAACCGAACTCACGACTGACGGACTGCGCTCGAGGGCTTCCCTTTCCTCTGCAGCTTGTTGAGCTGAAATCAGAAACAATATACAAGAATTCAGCGATGTGATTGGCCCAAGTTATTTTAAAGCAGCAAAAATTACTTTCAGAACATGAGCATATACTTAACTCCTATTGATATTGCTGCAACTATTATGTGAAGATTCATGTGGCAGTCTGTCTAGCTAGAAACAGTGCCTTCTTTGGTTATCATTTATTCCACCAGAGAGTTTAATTTGATTGAATACCCTACTACAGTCTAAGCTCGTTATAAGAGACCTTGATTTTTACCAAGATTTTGGTCTGTTATAAAAGGAGTATGTAGCATGCAGATATAAAATTAAGCCAATGGTATGTAAAGGAAAACCAAACAAACTTCACGAATTGGTATGTTATATCCAAATGTCTGTTGTAACCAGGTCTGTTATAATGATCTTAGACTGTAGCAGTTTTGTGTGCTTTTAAAAATGCCAGACAAGGCAACAAGTATGTTGAGAGTTATCAAGCTTCACTGCACCAATCACTTTTAGAAGTAAAATATAGGACGAACAGGATGCTGTTTCGATGACAGGGCAAGAGAACCCAAACTATCTGTACGCAACAATTCGGGGGGTCATCTGTCTGAGCACTGCCAGCGTTGTGGCTGCAAACCGCTTTTAGGGCCAACGAAGTTCTTGAAAAAAGCGACAAAAAAAACAGAGCGGGAGATCATAGAGGCTTTCTTTATTAAATAGAAGAATGTCAAGTGCATCAGCGCGCCATCTGTTAGCCTACTAGAACCATTTTATTACCAAGACCAGAAATTGCCAACACAAGTGTCTGGAAATGTGCAAGCATTTCAGGCATGAGGTTAAATGTACTATGCATTCCACATTCAGCTTGAAAGCTGAATGTGGGGCGCACCCATTCAGCTTGCTACGAAAGTAGAATTTCCCAGAACTACCGTAAAACCTGTAATGTTCACGAGCCCAAAATTTTTGTAAACTGGAGTTTGCGAGCTTCAAGGACATGCACTTTTTTTTATTATTTACAAATGCAAATTTCAGGTTTTAAATTTTTCAAAACTTAATGGATGTGAATATGATCACTCTGCCCACTTCGTAAAAAATGGGCCTGCAAAAACAGATGGTATTAGAGTATGAATTGAATCTCAACATTAGAACCACTGCTTGTGTGTTCTAATGTTATTAATAAATTACCTGTGTATCTGCACATAACATTGTATAATAAATTGATGACTCATCGAGCTGTAGTTTATATAACATTGTATAATAAATTGATGACTCATCGAGCTGTAGTTTATAAAGTTCGGAAGAGCCCAGCGGCTATGGATTATCATCTTTTTAGTATTGCCGCGAGTAACATTCTGAAAAAGAAAAGTTTGTCGCTCCACCTACATAACTTAAATTATGCGATAAATAGCTAGACATAGGCAACTACAACCTCCAGTTGAGTGCTTGTCTGCAGTGACCTGCAGCCTACAGATGCAACAGTCTAGCCTTACAATCTGTCACATGTAGCGAGAGTTCCTTACCTCTGACTTTAGCGGCCACCCAGGCTTGGTATGCAGGAGAACTGTGATATGACTTCAAGGCTTCATTGTATTCCATCTAAAAAAATATGAGGCAACAAGCGAAGAAAATGCAGCTCGTCACAGAGGTGGCCCCTCTGGTAAGCTCAAGAAGCATAGCGAATAAAGTGAAATCTTGTTTCTTTGGCAGATGCAATACACTTTTAAAGGACCCTTAAAAGAAAAAACTGTTTTTTTTTAACAATCTGGTTATGAGACGCGTGTCAAAAAAAAATAATCAATTTTACGCAAAATAAAATAAAACATTTTAGAGCAATATTGATGGCGCGAGGTCTATTTGAAATTCTGCACGAAGTCCACGATGTCACGGAATGGTCATTCGCTCAGCTCAACGAGATGGCAATTCCCTCTTTCCACCTCAACTTGGAGGCAGAGCCGATCCCCCTCCTCCACAAGCCCAAAATGCTGAGAGAAAACCAAAGGAAAGGAGGTGACTACAAACTAAATCGCGTCTCGCGCCAAAAATATTGCTCTAATTTTTCTTTTTTGCACAAAATTAATTTTTTGACACGCATGTGCCAATTAAACTGTTTAAAAAAACTTTTTTCTTTTCAGGGGCCCTTTAATGCTCTCAATATACTGTGACAATGTTACATGGCAAACTTCAAGAAGCATCAAACGCATGAAACTACTATATATCTTGGCACTTATACTCCTTTTCACCTCAAGAAAAAAAGAACTTCTGCGCATTGTTCCCCAACAACCGAAGAAGTCCTTAAAAGATTTGGTTGTCGGAGGAAAAAGCGATGCGTTCGGCATTTAAAACTTGAAACGTGTATGTCTTGATAAGATAACATGTATTTAATCTATAGTGCATCTTAATTCTCTACATAAAAAGAGAGATTAGTGAAGCTCTGCGAGAAGCCGGACTTTTTTAACTACGGTTCCTGATGTGAAAACAAGTATAGAATGCCCACTCCTAATGTCTTAAGGGCACATGTAGCCTGGACATAATCAAAATATTTTGTCAAAAAAAAAAAGGCAAAAAGGATGAATGCTTAAGACTTCCCAAATGAAAAGCCCATCGAAACAGCAAGTTCAACCCTTTTTGAAAATCCAAGCATAACTCCAGAGCAAGAGAACAAAGCGGCACATAGAGGCAGGAGCAGCAGACAGCACAGAAAGCACGGCAAGCAACGACAGCAAAGTGGCACGAACGATGACTCTCTGCCCACCTTCTCCGTCTCGTAATCATCGATGTACTCCTGCTTTGCCTCGTCCGGCAATTCCCTCCACATCTGACCGATTATTTTGCCGATTTCCCACAACTTCAGGTCTGGGTTTGTGGCCTTCACCTGATCCCACACCTTGAAAAGACACGTCTCTTTCAGTGGCGCTCCCCCGACGAGAAACTTTGTAAATTGGGCAAGCAGCTCCAAGCACCTCTGGGCTTCCAAGCAAACTTTCAGCCCTTCTATAGGCTTAGTGTGTGCAACATCGTACGATGTTGCACTCCCGTTTCCCTGGATCCTTGGCATCCCTCGAATATACTCTGTTGGTGCATTAGAGACCAACGTTTTCGTTTTCTGCCCCTACAATGAGTATGCCCTGGAAGCTTGCTAAAGCCAGCTCTCGCCAGAGAACATGTCTTCCTGTGGATGACGATTTATGTGAAGGCTCGGCCACAGAAGCTTACACCTTTTACAAACTGACTACAAACTGAACACCTATGGATATTCAGCACCTGCAGACAGGCTTTAGTTGAGGAGTGGCGATGTCAAGCTATACTTAATTTGCACCCCTAATTTGTTCTTCACGATCAAGTGTAACAAATGTTGCCTTGCCGATCTTAAATCAAACAATTTGTGCTATTGCATGAAGGCTTAACTGTGTGCAATTGAATTCAAAGCTAATTTAAATATCTTTGCCAGTGGCCTACACACACTGCCCAATTCCACAAGGTCTTGTTTACAGCAGAACAAAATTTGCACCGACTTGTGATTTCTTTATTCTGTAAATAAGGAAGAGCAAACATATGCTAAAAGAATTACTTTTTCCACCAAGTGAGCCCTGCTTTGGCCCAATGCAGATGAGCCTCGGAAGGACAGCTGGCGAGAGCTAGGCTTTAAACCAAGGGTCTGAAACACAGAGGCTCTCGCTCTTTTTGCATGCCATCAGGGACAGATGTCCACAAACTTTCCGCAATGGCTATTTTACTTACAGCAAGAGGCTGGACTGAAAGCTAGTTCCAAGAAAACTGGATAGAAATGCTCAATAATGACGACAAAGGTTAATCCTACCTAAAAGGCAAGTGTCTCATCAGTTTCCATGAAGAGCAACAAAGGAAAAGGCATAGAAAAAATCGCAGACAAACCAAACAGAATGAGATCAGATTGGGGTTTTCCTGAAACTGCCTGTACAAGATCTGCGAGTGTCGTCCCCTGTCTTGGGTTATTTCTGACAAGTGCTGGCTCTCTAGATTAGAACCTCACAAGAACAGTAAAGGCTCTGTGAAGTTTTAGACCCTTGGCTTGCACAGAGGTGCCGTGAAGTAAAAGCAGAATGATGAACCTGAGGGGCTTTCAATCCTTACCATTTTCCTTACCTTTCTACTGTACCTCATGTATGGCATCAGAGGCTTATCGGGGGGCTTAGGGGGTTTTGGTACACGACTGTCGGCCTGCATTGACACCAACAACAGGCAGCTCTGAATTTGACCGTTCACAACTGTATTGCGCTCTTCTACAACCATTTTGCCTCTAAAAGTTCATTCTAAAAGTTTCCTGGTGTCATCAGGACACAACATCAGGTTCTTGCTCGTTCATGCTCATCTCCAAATTATTTGCTTTCTTTGCACCTAGCCCACTTCGTCCAAGGACAATTCATTAGAGTCAAGAAGTCATCCTAGTGCGTGCAAAGCATGCATTGAATCACTTTAGCATTATCAACTACGGTTGAACCTCGATTTAACGAAGTCACCGGGACCTGCTAATTATTTCGTTAAATCGTAAAATTGAGAACAACTTCTTTTGGGCATAAGCTGCACAGGGAATCCAAATTTGTTCGCGAAATCGGGAAATTTGTAAAATCATGTTTCGTTCAATCGAGGTTTAACTGTACTTCCATTACCTCAAGCAAAAAAAATATGTGCAAGTGTTGTTCACTAAGTATCTCATAGCACAAGAATGCATAGAACATCTCAGTTTTGCAAATTGCTGAGAGCACTTGTACTCTAAGACCATCCCACAAGTAGAGAGCATATTTATTAACATTGGAATGCATGACTTGTGACCTTTAGTTGGAGATACAAAGCAGACCTCCTGAACTCTCTTTCAAATAATAAACCTTGCCTGCCTTAATCTTCATCTAGGATCTGCTGCATTGTGCCCCCCTCCCCAATTGCGTTCTTCAAAAACCTTCACTATCCTTGAATTGTGTGTTATTGTAGTTGCCTTGCACATTATATGGTTTCAAGTCATACAATGCTTTGAAAACATTTAATTAATGTAGTTGCCTCGGACATTATATGCATACAAGCACATTATATGCTTGTAACGGCTATGTGAATTACCCCTAAACAGTGGCATGATCTGCATTCACCTTTCTACAAAGTAGAAGCAAAGTGGTGATGCCATAAGCCTCCACAATGCCGCAATTAAAAATATGGCATTACAGAAAAATAAAGGGTTTCCAATCACTAGTTATTATTTCTTTGACAAGTTTGCATAATATGTAGAATGCTGAACTGTCACTGGCTCATTTAATCGCAGACCTGTATTTTTCTCCTAACTTAAGGGCCATGTGCAATAGTGGTACAAATTCAGAAATGGAGCCCTGCATATGTTCACCGTTATTACTGGCATGCACACCAAACTTAAAGGAGCTGTGCAACGATTTTAACATTAAAAGTACTTGCATCTTCTACTTTCGACATTGTTTACCTCGTCACAAAGGACAGAAAACACATCTTCCTTTGAAATCTTGCGATTCTAGGGCAACTCCGCTTCATTTTTGGTTTTGAAAAAACAATGCAGTCATCTTCAGTATCGCCTAGGAAGACCACACGTCAAATATTACGACGCAGTTCTGTCTAAATGTTTCTTAAACGGTCCGGCAAACTTAGCAACTCGCCAAGTTGCCGAAATCGGCTGACTCGAGCGGGCGAATTCAGACGCAACCAACAGCACACTCAAGGCTACGGCATGGGCGAAGCCAACATTGAGCTAAACGTCATCATCATGGCCCCCTTTTGCTTGTTTTTACTTCTCCGATCGAGCGTAGCGCATGACGTCAGCAACGTTGCCTCTCGGCGCTCAGCGGTGTCCACGTGATTGGCGTACGCGTCTGCGCAGCGCGCTTCTTGGGAGCAGACCAACCGCCCGCCGTGGTCCCGCCATCTTCCGCGTCACAACCACCGTCGTCGTCTCACCGTTTGTGATTATTGCCTCTCGGAGTTTCGTCCACACTATGGACACCACGTGCGCAGAGTCGCAGACTTATGCCGCAGTTGTGCAGACGTCGTTGAATGTCGTAGACACCAAAACGTGGCAAAGAGTGCGGTGCAGACGACACTCGCGCCTGCCACACGCCCGCCCCCATCCCGCCCGTCGTTGGGCCGAGGATCACGTGACATCTCATACCACGTGATGGCCATGTACTTGGCGGCCCGAGGCCAATGTTGCTGGACGGAGCCGAAGTTTCGGCTTCGATTTCCGCTCGTGTTTAAAATTAGATTTAAAAATATATATCCCATTTTTCGTGAAGCAAAATCTTCGGAATTGAGCGGAGTTGCCCTTTAGGTACAAGTTCAGAAATGGAGCCCTGCATATGTTCACCGTTATTACTGGCATGCACACCAAACTTAAAGGAGCTGTGCAACGGTTTTAACATTAAAAGTATTTGCATCTTCTACTTTCGACATTGTTTACCTCGTCACAAAGGACAGAAAACACATCTTCCTTTGAAATCTTGCGATTCTGCCGCGTAGACATAAGGCAAAAATTATAATATTTCCTAATCTGCAGCCGCGAGCGGCGGTCACAAGAATCACACGGCGTAACACCAAAAAAAGACTTGTAAAAAAAAAAAAGTTGTCATTCTAACATAAATATAAATGCGTCAAAAACATGGTACCATAAACAAAATTGTGATTATAAGGAGTTTTTGAGCGCGCTATCTATCTGAGGTCAACAAAACTGTCGGCTCTATCTGCTACCACGAGGAGCCGCCATAAGCCGGACGGGGATGGCCAGACTTGGACGAGCACGTTGGAAATTTCCTCCTTTCGCCATGTTGATCATGCCGCGCAAGCATGTGGTCGCAAGCGGGTGAGTTCTCACTGCTCACTGATGGCACTAGAGAGAGAGCTTCACCGGAACCCCAAGAGTCCCCACGTGACTCGGAAGACGACGAAGGAGTTAAAAGGTGCAAAAAAACCTCAATCTTTGTAAATTTTCAATAGAAACTAGGTCATGCAGGCAAAAGCGTTTTTTTGTTCTTTACTCCAGAAGGTTCTGGAGTAAGTTCTGGAGAAATTGCACAGCTCCTTTAATCTATCTCCCATTTTAGAAATCAATTTACAGGGTATATAGCTGAAGTTGTCTGCATACCATATACACTTCTGGGGATAAAAATGCACGAAAAGATATGTCAACTTGTATCACTATTGCATGTAGCCTGACAACTGTCTATCAACAAGTTACCCTTTGACAAAGTGTCTGAATTGCATTTGAATTTGACAATAGCAATTATTTCTTGTATTTACAAACGTTGATAGTTCCTATCAACGTTTGTAAATACAGTTGAACAGAAAGCAGTCCAAATTGATGCACTTCAAAACAAGAAATTGTTGGTAATTTAAAAGTCTACAATAGGCAACTTCCAAGATGCCTGATAGCTTTCGAAAAATACAAAAATGCAAAGGTGGGTGCATCAATGAAAGCTAGTTTGATCTCCTAGACTCTAACGACGATAGAGATTCTGGAAGCAAAGTCACCACTCAATGAAGTCTGTAAAAGGAAATGCAGCTTCCATAAAATTTACTTGCAGTCAAATCAATAAGCTGTAAATTGAAATAACTTGTCTGCAGTAGAAGTAGCAACAAGTAAATACGCCAAAGTGACTGTCAGCCACCACAGTAAAGAAAAAGCTGTGTGGGCAGGATGATGTCAACGTACCCCCCCGACGCCGCGAGAGCCCAGTTTCAGAGGGTTGAAGGAGGGATGCCCGTGGGGTGACGGCACAAAGGGGCTGCTGTTAGCCGAAGAAGGCTGCAAGAGACAGCATGTGCAACAATACTTGAAACCCCAAAAAATCAAACAATATTGAAACCCAAAGACAGCAGAAGGACAAGGGCACTGCCAGTTTTGGATGTCCTCCGCTTAATAGTTGGTGCAAATCTTGCAATGCATGTTGCCCAGTAAAAAAAGAAGTATTGAGTCAAAGCATTACGAGAGGGAACTCTGCGAGTCATTTCGTGATGACCGGTTCGTCCCCGATCAATTCATTAAGGCCACTGCTTATGTGAGTGCAAATCGTGAGGGAACTTGAGAACAGTTTGATCTAATCGACAAGATCTGCAGCACGTGCACTAAAATCCGTTCTCCCATAAGCTGACAGAGTGGTGGGAGCTACGTGCTGCATCACCCGACTCCGTTCCCTGCGCGAGGGTAAGGGCAGGAATGTGGCGAAAGAGACATATGACTGGTGCAATGAGCAAGTAGCTTCCACTACACTATCAGCATAGGGGTTAACGGAGTGCAGCATGAACGAGGAAGAAAAGCCTTTTAACATGGTCGATGAACCAGGAAAAGCTTGGACGAGCAGTGCAATGCACATCTCAAGGCGGTTCAAAGAAACTGCGATTTTTTCCCGAAGTGAAAGGTTTGTCTACAAATGATTGACCGACAGGTTCTAGAAAATGTTCTTTATCTTCCCGTGCATTTGGCCTCCTCTGACCACAAGGAACTGGAGCTGCAGGGTCAAGATTGTAGGCGACGTACCGCAATCAAAGTACTGGTTTAACATTGCATTAAAAGTCACCACCTAGCTTTTTTTTTTTTTTTTTTCTTTAGTTATGCACGTTGTACAAACTAAAACGAGGTTCTCTGTTCAAGAGATCTGAATACTAACCATAGGAGGAACATTCAACAGCACCAAAGACATACTTCTAAAAACACATACCATTTGTTCGGAAATTCCAAATAAAACATGGACTTGCCGGCTTTATGGTATTCTATTTTTGTGTACGTCATTATGTTGTATTTTAAGCTCTATTGGAAGAGGGCATAATTTTGAAATAAAACAAGTTTGACTAAACATGTGGTGACTGAACCACAGTCGTGTCTGCACTCTGGAGATTCCTTAGGTCTCCATTTCCTCCGGTGGCCGTTGTCTGAGAAGCAGTGACAGCCGCTGGGTGAGGAGGTTTTGCGTTTCCTTCCGTTTTCAGAAGGAAACTTGCCCAGCAGCCACGAAGGGATTTGGATATGTTGTCCAAGTCTCTCTCCGTCACTTCCCCGACCACGGGTCTCGAGACCCTGGGTCCACCAGGCAACAACTCTTCGTTATCTTGCCGGCGCACGAGGCATTTTGAATGAAGACATTGAAGCACTCTGAAGAGTGCCTAATAAAAGCTCTTGGACCCTGCCCCACCCTTAAATAAGTTTTTTTTTTTTTTTATTTAGCAGTGATTATTGGCGTGAAAGACATATTATTGAACCAGCCCATAACAGTGTAAATGAAACGCTGAAATCATTGCCGCGGAGATATGGGACCACGCTACAAGGCTCGAAGCCTCCCAAATAGAGATAGCAACCGCTGCTATAGAACCCTTGTGGTTACTACTACCAGTACTTATGTTGGTAGCGGAAGGCCCCCCCAGTGTCGACATCAAGACCCAGCTTCTTCGACGGTTGTCATTTGCTCATCTCGACCATGAGGTTGTACTTTGACAAGGTCGTTAGAATTTTTGCTGAGCACTATGATCTGACCAAGAAACAGGACAGCTGTAAAGTACTAAATTGTCCCCATTAATTCATTTCCAGAACAGTATGCATGTGCATCTGTCGTAGTAACACAACAATTGCATATGTGCAAGGTGCTCCTTGCTGTCCGGTTCCTTGGAGAGATCGTAGTGCTAAAAAAAAACTGATAATCTTGTCAGAGTGTAACGTCAACTTGATATATGTCACAAACTATGGCACCGCCGACTCTCCCACAATCTTTTACTTTGTGCCGTTCGCCGTGCTCCTTCACCAATTTGCCTTTTGAGTGGGCTGCCCCACCTTGCAACCACAAACAGGAAGGAAAACAAAACCTGGTTTTGTTTTTCTCTTTTCTTTCCCCAGGGGGTGCCTCCGGCGCCGACAAAGGCGGGAAATAAGCCGCCATGGAGAGGGACGATTTTCGTGGGAAACCGATAGTTTTCGGGGAGAGCTTTCCGGGTTGTCAAGGGGACAGGACCTTCGTGGTTGCGGGATGAAGCCGGCGAGAATTACGGCCCGGCAATTTTTGAGGCTTCTTGATCGTCACCGTTGCAGTCTTCCCATCCCACTAGCTCACCACCGCCGAAAGCCCGACAACGCTCCTCCGACGACACCAAATTTGAGTGAGGCACGCCTGTTCAAACTTTTTACGGACGTTTTATTCTATATGCTCTCCGTTCTTAGCCTTTTTCTTTTATTTCGTTGTCTGGTGTTCTAATTTGCTGATGCGTGCCGCCTGTTCGGACTTTCTAATTATTCTGTATGTTGTTTTACAACCTTGAAGTTGCTGTAGCATGCTGACTGTTTTCTTTGTTTTTAATATTAAATAAAATTCTATGTGAAACCTTTTTTTCTTTTTTGTAGTTCTGCTTACGCGTGAAACCTCGAAATCTATATTTCTATTTACTTTTTTCTTTCGAATAAATATATTGGTTTTTTTTTGTTTGAGTGGTGTGTGTCAGCCCGAGCTCCCCCCATTGCGTTGTTCCCCCGACTTGGGCACACGCACCAATTGCTCAGGCTGATTAACCTTAAAAAGCCACTGAAAAGAAAACAAAATGGTTGTTTTTTTGAAGTCTGAAGGGACACGCGTGTCAAAAAACAAATTTTACGCACAAAAAAATAAAATTTTAGAGTAGTAATATTGACGAGAGATTTATCTGAAATTCTGCACGCCAAGTCCACGACGTCAAGGGTCATTCCGGAATGACCATCTCCTCCGCACGCCTGAAGTGCTGAGAGAGAAAACAAGCGGAAAGGAGGTGACGACCGACTAAATCACATCAATACTCCTATAAAAAAAATATTTGTGTAATATTTATTTTTTGACACACAGCTCTCCACCAGATCGTGAAAAAAAACTTTTTTTTCTTTTCAGGGGCCCTTTAACAAAAATAAATGTTGCTCACAGTCGTTGGAGAGGGCTGGCAGACAAACCGTTTAGGCGGAATCGTGCCTCTAACCTCCAGGCAGGGGCGACTGCGACAATTTATGACATGGTCACTTAACGAACTTCAAAAGAACAGTCTGGATGTTCTCGCAGACGCAACAATAGTTCAGTCGTCATGCATTCCATTAAAACTGATTATACATTATCATATTCACTCCCAAGCAATGGAATGTAGTTTTCAAAATGCAGATTTGGTGGTGTTGATCTTTGTTTTCAGAGTTCTTAATTAAAGAGGAGCACTTTCTTTTAGTTCTCATTTTTGTGATGCCTGCTGCAGGTGGTTTCTTACAAAAGTAAAATAAAAAGAGACTAAACAATCACAATCACATTTGAAGCAATATTTTACCAGTTCTTTGCATCCGTTCAAACACATCACCTGCAATCTCGGCACAGCGACGGCGGCCTCAATGCCCTGTTGGTCAGAGGTAGCCAAATGTATGGCAAGATGAACCTTCCTTTTTTTTTTTTATATATACTATGCAGCACATAAAGGAGGGGGGGGAGGCATCGGTGAATCGTTTATAGACAATCCTGCTTTGAAACGATACCACAGTTGCCTCTATGGATCACCTTGAAATGTGGCTCGCACCGCTCACCCAAGCTTGTCCTGCTTCATCTGCCATGTTGAAACTTTCTCGTTAACGCTCTACTCCACCCATCCTCAAGCTGAGACTGTGGTGGAAGCCATGTGCTCGTTGGACGAGCCGTACAGCTCTTTCACCACGTGATCACGCTCTCGCCCATACCCATGCACAGATAGCCGGGTCAGGTAATGAAAGGGAGACAGACGATTGGTTCAGTGGGCACGTAGCTCCCACCACAGTCTCAGCTTAGGGGAGAACAGAGTATAGCTGGGTGCAGCGAACCATAACAAGTCTGCTCAACCCTTCTCAGGTACCCTTGGGGATGAACCAGCCACCTCTAAACAACTCCCAAAGGACTCCATTTTCTGAAAGTCCTGAAACAATTTGCATGCTCATGCACAGTGGGCTTGGCAAATCGGGGACCAACTGTTAGCATCAAAATGACTCGCTAAAACTCCCTAACATAGATTTCATTTGAGAGCAGGCCCCCCAGTTGTGACTATATATATATATATCATCCTTGAAACTGCTAGAAATTTGAAAAACCAAACAGGGTAAAAATAAAATAAAGAGTTGTTTAGTCCCGACCCTGGGGGTAGTAAGTTGGCTTGCACTCAATATTAACACAGAAATGCAGGTTGGCAGGGCACAACAAAAGGAACAGGGCTAATGACACAATTTGATGAGACTCGTTAACTGAAGAGACGGACACAAAGGGGACACGGAAAAGCGCTCGTTCGTGTCCCCTTTTTTTGAGTCCGTCTGTTTGTTTACGAGTTTTCCGAGTTAATATCATAGTAGGTCAGTATTTACTTATGTTCACGTTAAAAGGCGCTGACTGAACAAGTGCCAATGAAGACGGGTGCTCTTATCTGAATTTTTCACCTATTAGATAACGTTTCAATTCTCACTAGTCATCTCATTGGTTCGGTTCATAAAATCGTTAGCCTATTTTAATTTGTTTCCATTGTACGATGTCAGATTTGTCACACCGAATCAAAATCTAGTAGACAAACGAAACGACAAAAACAAGTTCTTAGCTCAACTGCATTGCACTGTATCCACTTCCAAGTGGCAATCTGCGGCACCAACATACCATAGGAGAGTTGGAGTTGGAAGTCGCCCCTTGCGTTCGTGGTCGTTCTGAAAAGGAGAAACGGCGAAATGCAGCACGGCGACTCTTTGTCCTCCCGAGATCGAAGCGCTTAATACCACACCGAAAAAACAAAATAAAAATAAACGAGCTTTAATACGCCTTATTGATCTTGCTGACCGAGCGCCGGAGCACGATTTAGGGCCTTTTCCTCCTTTCCCCACGCCGGTAGGAACAATACACATTTAGCGACGTGACAAACGAACTGCAGCAAAGTTAGCGTCGGTTACCGGCAGGACACAATTGTAAATCAGCGTCGTCCCGCCGCTGGTTTAGACGCCCTGCTGCGAGAGCCACCTCAAAGACTCTGACACGCCAACAAAAGCCGCGCGGCGCATCTCATAACGCGAGGAATGGAAGACATTTTGTGCAGCTTACGGGGCACGGGCGGAGTAGACGCTGCGATCTGGGGCTGCCGGTAGTTTGGCGGCAGGGCCATGACGTAAAAGCGTGATGCCTCGCCGCTAAAACATGAATCTGGACATTGAAAACCTTCAGAAGACCGCAATCATGGGTGAAATTTTAAAAAGCGCGAGTACGCTCGTGCCGCGCACGACATTCCCGTGAACCTAGGCCGTAGGGGTGGGTGGGGGAGAGCACCAGAGAAAGAGGAAAACAGCAAGCGAGAGAATAAGAAAAAAAACATGGGCTCTCTGCGCATGCGCGGATCTCTTGCTTCTGCGCGCTGCTACTGCCACTACTGCTGCCTGCTGCTACGGCGCGCTGCCGGCGCTGCCACCGGCACCCCGGCACCGCCCGGCACCACAGGACCACAGCCCCACAGCAGCCACAGAGACGCTCCACTGGCCTTGCGGCTCGCCTCGCTGCTGCTGCGTGAGGCTCGGGGCGCGGCCCGCGCCCCACGCTGGCCACGCCAGTCGTCGTACAATGCCGCGGAGACCACGCGGAGACATTCGGATTCCACGATTCCACGTTGCCGGAGCGGTGGCTGGTAGCGGGCACGTATTTCTTGAAAATACAGTGATGTTATGTTTTTTCACATGTGGTGGCGGGCTGGCAGGCGCTCTGCGTAAGGGTTTTTCACCTATCTGCCTAGCCCCGCACACCACCACATGTGCCCATTCCAGTATGTGCAAATAAAATTATTATTATTATTATTATTGTAGGCGACCTGTGGATATCGATCATTTTCAGCATTATCAACGTATTTCTTATTAGTAACGATAATAATCCCTGGAGAAAGGGGACATTCACATTCGCATTCACTTCTGCTAAATAAACTTAAGATGTTAAATTTGACTTAACGGTATTAAGATGGATTGAAAATTATTTGCTAGAGCGTTGTCAGTGTGTATTAGTGAATGGTAAAAGTTCGACATACGTTAATGTTACATCGGGAGTCCCACAGGGCTCTGTCTGAGGGCCGCTTTTGTTCCTAATATATATCAATGATATTTCCTTGGGTATTTCATCTTGTGTTCGGTTGTTTGCCGATGATTGTGTGTTGTATAGAAAAATTAGTAACAAAGATGATGCCACCCAGTTAGATTTAGAATGCATTACTACGTGGTGCTCTACTTGGAAAATGACTTTAAATCCCAAAAAGTGTGTGCACAGTGCATTTATATTTTACTAAAAAGAAGAAGAAAATTGAAAACCCAATGTTATATAAATACAATATAGTAAACAAGGACTCCAAGTATAAATACTTAGGTGTCACGTCATCAACTGACTGTTCGTGGAACGTGATTGTAAAGGCTGGCAGGGCGCTGAACTTTATTCAACGAAGCCTGAAATGTTCACTCCCTAACTTAAAGGAAACCGCATATTTAACATGTGTTAGGCCAATTTTGGAATATGCCTGTGCCGTCTGGGACCCGGAACAAAAAAACATTAATAGACAAACTTGAAAAAATACAAAATAGGGCTGCTAGGTTTGTTCTGGGACGTTACGGGCGGAGAGAGAGCTGTACTCAAATCAAGACTGAACTGAATTGGGAACCTCTCTCAGCCCGCCTCTGTTTTTGATATTTAAAAATAAAACTGGAATTAACAGTGAAACTTACTTAAAAGAACCATATTCTAAACGGAACGATCATGCTTTCAAAATTAGAGAGTTCCGCGCCAGGACAAGCATGTACGCCAACTCTTTTTTTTTTTTTTTTTTTTTTTGTTAAAACGATACGAGAGTGGAATGGGCTGTCGGAGCTGCAAGTGTGCAGTGAAAGTGAAGATGTGTTTTTTTCAGCATTGTAACCCCCCTGCTGTAACGCCCTCGGGCACTGCGGGGTAATCTCTGAATAAAGAATAAAGAAAAAGGGCAAACGCGGCTAAGTGACTGGTGCGCGTCTGAAAAACGTTCGCCATGTATTGAACCAGGGGCCTCTCCCAAATTTCCCAGGGGAACCGGCAACGGCCAGGCGCCGCCAGCAGCTTGAGAGCGCACGGTTATACCCTGTCTCGTTGTAACTTGGCAAAGGGTGAATGATAAGCCCCGCATTGCGTGCCGAAGGCTTCGAAATCCACGACGTATACGAGCGCAACACACAGATATTGAAGCATGACGCAGCGAAAAGCCTGATACTTCTCCGGAGTTGAGGCGCGCTCCGGTGATACGCAGTTACGTTCCGATTGGCCCCTCCAGGGCCGTAGCTTCCGCTCTACTGGCACGTTACACGATCACGGCTTCCTGGGATACCCAGTATTTCTTGATTCAGACACTGGGCTAAGCGGCGCCACCAGAGTAAAAGCTCACGTTTGAACAATGCGGCCGCCACTCCCTGGGTTACCCAATATTTCTTGTTTCAGTCGCTGGATGGCGCCAAACCAAACAGCATTGCAGGTTGCCTATTCGTTCACCCTTGTTGGTGTTATCTGGGGGCAGCTGATAGAACCCGTTTGCTCTCCTGACGTCTTGCTTCGCTCAGTTGGCAGAGCACTCCACTGAATATGGAGAGCATGGAGAGAGCTGGGCCAGCTAGGCGCAAATTCACGGTAAAAGCGGTATTTGCACTTTGCGGATTAATATTTTTCAAACCAGTAAAAAATAATGAAATTGTAAAATGTACTGCAGTCAAAGCCTCCCTTCAGCATTATCGTAACATCAAGGTTTCTTCATTGAATTGCATTGCCGCCGAACGCTCATTCTCCAAATCGGATGCCACAATGTTTCAGCACTAACTGTTATCTTACTTAAAGTTATAAGTGATTTTCTAAGAATTTCAAGGGGAAAATATGGGGCCCCTTTTGGCCTATATCAGAGAATGCCGGGAACGTTGGTACACGCGCTGCACGTATCTTTTATGAAAGTGAGGCGAGTGTGTGTACATATGACTATATATGTACATACATTCCCATATCATTCCCTTTGGTGTTTGGCGAACCACAAAAAAGGGTGCGCACCGTCACTGTGTTCTTTTTTTCTTAATCTGAATCTTCCATTTAACACTCATTACTAATTTTTGTAAATATATTTTTGTTGGTTTCACCCTTTAGTCTCGGAGAGATGGCGGCACAAGTGATGAGGGCCATCCTCAACTCCATCGTCTGCTGCAGAAACATGCCGGCTTGGAATTTTATATTTCTTGCTGTATTCATATATTTATTGCTATTCGACAATCTCACGTGAAGTTACTTTACTAATTGTTCAGCTCTTTGATTTGTAGCATGTTTCAAATAAAATCCACCTCAAAATTCCTCAGATTTTATCCCATTGCTTGTGCACAAGCAATGAGATAAAATCTCAGGAATTTTATCCTGTTGCTTATGCAGGCAGTAAACTCGGATATCGGCACACCACAATATTGATAAGCATGCCGTACGCCGTTTCCCACCACACGCGGCTCCCATTTTATTACGCCAAACCGTTTTTCAATAAACCGGTAACTGCTACATGACATTACGGTTCCGTTCCTGTTCGGGTTCAATATTAAATGCTTGATTTCGGTTCTGGTTTTGTTCCAGTTCGGTCAGAAATAACGGTTTCACTCCAGTTATCAGTACGGGTTCGGTTTGACACCCTACCTATACTTACACTCTTAAATGGCACAGTTCCAAACAATCCTTTTCAACTTAAAAAAAAAAAAAAAGTTATAATTTTGCATAGATGCATTTGCAGTGAACAGGCGGCACAAAAAGAGGAGGTGAACGACGGCCGCGGGCTCTGGACACAGCTTCGAGCTCGAGGGACAGCTTCAGAACCATGCTCATCTCGGCTGGTTCGCCTCACAGACGACGTAAAAATATATATAGTAATTATTAGGTAGTCATTTAACCACACATTGGTCAATCACAAATTCTTGGCACTATAATTTCCCAAGCTAGAATTCATCACTTTATCGCAATTTGCACCAGTGGTACAGAACTCCACATGATATCAGGGCATGAAAATGTTGAGTACAAATGCTGGTTATTAGCTTGATCTCACGGATCTGTTAGGGATGTTAAGTTCTGGTATAATTGGCAGAAGATTTCCCTTTTTCTTTTATAAAAGAAACTGGTGGACGTTTTTGGTGTTTCTTAATTTTTCAACTGCTGGTGTATTTCGGTGATCTGTTTTGGACAGACGCTAAAAGCGGTGATGTTTGGTGAAAAATATTTCATGAAAAGCTAAGGCTTCAAGTATAAGAGGTGATGGACTAAGGCACATAGACTTCGGTTCCTCTGCATGCATTCACAGTAAAAACAAATCATTGCTTTTTACAGGGCGTTTCAAATATCACCTTTTATGTGATGAATTAAGTTGTATCTGCATTTAGTATTGTTTCTTAAAAGTGTCAAAGCTGCAAACAGAACAAAAAGAATCATGTTTTTTCTCTAGCAACCAAGTTTGCAAAGAACCACTTTACACACAGCGTATATATATTAGTCCAAAACTTATCTTTCCATGGGGAGACAAAAATGGCAGTTTCGAATAATACGGTACTCTATATTCGCTTCAAGGTAAACTGCAACTTTATTATTTATTATTATTATTATTTTTTTTTAAGTGTCGACCGCGGCAGCCGTTGAGCGCGCTGAAGCAACACCTGCGGAGCTCGCTTGTATGTGTGTTGCTTCTCCTCAGTGCGCTGGTGCTTGGTAAGAAGCACTCAAGGGGGCTGAAACGCCGCGATCAACAATTCGAAAACTACAGATATTGCACCCGCGTGCTTATACTCTGTGTCACTAGATGCGTGCAGTACATGTAAAGGCAGCGCCGTACAAGGGGAGAAAGGGCAAGCGCTAGGAAGGCTGGCGAGTAAAAAAAAAAAAAAAAAACTCCTAACATTCCTAGTGCTCGCCTTTTCCCTCTACACCTGGCGTTGTCTTCGCCTGCACTGCACATAACTAGTGACACGAAGTATAGGAGGAAAGCTACACTGCAGTAAAGTTTTCACAATTAAACTGGCTATTATGCACAAGTTTCAGGCAGAGATGCTTTAAAAACCTGCATTAATCATTCATCACTGAAAATATTTGCATTAAATATATACATTTATAAATTCACTCAATTAGTTAAAGCATCCTTATAGGTTTCATCTTATGTGAAATGTGTCATTTACTTGCCATCCCAATGTAAACATTGGACTATCTCCGGCCATGGTCGATAAATATAGTTGGGTAGATTAAAGTTAACTTAAAAATGGACAAGTAAAAGCTTGGGAACATCCTTCACGATTCAGTTCGGTCTTCGTCTATGCATGGTGCAGTAGTGAAAGGCTTAGATAAACTATTCCATATTCAATTCGAAAATATTTGGCTAAGACCACCATTCGCTTCAAACTCAAAATCCACTATTCGCATATGCCTACAGATCTCTGTGACAACCGTAACAACTTGTTAATGTGCGGTTTTCTCACTAATTTCTATACCCTGATATAATGTAAAAACTATATGTGAGTGTGTATGTGATAAAAGAAACTTCCAACCAATTCCTAAATGTGAGGGGG